AAGATTCAGATAAAGATCTGACAGTTCTCGCTATGATACATGTAGTTATAAAATAAATATTGAAAAAGGATTAAAGATTACTAGATTAATCACTTGGGGTGTTCAAAATAAGGAAATCAATTTGAATTACTTGACAACGAATTTTATTTTATAGAATATAATCAAACTTCACAATTAGTGATGGGCATATATGTGATATATAATAATGATATCCAAAAGTGAACACTGAAAAATGATTTAATATAATATATGAATAAAGGAATGTAATGACGTTTTGTAAAATCAATATACCTGTAAATGGGTGCAAAGGTGTTAATGTTTCCTGTGACAAAATAATAGCCAATGGGTTATACTTTTGAAGTAATGTTTGGAGCTCATTAAAATTTGGTTTATTATAAACACGACAGTAATGTAATGTAGCATTGTCAAGGAAATTTAATCTCTGACGGCTTAACAGGATCTACACAAACATCTGCTACGGTAATACCGCCCAACCCATTTTTGACAGCCTCTCCCAACTGGTTGTTCCCAGGTCATTTTTAATGTTTTGGATATATAATACTCAAGCCAGAAAGTAAAATTACATATCTATACCCGACTGATCCCAGTCGTGGGAGAGAGAGAAATGGAGTTTAACGTCCACTCGACACAAACTAGGTCATTTCAGAACTAACATATGGTTTAATTTTATTTCAATAATTCGCTTGCACGTAGGGATCTTTAGCAGTGGGGGGAAACCGGAGGACCCGGAGAAAACCCACGAGGTTGGACAGGCGGCCCTAGTCCTTGTCACGGATCCCAGTCGTGCTCTGTCGGGTAGACTTAGGACATAGAGGGTACCCCCCCCCCCCCAAAAAAAAAAAACAACGAAAAAACAAGCATTGAAATTGGGAAAAGAAACATCCTCCGGTGCTAAAATATCAACGTGGATTGGAAAGATCTCCCGACGTGGTGAACCATGTGTTTCAGAGAAAAGGCCCGATAAACACGTTGGCACGTTACATGGATCCCTTTAGTCGCCTTTTACAACACGTGGGATTAACTTGATCACCGTGGGAATTTGATGAAGAGAGAAATTAGTATTGTCAATTCTACTTCCCAACTGCAGTTTATTAACCTGGAATGATTTTAATCTGTTATGTTATACAATCAGATTTCCTCATATATTGCTGGTGTTATATTTCATAATATCGATAATGTTTTAATCTTTTATTTGAATGTGAAAATGTATGTTATCCATTATTATTGCACTTCTATACTTCCTGAAACATGTGCGCAGTACGTACTACCGGATCTACGGCGGGGGGTGGGGGTATAAGTGGAACAAATTATGCCCTGGGCCCCCATTTCGGGTTGAGTACAAGAACAAAAGATTCATCGGATGACCGAGATATTCTAATGTAGATTTGGAAAATATTAAGATCATTCTCTGGCACCTCATTCAGGGATCCCCATTTTAACTCCTAGCTGTTGCAACTCGAATGACCTATAATCTATGAGATGGTTCATCTACTTTATTATAAAGCCTTCGTGGAGTGGAGGAAACTAGCACATCATACAAACTGCAAATTTACGATATTCTGAGCCAGCATGGAATTCATGGTGCGTTTCCAAATTTAGAGGTCCTGCTCAGCATCTACTCGTGCCTGACGATTACTAAATGCAATCGCGAGTGTTCCTTTTCCAAACTAAAACTAATTATAAATAGTCTCGACCATGCTTCAGTCTTACAAATCTATCCAGAATGTCGATTGAAATGAAATGAAATGGAGTTTAACGTCCTACTGTTCTGCTCCTAACCTGGGCTAATGAAGACGGGCATACGCCATACAGTGTGCTATGAGGGAAATTTTGCCCGGACAGCCGGCACTACGGCTTACTCTTATATCGAATTCCAACTGCCAAGGGATCTTTTACGTGCACGCCAATGTGTACACGGGACCTCGGTTTTTCGTCCCATCCGAACGACTAGACAGCTTTCCTTGTCAGCCCCTCCGTCCTGCATCACTGACAAGGGAGAACCACGCCGGAAAATCTGGATGAACTTTCTCAGCCAATGCAGGGATCGAACACCCGACCTCCAGGCTAGCGAGCTAGCGTCTTACCCACTTAGCCACGTGATCCCCGAATGTCGATTGATTATGATGCAATGAGGTCACTTGATACAGACGAAAGCTTCTGAATTGATAGCTAAAACTTTTTTTTTTTTTTTATAAGCTAATTCTTTTATTATTGACTGTGTTTAAAAGGACTGGCTGGGGTTCGTATCTTGATTGAAGTACTTATGTTCTGATATAAACAAAATATTTAATATTTCTATTTTGGGTTACCCGCCCAGAATATACCTCAGAATGCACCAAATCTCATCTATTTCTCAAAGTTTTCTTGGCGCTGTACCGTGCCCTATACGCTTTTCGTCTTAATCCCACCACCTCACACGGTTGATCCGACCTACATTTGTATACAGGCACATATTATCAGGGGCGGGACGATTTGTAACATATCTGAGATATTTTGTTTTACACTGCTTGAACATCATGATTATGATTATAGCGTTGAAACGAAGTGACACTTATAAACACGCCAATGTGTCTGTCCGTCAACAATTAAGCACTGCGATCACGAGAGGTCGAACCCTGTCGATATGCACTGTTCAGTTTCGGAGTTACCCCCATTTCCGAAAACCAGTGAAAGTGACTGATCCTATAGCATTTAATGAATTTTTGGGTTTAAACTGCGATATTCATAATTTTGCGACCTTCTATTCCGGAGTTATCCCCATCCCATCTCTGTCGTCAACCGTGTAAACACGACAGGGGCTGGATTTTCAAATCTGGTGTGAAGCAGTCTGTGACGGCGAGCTTCGAGGGGGCAAAGGCGTGAGCTTCAACTAGGTGTATTGCCCCCCCCCCCCAAAGAAATGTTTGAAAAACAGACTGCCGGAAATGCAGTCTGGCAGTATTTCAGACACTGATCGTCGAGATAAATATATCAGACCAGATACTGCCTGTCCCCAGACCACTAGTTTATCCAATCAGTGGAAAGTATCAAACGAACAGACTTGCGAACCACGACGAAGCCCCACCATGAGCGCCAATCTAGCGAGCCTTTACGGAGAGTATGGGGGACCTCCCCCAGAAAATTATGAAAAATAGACTGCCGGAAATGCAGTCTGACAGTATCCAGGCACCGATTGTCGAGATAAATAGAGCTGACCAAATACCGCCAGTCGCCTGATCACTAGTTTATCCGACCAGAGAGGAAATTGTCAAACGAATGGACTTGCCAACCTCAACGAAGACCCGAAAATTTGAAAAATAGACTGTCAGAAATGCGTGACCGTCGAGATAAATACACGTAGAGCAGAGCTTACCAGATACCGCGTGTCGCCAAATTACTAGTTTATCAGACCAGAGAGAAAAGTGTCAAACAAACGGAGTGGGTGAATCAAAGTGAATGAATATTTTCGGCACGATATTTTGAGAAATAGACTGCCGGAAATGCAGCCTGGCAGTATTTCAGACATTGTCGTCGAGATAAATACAGCTGATCAGATACTGTCTGGCGCCAAATCACTAGCTTATCCGTATGGAAGGTTATCGCTGCCAAATTTAAATGCTCTGTGACAATGCTGTTTCCATTGATGTTTCTACATTGTACTTTTTACATATAATCAATGGAAACGACATTGTCACAGAGCATTTAATATTGGCAGTGATACCCTTCCATATATCCGAACAGAGAGGGATGTGTCAAACGAACAGTGTGAGTGAATTAATGTGAATGAATATTGTTGCTGCAATCTGATTAAAATACAGATCTATATTTCGTTTCGTTTTTTTTTATACTTTCAATCGACGTAACAGATGGTTTCATTGATTAATCCCTCACGCAGGTTATATAACAACTGCTTCCAGATCCTTATGTAGTACAGACAAATAAAACGAAATTTTGAACTATAAAAAACGAAACGAAATAGGATCTGTGTTTTAATCAGATTGATTGTTGTCGCGTTGAACCCATACCCAAAACATTGAGGGTCGTAAAAGGCACTTCGCAAGAGGTTTGCGTGTTATTGTTTAAAGTCGGTTTACTACAGGGTGGGGTCGGTAAGAAATCACTCGGACTCTACAACATGCAAGTTTATGACTGAGTGGGAATGTGGGATTTAATCACCGCATAGACGGTATTGATCACCGATATTTATCACAAATATTTGTTGGTTTTATTTTTATTTTTTTATTTTTTAAATAGTGATTGGGAGGGCGGGGGGCGTAAACAGTGGGCAGACTAACTGACACGAACCCTATTTTCAGCATTTCACGTTCCGCAGTCATGTCCCATTTTCTGAAAATATTGTGAATGCGATAGGGGCTCTCAATTTTTGATGGATTTTATTTTCAAATTTGGAGTGAAACGTCTGGATAAACGGACAAACTTGTAAGCCAGATTTCTTGAGGACATAAAGGATCCTTATAAAATTTGGTCAATATCCAAATTTTCCATTCGGATTAAGCTGCTGTCTATATGGCTATATTTTTGGGAAGACAGCTGCGGCGTGGATATTTCAACGCTTTTTCTGGTTATCTTTTCCATTTGAGGGGGTTTGCAGAAACATGTTGCGCCCTCTACACATTAGCACCAGGTAAAATATTGGTGTGTTTCCTGATTTGATATGTGAAATCTTCAGATCGGTAATTTAAATTATTCGTCACTTTATTTACTATTTATTGGGTACAGATTACAATATATAACAATATTTCTATTGATGTACAATCAACAGGTAGGATTTAAATATATTACATAAGGTTATCTATAAACACAAATTACTTTTATAAGCTATACATTCTAAAACTATCGTTTATATTATTGTGAATCCTCGTTCAAATTATTGCTCCATTTACCTTGTCTACTCTTTCTCGGACACCTAAAAAACCCACTTTTGTTCACATAGCTAGCATACTAGTACTATTGTTATCATTTTCTATATTCTATTATAGAATGATGCATTTATTGCTATTAACCCTAGCTATGGGGTTGGCTCAAAATACGGAGGCTATTCTGTTCTCCAGTAAAAAACCTGTTGTTTTCGGCAGTCCGGTTTTAGATGCTACTCTGACGAATAGTGACGTAAGGAAAAATTATGGCGTGGATTCCAATGCTGCAACTGCGATTATTGGCCAATTTGATCGTGACGGTAAGTTTTAATTATATTTACGTACCATATTTGATCCCCCCACCCTCCTCCACCAATCATAAGTTTTAAATATGATAAGTAATAGATGCTCTACAAGTATTAAGTTTGGTTTCCTTGACATGGTTTGTATAATAAAACTTTGTTATTTATTAGTCCTTCGAACCCGTGACTATACAAAAGTACATGGTCACATTGAGTGAGGTCAAAGAGCAGACTGATATTTGAGTAACAAACAGATTACACTTTTGGCCATTTCCAATCATTATTGTCAATTTGTTGTTTCAATATACCTTCTCTGCAATAAAACTTTTCTCGGGATTGACACCTTACGATATTATCATCAATTTATTTGTCCAATTCTCTATAACTTACAATGACATACATTTATTTATATTTATTTAGGATTCTCGTCTTACCCAACTAATCTGGAGTGTCGGAACTCGGAACAGTGTTTTTTTGGGGGGGGGGGGGGGGATGCGAGATTTGTACACGCTTGAAACCCTGCTCGGGGCGCGAACCGTTCATATTGAAAATTAAAATTTAACTGCTGTTTTAATAAATTTGTTACGCATCTCTCGGCTGGGCTCGTCGTTTATTCATATAAACATACAATATGCTTTTATACTAACTTTGATTGACCTGTTGGGACACATAATTAATTATGCAATCAACTTACTACTGATTTGTCAATATATATATATTATATAAAATGGTATTATAAAGTCTCAAAAGGCTCAATCAACAGGACCTGGTCTTATTTTATAAAAGGATATTTTAAATATCAAGATTCAAACAGCTAGAAAAACTTATTTGGTTTTGTCCCCTCGTGGTTCTTTCTTTTCTTTTATATCTTTGTCGGGAATGATAGATGTTTCCACATATCGGTAAAAAATCAAAACGGCGCTACGGATAATATTGTGCGAACATTTGAAACGGAAAAAAGACCGTAACAAACTATTTATGTTTTTTTCTCTGAAAAATCGCAAGAAAGGGTCCCAGAGATTTTGTCAATTAAAGATACATTATGGTTGATTAGATAAAGAGCTGGCAGTTCTCTGTTCTCAATTTCAGTCAAATTTATCCACTCTGAACAGAGAATTTAGCGATTGAATTTTCGGCGTAGCCTCGATCATCATTACTAAAGTCGGCAGGGCTCTATAAAAGTTGAGTGTGCCTGCGCACACACTTGAAAATGTGCCTGCAGGGTCATACTGAAACACAGGGGTGTAGCCAGGATTTGGTGAGTGGTGTTAAAATATATTTGGCGAGCGGAGCGAGGGCAAAAAATTTTTGGGAGGGGGCGTGGTCTTTTATGAAACTTAAACCCTTCTTGGTGTATTTTCAGAGCATCTGCTGCCTTTTGTATTTGGTTCAGTGCAAATCAAATTTCCATTTATGTATTCAAATTTTACCAAATTCACTTAATTTTCATCAATGATACAGGGATCTAAAAACTTTTTGACACCACCCGACCGAGCATAAAATTGTCCCACCCACTCTGTTTCTCTGGATAGATAAGTTGAGGACCTTTCGGTATTTGTTGTTTTGTTGGTTTTTTTTTTCAAATATTACTTTATTACTTTGAGATTAAAAATTATTAAAACGGTGTTTGTGTTTTATTTGAGTACAACGAATTATGACAACAGGTAGATATTGATAATTAAAACACGTTTAATTGTATTATTTGACTTGTTTGTAAAGTTGTTGTACGTGTCTCACGAATATTATTATTATACGGTGGAATGAGAATCAGGTCAGGCAGAAACTGAGAAAGCTCTCATCGTCCTCCTAGTCCTACTCTCGGGCCGTAGCAAATCCACGGTCAACACAGGTAAGAAATAAAATAAGATCATCGTGAAAATTTGTAGGCACGTGTTTGACAATTACGACATTCAAATTTTTAACATTGGAGTACCGTAAATTGGTCTGGGTGACTTATTTACGGCAAATAAACAAATATAAAGACCGTAGAATAATTGTAAAATGAATAGACCTAGGCCTACACATCTTCTAAGTGTAAATAAACAAAATACCAATACATCTTTCTTTAAACTAATTTGGGATATTAGGGTTTACTACGGCACACAAAAATAAATTATGCCGTGACAGACATGGTTTGCGTACGTCGGCTTTTACCATGGCTTTGCCGTTTAATTGCCGAGGTAAATTTCGAGCGCCGAGTTTGTAGAATAATTGTAAAATGAATAGACCTAGGCCTACACATCTTCTAAGTATAAATAAACAAAATACCAATACATCTTTCTTTAAACTAATTTGGGATATTAGGGTTTACTACGGCACACAAAAATAAATTATGCCGTGACAGACATGGTTTGCGTACGTCGGCTTTTACCATGGCTTTGCCGTTTAATTGCCGAGGTAAATTTCGAGCGCCGAGTTTGTGTACAGAGAAGGACAAGGGGTTTAAATACGACTGGGCCTTTTTCGATTTTTTCTTTGTGCTGGGCGGCAAAAAATAGTGCCGGGCGGTGCCTCTTTAAAAATGTGCCTGCAAAAAAATGTTTTCAAGCAAATGTGCCTGCGCACGCCGTGCGCATTTGCGCGGAAATATCGATGCCTGGTCGGTACGATAAAAAACATAATCTCGATTATCCATTTCATGATTAAATCATGAACGAAAGTTGAGCAACAAATCGGATCCTAATCCAGTAAATATCGCAGGCTAGTGATGACACCCAGGGTTGATTATCGTCTGGTTAAGTTAATTAATGTCTAATTAATAATTTAGATACGTAAAATTTTCGTAGACGGCGCAGACACAATTCATGTCTATTTCTAGTCCAAACTTTCAACAGTGACAACTCCGTTCAAAATAAAGTAATTTGACAGAAATTTTCAATATTTTCTTTTTTTATCATCTATTTTTGAATTATTATAGCAAGAATGGCCAACTCAGTTAAAGGGACTATTCCAATTTGAACAGAGTCTCAAAAATAAAAGTCCGAGTTCGTGTGAACTTTAAGCGCCAAAATATAGAGGAATGATGTATTTACCTTGTCTCAAAATTTTTGCTCAAAATATTGAGTTCCGGACACGTAACCCTTTTACGATTTCTGGTAAATTTCACCTACACATTGTTTTTATAAAATAAAAGTCTGGTTTTATCCAGACACCGCATAATACAGCTTGGAACTCCGGTCTCCATTTCCAAATGAAGACTGACGGGTGTAAGTTGTTTGAAAACATATCACAAATATTTTGAATTAGTTGCTCGGCCCTTAGGTACGGGATTTTAAGGGGTTTTAAGACAAAATAAAGCAGTTTTATTCTCCAAAATATTATCGGGATTGGCCCTTTAAACTCTTAACTAACGTATCTTTAACTTACATCTGATTTTCCATTATATTATACATAATGTTTTAAAATCTGAAAAGGCACAATCAACATGTAAAACATATATTTGTATATATAAAGCTTCACGAAGATAGAATGAATTTATTTGGCTGGGAACGTTCGGGGTTCTTTCTTTTCTTTTAAATGATTTTAAAATGAAAAATGCCATTTTGGCATAAAGAACGGTTTGTTATCAAATAATGGAGGATTTGGGTAGATTTGTAATTTGTGTAAATCGTGCTATCCCAGACTTCAAAGCGAACGGAAACCACTGCCTTATCCGTTTATCAGACTGGAGGCTCATGGCGCGAGGGCGTCCACCAAATGGGCACAAAACCAGACCCAACATTTCTATAGTAAAATTTTGCGTAGAATACAATGCCTGGTGGTAATCGGTCCGCTTTGCACTAAAAGTGAATGCGCAGCTGTTCTTGTATCGTGAAAATATGCTGAAGATGATTGAAAGTAATCACTCTTTCAATAAAAATGTAAACTTTAGTCTTAGTGACCCCGGAGGTCAAAAGGTGAAATTTTCCGTTTTTGTACTAGAAAGATTAAAAGCAATAAAATGTCAGCCTAAAATATAAAAACTAAAGTGAAACCTGTTCTAATTTATAATAGGAACATTTAAAACTTATCTTTGGGTGATCTTAGCACCGTACATTTACTTTGGAACGTGGAAAAAGATCTTGCATAACAGAGCCAACACACTTTGAAACCTGTTTCAAAAATACGTACAGGTTTCGCTTTTGTTTTTATATTTTACGATGACATTTATTGCTTTAAATCTTCCTAGTGCTAAAGTGGAAAATTTTATCCTTTGGCCTCCGGGGTCACAAAGAACAAAGATGAATTTAGCAAGTTTACATTTTTATTGAAAGGGTGATTACTTTCGATCATTTTCACTTTCAGCTTATTTTCATGATACAAGAATGGCTGTGCATTCACGATCAGTACAAATGAACTCATTTGACCTTTGACCCCGAATATCTCGAAAACGCTCTAACGGCGGACTGATTACCACTCAGATAGAAAAGTTGGGTCTGGTTTTGTGCCCATTTCAAGGTATTTGAATTGATCGATGGACACTCTCCGCACTGAGCCTCCAGACTATTATTAAGCCGTGTCATGCGACGATAACACTTGCTTGTCCCACCTTATGTCTCTGAATTTAATGCTTGGATTGTAACAGCATTATAGGCCTATGTAGTACAATACTGGCTGGATTTGAGTCCCTATCATTATATACTGCTTCGTTGTCAACATTTTTCCGGATTTCTTTACATCCGCCATTGTCGTTATGCTCTAAGCGCTGTGATTGGTCGAGATTCACTCAATCAATGTATCAATCTCTCCGAATGGCTAAAATTCTGTATTAAGTCACAAGCGCATCCAAAATTTGACGCGTCTGACAGAAGTTTTGTTAGAAGTAATGTTACCAACCAACCACAGGCGAATGCTTGAAATGTGGTGGGTGGGCCTACTCGTTATAATTTATATTTTCGTTAGTTGTCCATACAATAGAATGTCAACTAGCTAGGGCATCCAATCTTGTGAATGCTGGGTCCAGGGGACTCGAAATCAATGGAAGAGGGACAGAACCATTCTCCACACAAGTGTTTCAGAAGCATTAGCATAGGGCCTAGTAGATAGAAACTAATTAAGCGATCGGGGGGTGGGGGGAAGGGGTAGGCTAATATGGGACATAATTTTTGCTGTGGAATATTTCATAGGTAATAATTCGATAAACTAATCTTTCAATTGAAACTGCCCTCCAAATTTCTTATTTTGTTCTGGAAACAGCTTAGGCCCTATCAGAAATCTGTAACGGCGCGGTACATGCTGTCAGCTCATCATATTACCATAACCCATTATTTTTCAAGACCTAGGCCTAGGCCCAGCAACTCACATAGTGACATATTATACACCTGCCTTCCACTGAGGCACTCCCTTCCCCTAAGTGTATCCTCGTGGGTTTTCTCCGGGTACTCCGGTTTTCTCCCACTGCTAAAGACCCCTACGCGCATGCGAATTATTGAAATAAAATTAAACCATATGTTAGTCCCGAAATGACCTAGTTTGTGTCGAGTGGACGTTAAACCCCATTTCTCTCTCTCTCTCTCCCCTACGTGTAGCTAGCAGAATTTAACTAAGTTGAACTGTTGAACTATGAAAAAATACAAACAATCACAATGTCAATGATGACAATATAAAGTTAATATTTTAAAAATAAAATGGTCACCGCTCGCCTTTTTAGCAAAAAACACTATGCAATTAGAATATGGTACCAATAGTCCCATCATAGTGTAACTGTAAGAGTCTATAAGTATATGTTTGGGGGGGGGGTAGATTAGTAAATTTCCAGGAAAATTACTATAGGAAATTACCATAGGCTAGAGTAGGCCTATTCTAATTTCTATAGATTTTTAAATTGTCCTTTCTGAGGGAAATTCTGCAGTAATGGATAGGAAGGGATTTGGTCTACAGTATAAACATGTAGAGCTTTAGAATTAGAATTCTAGGCCTATAGATTGTTTATTTTGGAAGTGAAATTAGGCATGGTTAACTCATGACTTTTTTAAATAGTACGCGAGGACCAAAATACATGCAACAAAACACATAGGCCATTAGAAATGGTTCCACCACTACTGATGTCTTTCGCCTTACTCCAGCCACAGTAGTGGCTCGTCCTACGGAGTTCCTTTGCGCAAGTTTTTTAGTCAAATGACTACAAAAAGTTTATTAGCCTATAGCCCCCTTAATTTAGCGTTAAACACAGTTTAACGATACATTTAATTGTAGCTAATAGGCCATAACAAACCTAAATTGAAAGTCAATGCGGATCCGGGAGTCAAGCATAATCATCCATAGCTTACAGTCCAGGCAGAGCCTGTAGTATGGTAATGATACCGGCTTCACTCAAAATGAAAGACAACCTCACAAAAAACAGAGAAAAATATTTAGCTATGACAATGGTCATCTGACATTTCTTGAGGGTGATATGGAATCAAGTTAAATCTTAAACAGAGATTATGGGAGTGAGAGAGAGAAATTATGGAAATGACAGAGAGAAATTATGGAAAAGAGAGAGATTATGATATGGGAGAGAGAGAGAGATAAAAGACTAACATGTAATTGTATGTTTTTATTTTCTTCTTCTTAATTCAATATTTGGAAGTGAAGGAAAAAGAAGAGCTAAGACTGGCAACCCTATAAAAACCTTGAATCAAACCCACACTTACAAAGGGATATATGTACATATTTTACAGATGATGGTATTTTGTCAAAATCAGAATATTCTACATGTCCTGCGATGTCATTATTTGCAAGGCTTAAAAATGATAGAGATTCTGGCATAAAAACAGATCTTGGTGATATTTTGAGTGTAACTATAAATCTTGGTGGATCGGCTGGTGTTAGTCCAGGTAAGTTTAACTTTTTACCTCTTTAGATAAACTCAGTGTTGAGGTATAACAGATGTGTATTCCATCGTTGAATGAGTTAAATCAACTCGTACTCATACAAATGTTTGCATTGATTTGAAGAAAATAGTATGAATTTTATTAAATATTCATGATTTTTTTTAGATTAGAGTTACCCTTGTGCGAACATGTTGCATGAAAAACATTGTTGGCAACAAGGGGTAATCAAAGACCCCAGATATAACTGAAAATAGGTTTTTGGATGCATAATTTTATTCAAATACGATCAAACTACAGCTTCAAATAAAGACTGAATAATAATCAGAGTAAAAAGTGCCACCGGGTAATATTGGACTGTGAGTCGATTTGTAGCATATCTGACCCACTGTATATGTTTGACCCTAATTAAGCATTATGATTATAATTAGGGGTGACTATTGGTAATTTTCACTATTGCGATAGTATTGCTTTTAGGGTAAACAGCTGTTGCTATACTTTTACTATTGGGGATTAAATATTGCGATACTATTGGACTATTGCGATAGTTTTATTTCTTTATTAGTTAAGGTTTAAAACAAACTGTCAGGTATACATTAATTATTATAACATTTAATCAAACTAAAATCAATGAAACACTAGAGTGAAACTGCCCAACCCAAAGATCTTGGTTCCTTTTGATATTCGCGCAAATCGGGTCATAACTTCCCGAATTATGACCCGTACGAAAAATCATGTTTTTAGCTTGTGGTCCCTCTAGTGGTCACAATTATTATCCGATTTAAAATAAAAACCCTACGAATATATCACCGCTACGCCGTGAAATGAAATGAAATGAAATGGGGTTTAACGTCCTACTGTTCTGCTCCTATACTGGGCTAATGAAGACGGGCATACAGTGTGCTATGAGGGAAATTTTGCCCGGGCAGCGGCACTATCGCCTACACTTATATCGAATTCCAACTGCCAGGGGATCTTTTACGTGCATTCCAATATATACACGGGACCTCGGTTTTTGTCTCATCTGAAGGACTAGACAGCTGTCCTTGTCAGGCCCTCCGTCCTGCATCACTGACAAGGGGGAACCATGCCAGAAAATTTGGATGAACTTTCTCGGCCAATGCAGGGATCGAACACCCGACCTCCAGGTCAGTTGAGGTTGAGTTTGAATTTCGTGAAAATTGGACCAAAACTGCCGGACAAAGTGGCCGCCCCTCGCACGCAAATAGTGTAAACATCTGGTATATCAAGGTTGTTGACCCTCTGGAGGTCACAATTTTGATCCGATTTTGATGAAACTTGATATGCATGGTTATAACCAAAAGATCTTGGATCCTTTCGATATTCGTGCATATCGGATTGGTACTCCCTGAATTATGGCCCCTGATTGTACGAAAAATCATGTTTTTAGTGGTCCCTCTAGAGGAAACTGCCCGACAAAATGGCCGCTCATAGGAAAGTTGTGGATCCTCTAGAGGTCTCAATTTTTATCCGATTTTGATGAAACTTAAAACATATCTTTATATCCAAAAGATCTCAGTCCCTTTTGATAGTTGTGCATTTCAGACCATAACTTTCTGGAATAGGTTCCCTGATTGTACAAATAATTGCTTCTGTTTTTATCTTGTTCTCTATCCATCTCTTGCAAAGTGTAGGTGTATCTTGCCTGGCAGCTGCTGGTTCATATTATTCTGAGGGGTCCACTTGACAAGGAATGACCCAAATCAAAATGAATTGATATATTTAATTGATCTGAATAAAGAGATCTTTAATTTGTTATCTTGGGTATAATAAGGCTTTTGTGTGGAACCTTTCACCACAAAAGTTGCTCTAAAAGGCAGAAATTCAACTTTAATTTAATCTTGTTACCATTTATAGGCTGTTATGTTTTTTACCATACGAATTCCACATGATATTCCTTTCAAAAATCTTTTCTCAATATCCCTGATCTTTTAGTTTTCAGCGATGATGATTTTAAGGCTCTGATTGCCAATGATATTCTGACGAATAATGATTTGAAAAATTATTTTGGTGTGACTATGGATGTTGCAAATGTGATCATTGCCCAATTTGATAGTAATGGTAAGTGTTTCAATCAATTTTTTGTGAAGCTGATCGTACCTCAACTCTGACCCTTGTTCACAGTTTAGCCCCTCACATTTCAGATTATAATTTTTCATTGAAAAAGTGTTCATAAAAGACACAATGCGATGGACATGTCCATACACATTGTTCAACATTGTTGACATTTTGACCCATATGTCTCACTAAAGCCTGGCGCACACTACGCGATGACATAGGCGATTTCGGTCGTCGACAATGAAAAATCAAAAACTCGCCTAGTGTGCACACTCGATCGCAAGCGATATTTCGTCGCCAGCGATGCCAATGGTCGCCGATATCAGACTTGTTTGATATGATCGCCCAAGTCGTCGCTTCATCGGCAACAAATCGTGTAATGTGCTCACCTCGGCGACAAGTTATAGACCGGGCGCCTGCTTCAGTTAATCATACTAAGAGAGGGAAATTGTCTGATAGGGCATAATTGTTTGTCAATGCCTACTAGTCAAACATCTGGATTTCTGCCGGGAATTAACCTGTCGGGAATTAACCTGCCCATTTAGGTGGTGTGGGGGCCTAAAGGGAGCCCATTTTCACTTTTAATCATACTATGGTAGGGATGGACAATTTTGATAATATTTAATATATAGGTAATACTGAGTCGAAAAACACCATTGACAGCAACTTTTTGTTGACAGTGACCTTGGACAGCAAAGGTCAAGTGCTGTCCAAAATTCATTTATTCATACTAAGTGAGTGATGGCTAAAACTTTTTGAACATGATTCATTAGACGGTTCCAAACATTCCTACATCATTGCCAGCAATTTCACACTGACCGGAAGTGGCGACAGTGACAGTTATACCACAACATGGCATCAGGTATGAGGCATCAGATATAATCATACATTGAGAGGGATGGCTGATTTTTTTACACAATGTTAAAATATGTATATACACTACAAAAATACAAATGACAGCAATTTTACACTGACCGGAAGTGTCGCCAGTGATGATTATGTAATAGGCCCCATCCTCAGATATAATCATACATTGAGAGGGATGGCTGATTTTTTTACACAATGTTTAAGTATGTATACACTACAAAAATACAAATGACAGCAATTTTACACTGACCGGAAGTGTCGGCAGTCTTGATTATGTAATAGGCCCCACCCTCATATATATAATCATACATTGAGAGGGATGGCTGATTTTTTTACACAATGTTAAAATATGTATATACACTACAAAAATACAAATGACAGCAATTTTACACTGGCCGGAAGTGTCGCCAGTGATGATTACGTAATAGGCTCCATCCTCATGAAATTGGGTGCCTGATAAGGCTATAAATTCACAAAATGTTAAAGTATCTCCTACTGCAAAATTATGATGGCAGGGCATAAATGGCAGGGTAGCCATATTATCTAAACCAATATTAATTGAAGTATTCAACGCGTTGACGACTAAAATGAATTTACAGGTGTCACAAGACGAAGCATGTGACAGGGTGTTTTTTTCCGTGATCGCCAAAGTCGTCGTGTAGTGTGCTCAATCCACTTATATTGAGGCGATATTTGTCGCCAGTCTCGTCGCTTAAGTTGACGCATAGTGTGCGCCAGGCTTTAGTAGAAGTGTTTTACATAATATTTTTTTAGATTTACAACACATACAAATTCAGATGTGCCATACAACTCTTGTACCCACATCCACCTTTTATAAAAATTATGTACAATTTCAGAACAAAATTCTGTCTTCCCTGGTTTTATTTATTAAACATATTTTTAACTGAAAACTGATTAATGTGAAAGAAGAAAACAATTACTAAAAAGAATGTATACTTAATTACAAAAATGCTAAAAATAATGAGTGGGTTTACTGCCTTACTTTATTATTATCACAGTGATGCAATGTGCCCTTTCTAATCATTCAATTTGCCACATTTGCTCCTGTGGTTAGCCATCTGTTCCCAGTGAGATGGACAATCCCATCATTTAACAGTCAATTTTAATCTATGGGAGATAGACAATCCAGTCACCTCACAGGAAGTTTTAATCTATGGCATAGGCCGGTCTTCATTAGCGCAGTTGGAACAGAACAGTAGAATGTTAAACCCCATTTCATTTCATTTATGCTATTTCATTTCTTAGAAGGGGAAGAAAAGCGAAGAGCTTAGCCTAGTGATCCTACTTAAAAGCTTGGGATTGTAACCCAGATTTAGATCACACAATAGCCCTGTAGAATGTTTTAATCAATGTACATATTTTATAGTTGACGGTGTTTTGGATAGATCAGAATTTACTACAGCTCGATGTATGACAGCCTTCAACAGACTTAAAAATGATAGAGATAACGGGATAGAAATAGATCTTGAACGTTTATTTGATCTGAATATTAACCATGGTAAGTTTAACTTAAAATGATGAGTTCTGGTTGAATTCGGTCAAACATAAAATTTATTTGTAGATTTGTTTTTTTTGAGAGGAAAAATGTTATTTTACTGTAAATTTCCAAATTTTGAGTTTTTTATTTCAGCAAGGATAGATAAAGTGAACAACAGCATAATTTCACTAATTGTTATCTAACTAAGTATGAAGACGAATTCACAGAAAATCTACCGATTTCAGCTTTACTGTTCCCCCACCAAATTGATGTAGAAATCAAGACTTTCCCGGAGGACCGAATTGCATCAAATGTATTTGATCTCATTTGCTGGGATCTATAAGTTTGTCAGAATTTGGAACTGTTCAAGTTTTCTCATAGAAAATTGTAATTTACGAACTCTATACTAATAATATACAGCAGTAGCAGGATAGCATCATTTCAGCTATTCCATCAAAATATGAAATTCCATCATTTGTTTCATTTACAAAGGAAAATTTATTTGTTTCTAAAATATTCCCCACCCCTGTCAGTTATTTCTTTAAAATAACATGAACTTCTTGCATTTCTTTCATTGCAAACAATTAATTGTTTCTAGAAGTTTCCAGAAATTAATGATAATATTCAAACAGCTTCAGCACATCCTATGATAGATAACATTACTGGAATTAGTGCTACAGTACACAAATGTTACAGTTAAATTAGCACCACAATTTAATAATGCTACACCATTCATGACTACATATAACTTATTATCGTGACAGGAGTGCTATTTTCTGCTCAGAAACTTGATAATAATTGTGTACTTTACTGTTAAACAGTGTGGACGGGCATCAATGAAATATTTAGCATATATGTACAGCCACAGTTATATCCTAAACCCCCATGAACTCAAGCCAACAAAATGAATTGATATATTTTATTGATCTGAATAAAGAGATCTTTAATTTGTTATCTTGGGTATAAGGCTTTTGTGTGGAACCTTTCACCACAAGAGTTGCTCTAGAAGGCACAAATTCGACTTTAATTTAATCTTGTTACCATTTATAGGCTGTTGTGTTTTTTACCATATGAATTCCATATGATATTCCTTTTTAAAATCTTTTCTCAGATCCATGATGTTTTAGTTTTCAGTGATGAGGATTTTAAAAATCGGATTGCTAATGTTAAGCTGACGGATAGTGATTTGAGAATATATTTTGGAGTGACTCCGGATGTTGCAACTGCGATTATTGCCAAATTGGATAGTAATGGTAAGTGTTTCAATAAAAGTACCATGTTTAATATCTTCTTAAAGTTACAATTTCATATTTTCTAAGAAATTCAAAACATAATTATTTCTATGTCTTTTGCTCAATAGGTTGTCAACTCACTATTTATACTATCATAGGTGTCATTCTCACACTTAAAACTCATTTACACCGGAAATAATAATAACACAATTACCTCCCTTGTTTTCTATTCTCCACCATGGAGTAGCTAACTTCAAACGTTTGAATTTGAAGATGAAAATGATATTTTTGCCAATTTCTCAACTGGCAATAGTGAATTATAGGATTAATAGGATTATTCTTTAACCAGGTAGGACTGTTTATAGATACCATCTATTTTAGGGCTTTATTTTAATACATTTTAAAAATATAACTTAAAAATATGAAATTGTAACTTTAACATTCACCCAAGTGGGGTTCAATTGTCATTTAGCTAACTGTAACATTCCCCCAAATGACCTTTGTTGAATGTTCAGACTTTTTTGATGAAAATGTCTCCATATATAGACACAATGAGATGGACATGTCCATACACATTGTTGACATTTTGACCCGTATGACTCGCTCAGTAGAAGCTGAACTCTTAGAATTTTTCAAAAATAAGTATTTTGCATAATATTTTTTCATATTTACAACACACACAAGTTCAGATATGCTATACATCTCTTGTAAAGCGGTACACATGTAACCCTGTACACCTTTTGTAAAAATATGTGTGATATCAGAACAAAAGTCAGTCTTTCCTAGTTTTATATATTAAACATATTTTTAACTGAAAACTGATTAATGTGAAAGAAGAAAACAATTGCTAAAAAGAATGTGCACTTAAACCTGCATTATGCAAGTGGTAAATCTGTCTATTGTAAGACAAGACCATAATCAATTCTCGTCATCTTACGTGTCTGATTTTCATTGGATTTGAATCTTATTTGCTGTTCAACGTTTGTTGATGATTAAACGCAAATTTGGATAATCAAGACTTTTAAAATAAGGTTTTCTCAGCTTAGAGTGAAGCAATTTGACTGAAATTTTCAGCATATTCCATTTACATCATCTAGTCTTTTACTATTATAGTGAGAACTGCCAGCTCTTATCTAAATCATGGATAATGTATCTTTGATTATAAAATTGTTAAAAATAATGAGTGAGTTTACTTTATTATTATCACAGGGATGCATGGAATGTGCCACTTCTTGTTCTAATCATCCAATCGGCCACATTTGGTGCATGTGCTTGAGATTGGCCATCCCTGCAAGTCAGATAATCCAATCACTTGACAGGAAGTTTTGATCTAGGGCGTATGCCCGTCTTCATTAGCGCAGTAGGAGCAGAACAGTAGAACGTTAAACCCAATTTCATTTCATTTATGTTATTTCAATATTTAGAAGGGGAAGAAAAGCGAAGTGCTTAGCCTAGTGACCCTACTTAAAAGCTTGGGATGATAACACAAGATGTACATACAAGGTTTAGACCACACAAGAAAACCCTGCAGGAAGTTTTAATCTATATGATATATGTACATATTTTATAGGTGATGGTTTTTTGGTTAGATCAGAATATACTACAGCTCGATGTATGGCAGCCCTTGCTAGACTTAAATGTGATAGAGATAACGGCATAAAAATAGATCTTGATCGTTCAAAATTATTACTTGATCTGAATATTAAGAGTGGTAAGTTGAACTTAAAATGATGAGACCTCGTTGATTTCGGTCAATCATAAAATTCAGAGGATTTTTTATGTAGATTTGTTGACAAAACATCTTCATTTTATAAATTGTTACAACTATAGATAAAGCTGGTGGTAAAGTTTGGGAGTGTTTTGAAAAGCTTTGGGTTTTTGGGGGGGGGGGGGGCGATATTTATTTTCCTGAAATATTAAAAATACACTAGTTAAGAGCTAAATATGTCTGTCTATAGGCTTTAAATGTTATCGAAATTATTAATTTGACCTTTATTGTCTATAGGCTTTAAATGTTATCGAAATTATTAATTTGACCTTTATTGTCAAATTAAAATGGGTTCGTTCGTTCGTTCGTTCGTTCGTCCGTCCGTCACACTTTTTGGGACACAATAACTCTCTTTCTAATTGAGCTAGAATGTTCAAACTTGGTGTTTATTTGCTCAATGCCTTGATGGAGTTCGAAGATGAGCATTTTCTACTTAGGGTAAGCAGAGATAAGCAATTTGATTGGTTGATGCTTTGGGACAAGATAACTTTAGTTCTAATTAAGTGAGAGTGATGAAACTTGGTGTATAGTTTCATTACAACATTACCTTGACTAAGTTCGATAATGAGCATTTTCTGCTCAGGGTAAGCAGAGCGATAAGCAATTTGATTGGCCGAAATTTTGGAACACAATAACTCTCCTTCTAATTGAGCTAGAATGTTCAAACTTGGTGCAGGTGTCTATTAGGCGTATGCCTTGATGGAGTAAGCAGAGATAAGCAATTTGATTGGTTGATGCTTTGGGACACGATAACTTAAGTTCTAATTAAGTGAGAGTGATGAAATTTGGTGTATAGTTCTATTACATCAATACCTTGACTAAGTTCGATAATGAGCATTTTCTGCTCAGGGTAAACAGCGATAAGCAATTTGATTGGTCGAGACTTTGGAACACAATAACTCCATTCTAATTGAGCTAGAATGCTCTCACTTGGCGTAGGTGTTTATTAGGTGAATGCCTTGATGGAGTTCAGAGTTAGAAGATGAGAATTGTCTGCTTAGGGTAAGCAGAGATAAGCAATTTGATTGGTTGATGCTTTGGGACACGATAACTTTAGTTCTAATTAAGTGAGAGTGAGGACACTTGGTGTATAGTTTTATCACATCAATACCTTGACTAAGTTCAATAATAAGCATTTTCTGCTAATGGTAAGCAGAGCGATAAGCAATTTGATTGGTCGAGACTTTGGAACACAATTACTCTCCTTCTAGTTGAGGTGGAATGTTCAAACTTGGTGTAGCCGTTCATTAGGTGAATGCCTTGATGGAGTTCGATGATAAACATTGTCTGCTTATGGTAAGCACAGGTAAGCAGTCTGATTTGTTAATGCTTTGGGGCCAATAACTTTAGTTTTAATTAAGTGAGAGTGATGAAACTCCCGAGTATAGATTCATTAGTTTGATGATGAGAATTTTCTGCTTAGGCTAAGGATTGATAAGCAATTTGATTAGTCAAGACTTTGGAACATAACAACTCTGCTTTTAATTGAGTTAGAATGTTTAAACTTGATGTTGATATTCATTAGGTGAATGTCTTGAATGAGTTCAGTGATTAGCATTTCGAGCTAAAGTATAGTGCTAAGCAATTTTATTGGTCGATGCTTTGGGACCAGATAACTTTGATTCTATCTGATTGAGAGTGATGAAACTTGGTGTATAGTTGATAATCGGTTTGATTGCTTGATACATAACAAACCCAACATCAACTCTGTAGACCCTCAGATGGTTTGGATACAGCTTGGATTTAAAGTCATCCATTTAATAATTAAATCATTGAATGGCTGACCAAGCTAACATTTACTATTAGTCACTGACTTCACACCTGGAGACTGCCGATGAATGGACTGATAATCGAGGGTACCGTAGGCATTGAGAATGTTACTTGATAATCGAGAATATGTGGGCGGAGTTATCGTTTCAAACGTTGAGAGAATCAGTAATGCTGCAAACGAGTTTTCCTTCTATTTCAGTCTGTGAATGCAACAACTTCAGTGTGGTCCAATATAGCCTACCTTTAGTGGCTGACCTGATCCCCAAACAACCAATCAATCGTCTCGGGGTATGGGGGCTTTGTCCTCCCAGAGAAAATTTTGAAAATTTAACCACCGAAAATGCGTTTTTCTGCTTCTCTAGCCCGTGAGTTAAGCAACTCGAAAGTTCTCTAATGGTTTTGTAACAGAAATCCCACTCTATGCCGACCTGAACTCCAACCATCCAATCACACTGTTGCAGCAGCATTCACAAAATATAATCGATGCCTGAAAAATGTCGCACAAATTAGAGTGGCTCCAGACAAAATGTTTTAATCTATAGTCAATTCAGTATAAATTGGTGGTATTCAATTAAAAGAAAAGTAAATATTAGTGTTTTTATACGCCCACATTTTCATGTGGAGGTATATTGTCGTCGCCCCTGTCCGTCCGGACGTCCGTCCACAATTGTTTGTGGACACTCTAAGGTCACAATTTTTATCTGATTTCAACGAAACTTGAAATATAGGTTTATCTCCCTAAGATCTCGGTTCCTTTCAATATTGGCATGTATCGGACTGTAACTTCATGGATTATGGCCCCAATAGAGGTCACAATTTTTATCCGATTTTGTTAAAACTTGAAATGTAAGTTTGTAACCCAAAGATCTTAGTTCCTGTCGATATTCGAGCATATTGGACCGTAACTTCCTGAATTATGGCCCCTGATTGTACGAGAAATCGCGTTTTTAGCTTGTGCACCCTATAGAGGTCTAAATTTTTTCCGATTTAAATAAACGTATTATTATATCACCGTTACACCTTAAGGATGGCTGAGTTCGAATTTCGTGAAAATCAGCTCAAAATTGACAGACAAAATGGCCGCCGTTCGTTCTCAAATAGAATAAAAATACGGTATATCAAGGTTATGGACCCTATAGAGGTCACAATTTTTGTCCGATTTTGTTGAAACAAAGTTTATAACCCAAAGATCTTGGTTCCTTTCGATATTCGCGTGTATCGGATCATAACTTTCTGAATTATTAGCCTCCATGTAGAGGTCACAATTTTTATCCGATTTAAAAAAAACATGTTAATATATCACCATTACACACTAAGATCTTGGTTCCTTTTGATAATCGCGTATATCCGAACGTAACTTCCTGGATTATAGCTAATGATTATTTGAAAAATCGCATTTTTGGCTTGCAGATTCTTTAGAGGTCACAATTTTTTTTCCGATTTTAAAACCGTTTAAATATTTCATCATTCCACTATAATGAAGGTTGAATTCGAATTTCGGGAAAATCTGAATGAAACTGCCCGACAAAATGGCTGCTCTTTGTACACAAATTGTGTAAAAGTATGCAATACGAAGGTTGTGGTCACAATTTTTATCTGATTCTGATGAAACTTAATACATATCTTTATATCCCAAAGATCTCAGTCCCTTTTGATATTTGCGCATTTCAGACCATAACGATTGTACAAAAAATCCTGTTTGTTTTTAGCTTGTTCTCTATCCATCTCTTGCAAAATGTGGGCGTATACTGCCTGGCAGCAGCTGGTTATTTTTACTTTACCCATCTGCCCGAAAAGTACGATTGCCCAAACGTTAGGGGGGCCGTTGCACCCCTGCCCACCCTGGCTCGTAGGCCTATACCCAAGCCAACAAAATAGACTATGTGAGAGAAAGTCATTGAAAATCAAACATATGCTTATAAATCAAAATGAATTGATATATTTAATTGACCTGAATAAATAGATAGTTTATTTGTTATCTTGGGTATAAGGCTTTTGTGTGGAACCTTTCACCACAAGAGTTGCTCTAGAAGGCAGAAATTTGACTTTAATTTAATCTCATTACCATTTATAGGCTGTTGTGTTTTTTACCATATGAATTCCACATGATATTCTTTTCAAAAATCTTTTCTCAGATCCATGATCTTTTAGTTTTCAGTGATGTTGATTTTAAAAATCGGATTGCTAATGGTAAGCTGAGGACTAGTGATTTGGAAGATTATTTTGGCGTGACTTCAGATGTTGCAACTGCGTTCATTGCTCAATTTGATAGGAATGGTAAGTGTTTCAATCAAAGTACCATGTTTAACTCTTAGAACCCGAAATGGCGCAAAACCGGCTTTGACGTTGTAGCGCATATACCCGAAATGTCGGTTTTGCGGATTGTGGACGTGTCTACTGACACGCTTCCTTAACAGTAACAAAATAGCCAATCAAAACGCCAATTACCGTTTGCCCCGGGTCTGTTGTAAATAGTAAGTTCCTTCCACTTGTTTACATTTCAATTTTGCCAAATCTTTCGTCGAATTGTTTGTTCTAAACGACTAAATGCAACGGATACACTAACTCTTATAACGAGCGATAATGGCGAAGATATTGATGGATCGAATTACGGCAATGGAAGCGATTTTAAAAGTGAATATGCCCTAGATTTGGACGAAAATAACAAAGAAAATGACAGCGATGATAATACTCGTATGTGTAATCAGTTTGTAAATAATGAAATGTTGATCTACAGTACATGGCCCGTGATAGAAATATTGGACTTAGGGCGTGGTCGCGATATTAGCAGAGTTCAAAAACTGTTGGCATGATTGGAACTCCAAGTTTATGGATTGGAGATAAAATTGAATAAAAGTTAAATTTTCTGCTTAAATACCATTGTTCCATCATTTCACACAATTATAAACATATATAATATAAAATGATGTCACTTTTGCAAAATCGTGCTGTAAAGTCAGGGTAGGGTATGTGTCACCCAAAATATTTTCAGGGTTGAAAGGGTTAATATTTGTCATGTAGCTGACAGACAAAATGGCCTCCCTTCGTTCTCAAATAGCGTAAAATATGGTATATCAAGGTTGTGGACCCTATAGAGGTCACAATTTTAATCTGATTTTGTTGAAACTTTAAATGTAAGTTTATAACACAAAGATCTTGATTTCTTTCAATATTTGCGCATATCAAATTGTAATTTCCTGAATTATGGCCCTTGATTGTAGGAAAAATCACGTTTTTAGCTTGTGGACCCTATAGAGGTCATAATTTTTATCCAATTTAAAAAAACGTTTTAGTGTATCACCACCGTTACACCCTAAAGACGGCTGAGTTCAAATTGACTGGCAAAATGGCCGCCCCTTGTTCTCCTATAGCGTAAAAATATGGTATATCAAAGTTGTGGACCCTATAGAGGTCACAATTTTTATCCGATTTTGTTGAAACTTGAAATGTAAGTTTATAACCCAAAGATCTTGGTTTCTTTCGATATTTGCGCATATCGAATTGTAATTTCCTGAATTATGGCCCTTGATGGTAGGAAAAATCACTTTCTTTTTAGCTTGTTCTCTATCCATCTCTCGAAAATGTGGGCGTATCCTGCCTGACAGCCGCTGGTTCAGATTTACAACACACACAAATTCAGATATGCCATATAACTCTTGTACCCACATCCACCTTTTGTAATAATATATACAATGTGAGAACAAAGTTCTTTTTTTCCTAGTTTTATTTATTAAACATATTTTTTATACGCCCACATTTTCATGTGGACGTATATTGTCGTCGCCCCTTGCTTTCTTTTGATATTTGCGCGCCCCTTGCTTCCTTTTGATATTTGCGCATATCGGATCGTAACTTCCTGAATTATGGCTCTTGATTGTGCAAAAATTTAGAGGTCACAATTTTTATCCAATTTAAAAATATCACCGTTACACACTAAGATCTTGGTTCCTTTAGATAATCATGCATATCCGAACGTCACTCCTGGATTATGACCCCTGATTGTTCGAAAAATCGCATTTTTAGCTTACTGATTTTGTTGAGGTCACAATTTTCTTTCCGATTTTAAAAAACATTTAAATATATCACCATTCCACCATAATGAAGGTTGAATTTGAATTTCGGGAAAATTGAAATGAAACGGCCCAACAAAATGGCTGCTCTTTGTATGCAAATTGTGTAAAAGTATGTAATACGAAGGTTGTGGACCCTCTAGAGGTCACAATTTTTATCCAATTTTGATGAAACTTAAAAGGTATGTTCATAACCCAAAGATCTTGGTTCCTTTCGATATTTGTGCATAACGGACCATATCACATTATTTTTTTCTCTCGTTCTCTGTCCATCTCTTGCAAAATGTGGGCGTATCTTGCATGGCAACCGCTTGTTAAATGAAAACTGATTAATGTGAAAGAAGAAAACAATTACTAAAAAGAATGAATTCTTAGTTACAAAAACGCTAAAAATAATGAGTTGGTTTACTGCCTTACTTTATTATTATCACAGTGATGCAATGTGCCCTTTCTAATCATTCAATTTGCCACATTTGCTCCTGAGGTTAGCCATTTGATCCCAGTGAGATGGACAATCCCATCATTTCACACTAAATTTTAATCTATGGGAGATAGACAATCCAGTCACCTCACAGGAAGTTTTAATCTATGGCATAGGCCGGTCTTCATTAGCTCAGTTGGAACAGAACAGTAGAATGTTAAACCCCATTTCATTTCATTTCATTTATGTTATTTCAATATTTAGAAGGGGAAGAAAAGCGAAGCGCTTTGCTTAGTGACCCTACTTAAAAGCTTGTTTTAATCTATATGATATATGTACATATTTTATAGGTGATGGTGGTTTGGTTAGACCAGAATTTACTACAGCTCGCTGTACAACAGCCTTTGGCAGACTTAAAAATGATAGAGATAACGGGAAAAAAATAGATCTTGAACGTTTACTTGAACTGAATATTAACAGTGGTAAGTTTAACTTAAAATGATTGAGTCCACATTGATTTCGGTCAAACATAAAATTCATAGGATTTTATATGTAGATTTGTTTTTGTTATACGCCCACATGTTCATAGGTTTATCTCCAAAAGATCTCAGATCCTTTTGATATAGGCATGTATCTTATCAAAACTTGTGGACACTCTAGAGGTCACAATTTTTATCAAATTTAGATGAAACTTGAAATGTATGTTTATAACCCAATGATCTGGGTTCCTTTTGATATTTGCCCATATTCGTCAACATCAAAATGTGAGCATATAAAAATGAATAAACCTTTTTTGGTCTGTAGATAAAGCCAGTGTTGAGGTATAACAGATGTGTTTTTTGTCAAAACGCCAGCACAATGAGAAAATAATTGAGTCTCTGAGGTGTTAACAGGCCCCTGTCACACTGCTGCAATGATCCGCTGACTCATGGGCTTTAAATTTTTGACCAAATCTCCGTGACATCAAAGTGTGTTCTCAATTCAACAATGCCAAATACCAAGATATTCACTGTAATCAGAGGGAATGTTCCATTGTCTAGAAGATGGAACAGGTTGAGGAAGGTTGTTTCCATCAGTGGAAGTGAGATCGTACTAAAACACACTGCAAACCTATTGCAAACAATGCCTTGGACATATTACACGTGTGACAGGGGAGATAACACAGTCATGGCCATTTTTTACATGAAATTGAAGAAGGACCAAAATATATTTTATCTCATTTGCTGGGATCTATTGTCAGAATATGAAACTGGCCCAATTTAATTACATATTTAATTACATATTAGGAACACTATGCCAATAATACACAGTAGAGATATGTAGGTCTAAGTATGTTCAGAACAGGGTTGTAGTTGTATCAATTGAGCTATTACGTTAAAACACTAAATTCTGTCATTTGTTTCATTTACAAAGCAAAATTTAGAAGATTTCCCACCCCTCTCAGTTATTTCTTTAAAATAACATGAACTACTTGCATTTCTTTCATTGCAAACAATTCATTGTTTCTAGAAGTTTCCAGAAATTAATGATAAAATTCAAACAGCTTCAGCACATCCTACGATAGATAACATTACAATTAGCGCTACTGTACAAAAACGTTACAGTTAGCGCTCTAACTAGTTACAAAATAGTTACAGTTAGACCACAATTTAATAATACTACATTATTCTTTTTCTATTTGCAAACTCCATTGTCAAAAAATTATATGAGTTTACAACTAGAAAATATGTCTTTTTAGCGTGACAGGAGTGCTACAGTACAAAATGGTTACAGTTAGACGACAATTTGATAATGCTACAATATTCATTTTCTATTTGCAAACACAATTGTCAAAACATTATTTGAGTTTACAAGTTGAAAATATGACTTTTTATCGCGACAGGAGTGCTATTTTCTACTAAGAAACTTGATAATAATTGTGTACTTTACTGTTAAACAGTGCGGTCAGGCATCGATGAATTATTTATCAGATATGTACAGCCACAGTTATATCATTAACCCCCATGAACTCAAGCCAACAAAATAAACTATGTGAGAGAAAGTCATTGAAAATCAAACACCTGCTTATAAATCAAAATGAATTGATATATTTAATTGATCTGAATAAAGAGATCTTTAATTTGTTATCTTAGGTATAAGGTTTTTGTGTGGAACTTTTCACCACAAGATTCCTCTAGATGACAAAAATTGACTTTCAATCTTGTTACCATTTATATAGGCTGTTATGTTTTTTACCATATGAATTCCACATGATATTCCTTTCAAAATACTTTTCTCAGATCCATGATGTTTTAGTTTTCAGCGATGAGAATTTTAAGAAACGAATTACTGATGGTACTCTCACGAATAGTGATTTGAAAAAATATTTTGGCATGCCTTTGAATGTTGCAGTTGTGATCATTGCCCTATTAGATAGTAATGGTAAGTGTAATCATAGTACCATGTTTAATATTTGTCATGTAGCTGACCTTACCTCAACTCTGACCCTTGTTCACAATTCAGCCCCTCACATTTCAGATTATAATTTTTCATTGAAAATGTCTCCATTAACGGGCACAGTGAGATGGACATGTCCATACTCATTGTTTCACTCAGTTGAAGGAGCCCAACTCTTAGAATTTTTCAAAAATAAGAGTTTTGCATAATGTTTTTTTCAGATTTACAACACACACAAATTCAGATATGCTATACAACTCTTTTAACCACATCCACCTTGCGTAAAAATTATGTACGATGTCAGAACAAAATTCTGTCTTTCCTGAAAACCAATTAATGTGAAAGAAGAAAACAATTACTAAAAAGAATGTGTACCTAATTACAAAAACGCTGAAAATAATGAGTGGGTTTACTGCAGTGATGGGATTTCAAAATTTTTCTTGTCGGACATTTTACCGCAAATAAAGGGGCATAACTCTTATCGTTATTTAAGCAGACGAATTCGTACCACAATTAAAAGTCACATGTCAAAATATTCAAATCCCGTACGTAATAAAGATAGGTGAACCTCGCTATTTTTCATATTTAATTCCCGTACAGTATTCAATTCATACCACAATTAAAAACCACATGTCAACAAAATATTCAAATCCCGTACGTAATAAAAATTGGTGACGATCGCTATTTTTCACACTTAATTCCCGTACGGCATTCAAATTTATGTCAGTAAATGTCCTACAAAATTAAGCATTTTCGTAATATGTTGAATGAAAGCTTGCCGATCCTGCTTCGGCATCAAATTCACAACCATAATATTCCTTTAGAATTACGTGTCTTCGTTTATACGGCAGCAAATGAATGCAGAACTTCCGAAATAGTTAAATCACTTGTAAACAGGCATAGCTAACTTCAGCGAATAACACTCTTTCATAGTCACGACAGAGTGACAGGCATCATAGGCAACACAGCAGAATGATTATCATGCTTCTTAATTCCCGCCTTCAAATACGTTAGAATTTCTGCTCATATAGCTATTGGTAGCCCCTCCCCTTTTTGTTATTTTGCTAGGTGCGTACTAGTCTCGGTCACCCAGAAACTCCTAGTCTTCAACATATTCGTAGAATATTTTTCTGGATAATAGAGACTAATAGCCTACGTGACTCACATCACACGGCTTCATAGTAAGGACTGCCTAATAATATGTTAAGCAATATTTGTACCGCGCTCGAGATCAAGGCAAAGTGCCACTGTGGATGAGAATTTCTATATGGATTCTTAAAAGACGTAAAAGATATCGTAGACAAAATGACTGTCCATTGATTTAGGGTGTTATTTACTCTTACGATATGTGGATTAAAATTATAATCATTCTTATTGAATTGATATATAGTCCGACAAAAGGAAAGCAATGACTTCTGTTTAAGATTAGATTGATGAATTGTCCGACAAAGGATTAAGTCAGTCAATCAAGGCAGATTAAGTAGTTAAATCAAGGTACTATAGACGGTATAACACGATAAATACATTGATCACTTAATTACCTAATAAACCCAGAGTATTATCGACGATAATCGGGTTGAGTGGTAGTTATACACTCAGTAAACTATATTAATTTCGGAATTTTGAATATTATTCACCATGTCTTGATGTCCAATTGGGCATATTCCCGGTCGGACAATTTTGGGCGTTTGGAAAAAAGATTCGGACAAGTCCGGAATATATGGGCAAAATCCCATCACTGGTTTACTGCCTTACTTTATTATTATCACAGTGATGCAATGTGCCCTTTCTAATCATCCAATTTGCCACATTTGCTCATGAGGTTAGCCATCCGATCCCAGTGAGATGGACAATCCCATCATTGCACAGTCAATTTTAATCTATGGGAGATAGACAATCCAGTCACCCACAGGAAGTTTTAATCTATGGCATAGGCCGGTCTTCATTAGCGCTGTTGGAACAGAACAGTAGAATGTTAAACCCCATTTCATTTCATTTCATTTATGTTATTTCAATATTTAGAAGGAGAAGAAAAGCGAAGAGCTTAGCCTAGTGATCCTACTTAAAATCTTGGGATCGTAACCCAGATTTAGATCACACAATAGCCCTGTAGAATGTTTTAATCAATGTACATATTTTATAGTTGATGGTGTTTTGGTTAGATCAGAATTTACTACAGCTCGATGTATGACAGCCTTTGGCAGACTTAAAAATGCTCGAGATTCCGACATAAAGATAGATCTTGAAAGTTTACTTGATCTGAATATTAACCATGGTAAGTTTAACTTAAAATGATTGAGTCCACATCGATTTCAGTCAAATGTAGAATTATTTTCATGTGGACGTATATTTACAAGGCTACTTCCAGTTTGTATTTAACAAGATATCCATGGTGAACTTCATACATTCTCACATGTTCCTTCAACCCAACAAAGATTTAGGAAAAACTTGAGCCAATCAATGTGACAAGAGTTATCTACAGACGCTTTGGAGGATATATATATGACTCGAAATAGTTCTAAAATGTGATATTTTGACAATGAGAATATTACAAGAATATAATTTCAAAGATAAATGTCAAAGTTAAGAAAAAAAAAAAGTGATTTTATTGTAATTGTACAAATTTTCAGTTTTTATTTCCAACAGTAAAAATAAATTTTCCTGTTAGTTCTGTATCAGCAAGGATAGATAAAATGAACAGTATTATAATTTCATGAATTATTATCTAGGTATCAAGACAAATTCACAGAAAGTGTACTTATTTTACCCTCAGTTCCCCCCCCCCCCCACACACACACACCACACACCACACACCACACACATCAGATTGATGTAGAAATCAAGGCTTTCACAAGGACTAAAATATATTTTATCTCATTTGCTGGGATCTATAAATTTGTCAGAATTTGAAATTGCCCCAATTTTCTTATAGAATATTACATATTATGAACACTATGCCAATATATACAGGCCTAAGTATGTAGGCCTAAGTATGTACTCGTCGCAGTGTTTCGTTTGATTAGACCTATCAAACTCGGACACTGCTTTAATAACCACAAATTTCTTTTACCAAAAATGACTGGTCAACAGTCAGATCAACAACCAATACATTACAGTGTAACAAAATCATTTGGGTTTAAACAGAGCTCCACATATGTTTACATTACGTTACGTCATTTCTCACGAAATTTATTATGCTCCGCTAACCATTGCAGAAAAATTAACTGTGTTACAAACGAGGCTATTGAAAATGTGTATAATGTAAACAATGGGTAATGACCAGTATCAACAAACTCGTGGAGACAAACAACATATTCCTCGTTTTTAATACATTAAATCACTGTCCAAAGTTTTAGGGAAGACCCCAGATTAAACGAGATAGATTTGATTGAACGGGAAGAATAGGCACACTCCCTCAAAAGTTTGAGTATCAGAAGCCAATCCAGCAATGGCCAGAGAGGGATTTATCGGGGGCCATTGCTTCGGGAATATGGTTCAGAACTTGTATCAATTGAGCTATACTGTAAAACACTAAATTCCTTCCTTTGTTTCATTTACAAAACAAAATTTCTTTCTTTCTAGAAGATTCCCCACCCCTTTCAGTTATTTCTTTAAAATAACATGAACTTCTTGCATTTCTTTCATTGCAAACAATTAATTGTTTCTAGAAGTTTCCAGAAATTAATGATAACATTCAAACAGCTACAGGACATCCTACGATAGATAACATTACTTGAATTAGTGCTACAGTACAAAATAGTTACAGTTAGACCACAATTTGACAATGCTACACCATTCATGACTACATATGACTTTTTATGGTGACAGGAGTGCTATTTTCTACTCAGAAACTCGATAATAATTCTGTACTTTACTGTTAAACAGTGCGTCAGGCATCGATGAATTATTTAGCAGATATGTACAGCCACAGTTATATTCTAAACCACTGTGAACTCAAGCCAACAAAATGAATTGATATATTTTATTGATCTGAATAAAGAGATCTTTAATTTGTTATCTTAGGTATAAGGTTTTTGTGTGGAACTTTTCACCACAAGATTCCTCTGGATGACAAAAATTGACTTTAAATCTTGTTACCATTTATATAGGCTGTTGTGTTTTTTACCATATGAATTCCACATGATATTCCTTTCAAAATACTTTTCTCAGATCCATGATGTTTTAGTTTTTAGTGATGAGGATTTTAAAAATCGGATTGCTAATGGTAGGCTGACAGATAGTGATTTGGAAAATTATTTTGGCGTGACTTTTGATGTTGCTACTGCGATCATTGGCCAATTTGATAGGAATGGTAAGTGTTCACTGTTTAGTATTTTCTTAACATTCACCCATGTGGGATTCTTTTGTCATGTAACTGACCTTACCTCAACTCTGACCCATGTTCACTGTTCAGACCCTCACATTTCAAATTATAATTTTTTGTTGAAAATGTCTCCATAACAGACACAATGAGATGGACATGTCCATACACATTGTTGATATTTCGACTCACGCATCTTACTCAGTGGAAGGAGCTCATCTCTTAGAATTTTTCAAAAATAAGAGTTTTGCGTAATATTTTATTTAGATTTAAAACACACACAAATTGAGATGTGCCACACAACTCTTGTACCCACATCCACTTTTTGTACTGCCATACCTTATTATTATTGCAGGTATGCAATGCGCCACTTTTGATCATCCAATTTGCCACATTTAGCATATGCGCCAGATATTGGCCATCCCTGTGACATAGACAATCCAATCACCTCACTGGAAGTTTTAATCTATGACATATGCCAGTCTTCATTAAACCCCATTTCATTTTATTTGTGTTGGAAGGGGAAGAAACGAAGAGTTTAGTCTAGTGACTCTACTTAAAAGCTTGGGATGGTAACCCAGGGCGTAGATGACAGATTTAAACCACACTATATAGCCCTGCAGGAAGTTTTAATCTATATGATATATGTACATATTTTATAGGTGATGGTGAATTGGTTAGATCAGAATTTACTACAGGTCGTTGTATGGCAGCCTTTGCCAGACTTAAAAATGATAGAGATTCCAACATAAATATAGATCTTGAACGTATAAAATTTCTACTTGATCTGAATGGTGACCAAGGTAAATTGAACTTAAAATGACGAGACCTTGTTGATTTCGGTCAAACATAAAATTCAGAGGATTTATATACGCCCACATTTTCATGTGAATGTATATTGTCGTCGCCCCTGTCCGCCCGGACGTCCGTCCACAATTTGTTTGTGGACACTCTACAGGTCACAATTCTTATCCGATTTTGACGAAACTTGAAATATAGGTTTATAACCCAAAGATCTTGGTTCCTGTCAACATTCTCGCAAATTGGACTGTAACTTCCTGAATTATGGCCCCTGGTTGTACGACAAATCACATTTTTAGCTTGTGGTCTCTCTAGAGGTCACAATTATTATCCGATTTAAAAAACATTCGAATATATCACCGTAACACCGTAATGTTGGTTGAGTTTGAATTTCGTGAAAATCGGACCAAAACTGCCGAACAAAATAGCTGTCCCTCATACGCAAATAGTGTAAACATATGGTATATCATGGTTATGGATCCTCTAGAGGTTACAATTTTAATGTGATTTTGATGAAACTTGAAATACCTGTCTTTAACCCAAAGATCCTGGTTCCTTTCGATATCCGTGATTATCGGATCGTAACTTCCTGAATTATGGTCCTTGATTGTACGAAAAATCACATTTTAGCTTGTGGTCTATCTAGTGGTCACAATTTTTATCAGATTTAAAAAAAACGTGTGAATATATCCCCGTTACACCCTGATGATGGTTGAGTTCGAATTTCATGAAAATCAGACTAAAACTGAAGACAAAATGGCCGCCCCTCGCATTCAGATAGTGTAAATATATGGTATATCAAGGTTGTGGACCCTCTAGAGGTCACAATTTTGATCCGATTTTGATGAAACTTAAAATTTATAACCCAAAGATCTTGGTTCCTTTCGATAATCGTGCATATCCAAACGTAACTTCCTGGATTATGGCCCCTGATTGTACGAAAAATCACGTTTTTAGCGTGTGGTCCCTCTAGAGGTCACAATTATTAACCGATTTGAAAAACTGTTTAAATATATCACCGTTACACCATAATGTTGTTTGAGTTTGAATTTCATGAAAATGGGACCATATTTGCGCATATCGGATCCTAAGTTCCTGAATTATGGGAATTGTACAAAAAATGGCTTTTTGTTTAACCTGTTCTCTATCCATCTCTTGCAAAATGTGGGTGTATCTTGCCTGGAAGCCACTGGTTAAAATATTTTAAGCTTCTTTGTAATTTCTCTTGATTTTACCATATCAAAGTAATATATACGTAAAAAATAAGTCCATTTTTATACGCTCACATTTTCATGTGGACGTATATTGTCGTCGCACCTGTTCGTCCGGACGTCCACAATTGTTTGTGGACACTCTACAGGTCACAATTCTTATCCGATTTTGACGAAACTTAAAATATAGGTTTATCTACAAAAACTCTCGGCTGCTTTCAATATTGACATGTATCGGATCGACACTTCATGGATTATGGCCCCTGTTTGTACGAAAAATCATGTTTTTAGCTTGCGTATCCAGTAGAGGTCACAATTTTTATTTCTTTGTAATTTCTCTTGATTTTACCATATCAAAGTAATATATACGTAAAAAATAAGTCCATTTTTATACGCTCACATTTTCATGTGGACGTATATTGTCGTCGCACCTGTTCGTCCGGACGTCCACAATTGTTTGTGGACACTCTACAGGTCACAATTCTTATCCGATTTTGACGAAACTTAAAATATAGGTTTATCTACAAAAGCTCTCGGCTGCTTTCAATATTGGCATGTATCGGATCGACACTTCATGGATTATGGCCCCTGTTTGTACGAAAAATCATGTTTTTAGCTTGTGGACCCTATACATGTAGAGGTCACAATTTTTATCCGATTTTGTTGAAACTTGAAATGTAAGTTTAAAACCCAAAGATCTCGGTTCCTTTCGATATTCGCATATCGAATTGTAATTTTCTGACCCCTATTGTCCTTGCTAGTATTAATAGATCGAATATCAGCCGGGTGAACCATGAATATTTATCCGGTGGGGGCCATTAATTCCATTGGTAATAATGACAATAATTTGAAACTAATATATCTTAATACATTTTAATACTGTTATTTTCAGTTGGTCAATGTAGAAATGTAAGATGTTTGAATAATGGCAGCTGTGAACGTGGTATATGTAAATGTACGCCTGGTTACAGTGGAGATGACTGTAGAAGTAAGTGTTTAATATTTGCAATTAGGGTGATCATCTGGTCATTGCAAAAATTTGGTTCGATTGTTTGCACCAATCCTTCAATATTTATCCTAACATGGAGATATTATCGACACAAACACAATAAATGATTATCACAGACTATATTTTAAATCAAAAACTAGGTGAAATCAATCAAAAATACAGAGAGAACCCACTTTATTAGGCAGGCATCCTTGGTCCATAGCACCGACTTCCCCATTAGCACTAAATAAAAAAAAAATGAAACCAGGATTAATACAACAGCAATAGGGCTATACGGTACATATCGGAAATAATATATGATAAAAAAAATATAATTTCACAGAAATAATAAAAAGAAATAAATGTGTTACATAACAGGAAGAATACAAAGATGATGATGGAATAATTAGTTTATACTGCTACCTTTATGAAAACCTGAACGACTTAAGAGACGTTCCCACTTTTCTTTTTTTTTTGTCAGAAGCATTTCTTAAAACTGTATTCACCACTACTTTATAATCTACATATTGTTCATAATCATGTTCATCTTGTATCTTGTTACTACAGTGAATCTATGTGAAATAAATTCCTGTCCCGGTGATACACCTTGTGTACCAATAATTGTACCTAATGGATACGTTTGTAGTTGTGTTGAACGGTCGTCCATTAACCAATTAACGAGTTTACCAAGGTGTGATGGTGAGTACATTGAAGGACTTAAATTACACTTGCTGAGTGTTGGTAATGCCTTTTTCATTTGCCCACATTTTCAAATGGCCATATTAAGCCATTGCCCCTGTCCGAAAGATCTCACTTCCTTTTGATATTTGTGCATATCAGTACGTAACTTCCTGGATTATGGCCCCTGATTTTACGAATAATCGCATTTTTATACGCCCACATTTTCATGTGGACGTATATTGTCGTCGCCCCTGGACAGCCGTCCGGATGTCCGTCCACAATTATTTGTGAACAGTCTACAGGTCACAATTTTTATCCGATTTTGATGAAACTTGAAATATAGGTTTATCTCCAAAAGATCTCGCCTGCTTTCGATATTGGCATGTATCGGACTGTAACTTCATGGATTATGGCCCCTGATTGTACAAAAAAATAACGTTTTTAGCTTGTGAACATTGTAGAGGTCACAATTTTTATCCGATTTAGTTTAAACTTGAAATGTATGATTATAACCCAAAGATCTCGGTTCCTTTCGATATTCGCGCATATTGGAACGTAACTTCCTGAATTATGGCCCCTGATTGTACGCAAAAATCGTGTTTTTAGCTTGTGGACCCTACAGAGGTCATAATTTTTATCCGATTTAATAAACCGTATAATTATATCACCGTTAAACCCTAAGGACGATTGAGTTCGAACTTCGTGAAAATCGGCCAAAAACTGACAGACAAAAAGGCCGCCCTTCGTTCTCAAATAGCGTAGAAATATGGTTTATCAAGGTTGGGGTCACAATTTTTATCTGAATTTGTTGAAACTTGAAATGTAAGTTTATAACCCAAAGATCTCGGTTCCTTTTGATATTTGCGCATATAGGAACGTAACTTCCTGAATTATGGCCCCTGATTGTACGAAAAATCGCGATTTTAGCTTGTGGAGCCCATAGAGGTCATAATTTTTATCCGATTAAAAAAAACGTATTATTATATCACCGTTAGACCCTAAGGACCTGCTGAGTTCAAATTTCGTGAAAATCGGCCCGAAACTTACGACAAAATGGCCCCCCTTCGTTCTCAAATAGCGTAAAAATATGGTATATCAAGGTTGTGGACCCTATAGAGGTCACAATTTTTATCTGATTTTGTTGAAACTTGAAATGTAAGTTTATAACCCAAAGATCTCGGCTCCTTTCGATATTCGCGCATTCGGAACGTAACTTCCTGAATTATGGCCCCTGATTGTACGAAAAATCGCGATTTTAGCTTGTGGAGCCCATAGAGGTCATAATTTTTATCCGATTTAAAAAAAACGTATTATTATATCACCGTTAGACCCCAAGGACGACTGAGTTTAAATTTCGTGAAAATCGGCCCAAAATTGACAGACAAAATGGCCATCCTTCGTTCTCAAATAGCTATCAAATAGCGTAAAAATATGGTATGTCAAGGTTGTGGACCCTATAGAGGTCACAGTTTTTATCCGATTTTGTTGAAACTTGAAATGTAAGGTTGTAACCTAAAGATCTCAGTTCCTTTCAATATTCGCGCATATCGGACCGTAACTTCCTGAATTATGGCCCCTGATTGTACGAAAAATCACTTTCTTTTTAGCTTGTTCTCTATCCATCTCTCGAAAATGTGGGCGTATCCTGCCTGGCAGCCGCTGGTTAGCTTGTGGGCCCCTGTAGAGGTCACAATTTTGATCCGGTTTTAAAAACCGTTTAAATATATCACCGTTATACATATTGATGACTGAATTCAAATTTCGTAAAAATTGGATCGAAACTGTCCGACAAAATGGCTGCTCCTTGTACGCAAATAATGTAAAAGTATGTAATGCCAAGGTCGTGGACCCTCTAGAGGTCATAATTATTATCTGATTTTGATGAAACTTAAAATATGTTTATATACCGAAGATCTGAGTCCCTTCGATCTTTGCACATTTCAGACCATAACTTCCTGGATTATGGCCCCAGATTGTACAAAAAATCACATTTTTTTTTTAGTTTGTTCTCTATCCATATCTTGCAAAGTGTGGGCATATCTTGCCTGGCAACCGCTGGCTGTCCTATTTGGATGAAACCGTGATGGGTTTGATTTTGGTGTGCATGGTACCATCCGTTTCTGAGTTAGGCCCACTTTTCTGTCCGAAAGATCTCGGTTCCAATTGATATTTGTGCATATCAGACAGTAACTTTCTAGATTATGCCCCAGATTGTATGAATAATCGCATTTTTAGCTTGTAGAGCCTCTGGAGGTCACAATTTTTATCCGATTTTAAAAAACGTTTAATGTATTTCGATGAAACCTGAAATGTATCTTTATATCCCAAATATCTCAGTCCATTTCGGTATTTGGCATTTCAGACCATCACCTGCTGGCCCCTGATTGTACGAAAAATCGCTTTTTTTTTAGCTTGTTCTCTATCCATCTCTTGTGAAATGTGGGCGTATCTTGCCTGGCAACCGCTGGCTGTCCTATTTGGATGAAACCGTGATAGGTTTGATTTTGGTTTGCATGGTACCATCTGTTCCTGAGTTAGGCTCAATTTTCTGAAAACCTTGCATACGTGGTAGAGGCTATAGTTTTATCACATGATCTCTATACACAAGATTAAATATTTCCTAATACAAGTGTTCGATTTAAGTAGACACCACAGACTATAAAAACTACATACTTAAAATGCCTGCTTCCAACCAGAATGTGCTTAACTTGACAGAGTTGACATTTAGCTTCAAGATTATTCGAAAATGCATGGGCAATATGAGAGTGACTGACACACCTTCTGTTTCTCTTGTAGGAGTGCATTGTTAAAATTATTTTTTCTAGCAAGGAGAATCATAACACCTATATATGTATATGGCAAGTCTCAGAATTTTGTAAGCGGTATATCTGGAGTTCCTGGTAAAAAACTGGTCATTTCTTTCATTGATGATTTTGGTATTGGATCAACCGATTCCTGTTTTAATGATTACTTACAGATTGCTGGCAAAAAGTATGTAAACACACGAACACATACACATAGAACATTAGCTACATGTTGTATACATGGGACTAAAATCAAGTATTCAAACAGAAGTTTTGATACTGTGATAGGAATCACAATGATACATCTATATACAAATTAAAAACAAACAGTCTATAAAATTAAAAACAGAGCTAGAGAGGAAGAGACACAGTTTAATGTCAACTCGACAACTTCGGGACTAACATGGTATCATTTCATTTCAATAATTCATTTGTGGGTTGGGGTCTTTAGCTGCGGGAAGAAACAGAAGGAAACGATAGCTACAAGGTTAGGCATGGGACTCTGCTCTCCGTCATGATAATGTCATGTAGAAGTGTTATTAGATCGTAACCACATCACTTGACTCAATGACAGACTTTATGATCTAAAGTGCACATGTTAAACTATTAAACTCTTACGAGTATCAATGATGACCAATGCAAAAGAGACACAAAACAGCTTGTTTGTTCTTTTAAACACACCTTTATATTTACCATTTGTTATTATATGCAGATATTGTGGCAACAAGGCTCCAGCAGACATCATGCTTTCAACAGGCCTTGGTACTCAAGTACGCTTTGTTACTGGTCGAATAAACCAAAATGTAGGTTACACATTTACATATCAATATATAGGTAAGTACTGCTGAATATTAAGTACTGTTGGCAAGGAAGTTTCTAGTGATGATGCCATGAAAGTTCCCCAGAATTTTCCAGCCTGGTTTCCCCTTGTCAAGATAACGTGCTCGGCAAGAAAGTCTCTTATTTATATGGTACAAAAAAACTGTGTTCCCTTGTATATGTAGGCAGTCAGGTAAAAGAAGCTTGAGACATAATTACACTCAGCACACTGCATGGGGTAAGTCGGGTTGGGGTAAGTCGGGTTGGTGCACAAAAATAGGATATTAAACCCCATTTAATTTCATCTTTGCAAAAAGTTTTCTTTGCGCGAGAACTGCAATGTTTTCATGTGGTCTAACAAGATGTCTTGCTCTTGGCACTTTACATTCAATCATGGAAACATCACAATTTTGTAGAGAAATTTGTTAGATTTCAGGCATACACACATTTTCCTGTTCTCTATATGATTACATGGTGTATCTTCTGTTGATGTCAGTTTACTCAGAATTTTCCATATATTTTATATAGATGATATACCAGATAACAATCCTTGTAAAAATGGAGGAACTCGCACTTCAAGTGAAACCTGTACTTGTAGGACTGGATTTCTAGGACCTACTTGCCAAAGTGAGTACCATAAACACAATTTTAAATTCTGCACATAAAGATATTGCCATAAAATACATTTCTTGTTTGTGGACACTCTACACACTACACCCTTGTTATTACATACTTTTACACTATTTGCATATGAGGAGCAACTATTTTGTCTGGCAATTTTAGTTCAGTTTTCACGAAAGTCAAACTCAATCATTATTAGAATGTAACAGTGATATACTAATGTCCAAAAGAAAGTATACACTGTGCATTTCGTCCTGCTTCAAACAAAGTCGTTTTTCCATTGTATGCGGTATTTGGGTACGATGTCAATAATTTGTTGTTCTATTTATTTACTGAGAAATATTGAGTTTGGACGAATGAGACATGTGCAGTGTAGTTTTATCACATTTTATTGATTCAAACAAAACTTAGTCATATTTTTAGTGTGTATACTTTCTTTTGGACATTAGTATATTTTGAAAAGTTTTTAAAATGAGATAAAAATTGTGATCTTTAGAGGGACCACACGCTAAATGAGGGATGTTATGAAAATTAGATGAAAATTGTGACCTCTTAGAGTGTCCACAAATCAAAAATATTGTTTTTCGTACAATCAGGGACCATAATCCATGAAGTTACTGTCCAATACATGCCAATATGGAAAAGAACCAATATTTTTTGAAGATAAAACCTATATTTCTAGTTTTGTTAAAATTGTTACTTGTAGAGTGTCCATAAACAAATTGTGGACGGACAGTTACAGGCACAATGTGGGCGTATAAAAAGCATTTAAATATATCAAAATCAAATTACAATTGTGACTTGTAAAGTGTCCATAAACAAATTGTGGATGGACAGAGGCGACGATAATATACCGTAATACGTCTATATGAAAATGTGGGCGTATAAAAAATGTTTAAATATATCACCATTACATCATAATGACGGTTGAGTTCAAATTTCGTGGAATTGGACCAAAACTGTCTTACGAAAAGGTCGCTCCACATTCACAAAAAGTGTAAACGTATGTGATACCCACATTGTGGAACCTGATTTATATATCAAAGATCTCGGTTCCTTTGATATTTGGACATATCAGACTGAAACTCCCTCAATTATGGTCCCTAACTGTACGGAAAATTTGGTTTTTAGCTTGCGAACCTTCTAGAGGTCACAATATTTATCAGATTTTGTTGAAACGCAAGATATATGTTTATATCCCAAAGATCTTGGTCATCTTCGATACTGGTGCGCATTGAACGGTAACTTCTTGGATTATGGCCCCTGATTGTAGCTTGTTCTCTGTCCATCGCTTGCAAAATGTGGGCATATGTTGCTTGTTTTTGCTACCGGGAGCTGCCGTGGCTCAGTAAGGTGCTGGCTCATCACTCACTCACAGGTCCCAGCTTTGATCCCATTGTTGGCTGAGAAAGTTGCCCCTTGTCATGGTGCAGGATGAAGAGTCTGGCAAGAAACATCGTCCAGTTCAGATAGAACACAAAAAAAAATGTCATTGTTGGAATTCAATTGCTGTCTGGGCAAAACTACCTACATGTTGATTATTAATTGGTGCAGGTGTTTTAATCCATTCTAAATCACGGCCATCTGATGGCCTAGAGACTTTATTATGGACTTGTAATGAAATAACCTAAGTATTAATTTAAATAAAATTTAAAACCACAAATAAAGATATGTAATATGCAGATTTAGCTCATACTGAGGATGTTATTGGTTAGTATATGACAAATATAATGAATTATTATTGTTACAGATACACCATTAATAACATCACCTGGAATTAACAAGAAACAGGAAACAACTTTCAACCTACTCGGATCTCCAGGAAAAGAGCTTGTTCTTGCGTTTAATGATTATTTTAGAACTCCGGGTAGAAATAGTATAGATTGTAGCAAAGATTATGTGGAGATTGGAAACAACAGGTAGCAGATTTCGTTTTATTTCCTATCAAACCCACATTCCATCATCCACCAATATAGACACATCCTCTCATCTTGCCATTTGGTTCTACTAAATCTATATCACAAGAAATTACATTTGTTTCAGATTTCATTCGCAACTTCTAGATGAATTCATGGCACTAGTTCCCTCTTTGTATACTCATTTCACACCTGTGGTTCTGAGAAACTGCCTGTGCCCTTCAACTGTCACACCGCTAAGCTTGTGAGCTAAACTAGGTGGAAAAGAAGATCATTTCTGGGCTTTGGTGGTCTAGGGTAATACTTCCAAGAAGAGAGCCAGGGCCTATTTTCACTGGACACGAAAGGACATTGCTCAGGCCAGTGCAGCTGACATGATTAGCACTCACTTTAAAAGCTATACTGGGGGTGTATATGGGATGAACCAAGAAAAATGATCTTAGGCAGATCTTCTGGACCAGCCTTCACCTATTAGCATCACTGATATTTGTCAGCAGCTAACTAATTGCAGATATAAGTCAGAATGTCATGCTATGCAAATGCTATGAATTTGATCTCACATGCATGATTAGATATATATCCCAATTAGTAGTCTACATTAAAAGTGCATATACTTTTGTGTTGGTCCATCAATCATAGTAAATGTTATTTGTTTTTGTATTGATATTTTCATATTCTCTTAACTGGCACAAGGAAACATTGAAATTAAATTTTTTACTATCTTGATTAAAAACATATAAATACATATTACAGTCTTCTCAATCAGTCCAGTAGATAAAATTATGTGATACAAAATGTTTGACCTAAGTTGAAAATGGCAACCAAAATCTGCCTCACTAGTATTGCAAAAACATATGGAGAATTTTACAGGGCAGAATAAATCTAATCTTTATATTTCGTGACCACTACAATAATGGGTTTTATTTCAGATATTGTGGAAATAGGGCGGCCCCGTCACCAATTACAATACCTACAGGTAGAGGAACAACAGTAGTTTTTAAATGTAGCGGTGAAATATCGTACAGGACTAAACTGAGTCACGTTTATACAGGTAATACAAATATCATCAGTGAGACATTGTGAGAGATACTAGCTCTATTCACATTGGTATTAAACATATTGTACAGTCACTGTTTTATTGACGAAACTGTTAGCAACGTGTGACATCTTAATAGACAAACTGACACTGGAATTTGCCTATATTGCAGGGCATTTTTCTGGCTTCAAATGTTATATGATTAGTCCGGGGTCACGATGGCTAAGTGGGTAAGACATTGGCTTGATAGCCTGGAGGTTGGGTGTTTGATCCCTGCGTGGTCTCCCCCCCCCCCCCAGTCTTGTCAGTGATGCAGGACGGAGGGCCTGACAAGTACAGCTGTCTAAACATTCGGATGGGAGAAAAAATCGAGGTCCCATGTACACATAAAAGATTCTTGACAGTTGGAATTTGATGTAAGAGTAGGCTGTAGTGCCGCTGTCTGGGCAAAATTTCCCTCTTAGCACACTATATGCCGTATGCCCGTCATCATTAGCCCAGTTCGGAGTAGGACGTTAAACCCCATTTCATTTCATTTATATGATTGACTAATCAGCCCCCTAGACTGTCAGATGGCTTGGATATCATGTGGATTAGACAATACCCGGCATATCTGTGTTAAACCTTTATATGACCAGATAAGCAAAGATTTTCTGAAAATGCATGACGTCGCTCATGGAGATTGACAATTTCAAAGGACTGATAATATAGTTAAACAAAGTGTTCTTTTCTTATATATTAAAAAGTCTTATTTGGATTAATAAAAGTAATACAATACTGATACAAATTTAATTGCATCTACTGTCTAAAACAGGATAAAGGTAGCCATTCATAACTTATTTCAGTAAATATTGCATGTTGCCTTTCTAAGCTTTCTTTCATTTTTTTCAGAAACGTAATCAGTATAAGAGAAATCTGCTGCTAAACATAATACATGGAATTACTGTGTGTATTTTTAATGATTCTGGAAATGAAATATACTCAGGAATTGTCATCGGAATAGTTGTTTTAACAAAAAAGAAATAATTCCTACTTTTACAGACATCTAAAACAATGGTATATTAATCTGTGACCAACAAATAAATAGAGTATATGCAACTTTGTCTTCATTCTATACAGCAATTCTTCTTTTAAGTGCCTGCCAATGTGTACACAGGTTTTGTTTTTTGGTGCCACTCAAATGACAGAAGCTGTTCCTTCTCAAGGGAAACCATGGTGAAAAATCCCAAGGAATTTTCTTGACCAACACCAGGATTGAACCACGGACATCATAAGCTGTGTCATTGAGTCAAGTGGCATGATTTACATTACAATGAGTAGGGTTACCTTCTCCCTTGAGTGGGATAAACACCATTTCTGTTGCTCTCTCTTTTATCCACACATATTCACTATAAAAAAAACCCAAATAAAAATTCATACATTATAAAAGTGATTGATTACACCTGGTCCCCTGCTTTCTGAAAACTGTTTAGTTAGATAGTAGTTAGACAGCCTGGTTTAAATAGCGTTCATTGTCTTAGGTCTCGGTGTTCATGACAAACATGATTATCATTCATACGGCCACAGACAATTACAGGATATTAAAGATCCCGAAATCAACAGAACCAACATGGGGCTCAGATGCCGAAACTAATTTTAATAATTGGACCAATATGTCTTTTGATAAGACTGATTGTTATTATATATGGATGCATGGCTTGGGCATCTGTATTTGCCCATTATTCAAGAATATTGGCCTTTATTTGGTGGTTTCTTTAACTGGATCTCTGTCCGCTAGATTCCTCTGGTGGGTGGTAACTAAGTAGAATTTGTTAATATTGTCCACGATTATATTTACCAGGTCAGAGCCATTCTCCTTTTGGTAATTGAGCAACAACTTCTATTCTATCGTGTGAAATGGATATTTGTACTTCCACAATTTCATGTGGATGTATACTGCCGTCACCCCTTTCCGTATGTCTACAGGTCACAATTTTTAGTCGATTTTGACGAAAGTTAAAATACATGTTTATATCCCATAGACCTGGGTTCATTTTGATAGTGGAAAGTAACTACTTCATGGATTATGGCCCCTGATTGCCCGAAAAAACATCTTTTTTATACGCCCAACGTGTCTGTCCGATCAGATCACGTTTGTTTTTATCTGATTTTGCTGAAGCTTAAAATGTATGTTTTTGTCCCAAAGATCTTGGTTCCTTTCAATATTTATGCATATCGGACCGTAACTTCATCAATTATGGCCCCTGATTGTAGGAAAAATCACGTTTTTAGCTTGCGTATCCTGTAGAGGTCACAATTTTTATAAGATTTTGTTGAAACTTAAGATATAAGTTTATATCCCAAAGATCTTGGTTCCTTTTGATATTGGCATTCATGTATGCGACGGTAACTTCATGGAATATGGCCTCTTGACCTGATTGAACAAAAAATCAAATTTTAGCTTGTGGACCCTGTGGAAAATTATGTAATAAGCAGGTATACCAAGCTTGTTCACCCACTAACTAGAGACCACAATTTTTTTCTGATTCAGATGAAACTTGACGTATTCTTGGATGTGGTGTGCGTCCTACCTTCCGTTCTAGAGCTATCCCACCTGCCACTTACGCAAAATCTGAAACATGCAAAAAGTTTGTGGACCCACCAGATGCCACAATTTTTGTTCGATTCAGATAAAACTTAAAACATGCATTCAAAATCAAAAGATCTCAGAAGAATTTGATTTTGGTGTAAATCTGACCCGAGTTATTCTCACTTTTCAGAAAACTTTGTGAATGTGATAAAGGCTGTATTTTTTAACAGGTTTTTTTATTTGAAGCATGCATTGGGGTCTTAACAGGTCAAACCTGAGCAGTAATCAGTGTTCCATGACCTTTTGTTCTAGAGTTATGTCCCCTTCACTGAAATCTTTCCGAATGTCATACAGGAGATTCAACCAATCCTTTTCAGATTTTGTGTGAAGCATTAAGTTCATGGGAGACCTGGACCTTATTGATATTCAGCATTCCACAAATTTCAGTTGCAGAGTTATCTACTCCCCACCCCTGTTAAAAAACCTTCTGAATGTGATAGAGGCAACGATTTTTAAAGGATTTATTTCAAATTTGGAGTGTAGCATTAGGGTCATGAAAACCTTATGAATGTGATATCATATAGGTTACAGTTTTTAACAGGCTTATTTCTAATCCGATTTGAAGCATTGGAACAATGAGAGGAAGACCCCTATTTTCCAGTTCTCTGTCCATCTATTGCAAAATGGGGTGTATCTTGCATGACAACTGCTAGTTTTAAAATTAAAGATGCAGTATGTAAGATTTAGATAAGCTGGTTGTTCTTGCTATAATAATATACACAACAGGAAAAGATATGCAACACCCCAAATTGAATAGCCTACAACAGTACTAGTGGATAATCAGATGCTATGCTGGCTGTTTTACGTTTTGAAAGTTATTCAATCTTCCTAAAGTGGCTCAAGGAAATGCTAATCTGACAATGAAAGATAACTAAATTTTAAGTAGAGGATTTAATGTTATTCTTTTGAGTTCAAAAATAGAAGTGGAAAATAGTTGAAACTGGTACAGGTTCTGCCACCTTCCGTTCCATTATTACCCTCTAGAGGTTATAGTTTTTAACCAATTTTTTTTCCAATTTTGTGTGCCGCACCTTAATTAAAATCGCTGGTTTTTAAATCAGAAAATAACTGTGACCTATAGAGGGACCACAAGCTTAAAACGCAATTTTTCATACAATCAAAGGCCATAATTCGGGAAGTTACGATCCGACATGCGCGAATCAAGATCTTTGGGTTATAAACATGTATATTTCAAGTTTCGTCAAAATCGGGTGAAAATTATGACCACTAGAAGTCAACATCCTTGAAATACCATATTTTTACACTATTAGCTTACGAGGGGCGGTCATTTTGTCCGGCAGATTTGGTCCGATTTTCACGAAATTCGAACTCAACCATCATTAGGGTTTAACGGTGATATATTCAAACAGTTTTTTTTTTAATTGGATAAAAATCAGTTTAAAAGTGTGATTTCTAGTGTCCACAACCTTGATATACCATATTTTTACACTATTAGCTTACGACGGGCGGCTGTTTTGTCCGGCAGTTTTGGTCTGATTTTCACGAAACTCGAACACAATCGTCATTGAGGTTTAACGTTGATATATTCAAACGTGTTTTTTTTTTTAAATCGGAATAAAATTGTAACCTCCATACACAAGCTAAAAAAAACGTGTTTTTTCGTACAATCAAGGACAATATTTCAGGAAGTTACTGTCCGGTATTCGCGAATATCGAAAGGAACCATGTCTTTGGGTTATAAACTTACATTTGAACAAAATCAGATAAAAATTGTGACCTCTATAGGGTCCACAAGCTAAAAACGTGATTTTTCGTACAATCAGCGGCCATAATCCATGAAGTTACGGTCCGATACATGCCAATTTCGAAAGGACCAGAGATCTTAGGGAGATAAACCTTTATCACCCAATAATACATTCTACAGTAGATATCGTTTGTGTGATATAATTCATAATCTACTGCGATATCTCATTAGGAAATATCACTTTACATGAATTTGATTAGCCAGTTGAAAAGGAACTACTTTTTTTTATTTTCAAAGAACAGTTCATTTCTTATTAAAAGTAACTTTTTTTAATATTAAAAATGAACTATTGTTATTCAATTGACCTTGATGGAAACACTGGGTCAATATAAAGGACTTTGCAATGGTTGAATTGCTGTCAAAAAATGATGTATCTCTACGCCATAATGTTCAGTAAAAGTTAAATCTACAGCAAAGAATTATATTTATCTATTTGTGCATGTAAGAAGGGATTGGGTGATAAATAAAATCTCCTACTCGTCTTTTTTGATATCAAAAAATATCAACACTCGTTGATAAAGTAAAAAAAAAAATCGACAGATCAGCCTCGTTTTTTGTTATTTTATCAACTTGTGTTGATATTTTTTGATATCAAAAAAGACTGGTAGGAGATTCTCTATATATTTCAAGTTTCGTTGAAATCGGATAAAAATTGTGATCTGTAGAGTATCCACAAACAATTGTGGACGGACGGACAGGGGTGACGACAATATACGTCCACATGAAAATGTGGGCGTATAAAAATAAGTGTAGAATGGACAACAGTTAGGACTGTCCACATAATAATTGATTAGAAATTACAATAATTCTTTTAAAAAGGAAATAAAAATCACTTTATATTCACCCATATATTACATTAATATATGCACTTTTATACCCATTATTATCTCATATTTTAATGTTCCAAAGAATAGTCCATTAAAATAATTAATCGATTATCCCAGAAATCACCACATGCTAGTTATTAATAAAATATTAAGTGATGGATAATGGCCTCAGACTGTCCATTATGTAAATAGAAAGAACCACTGAGGGGCGTTAGCCCCGAAGTTTTTCTTTGTATTTACATAATGGACAGTCGACTGAGGCTATTATCAAACTTAAAACATAGTACCATAGAGATACAAATAATGGATAGTTTTCTAAAACAACATGCCATAAAATAATGGATATATTCTTAAAACAACATGCACATGCCCATGAATGCATGTGACAAAACACTCCAGTCATACAATGCAAGCATACACAGACAGTCCAAAATATTCTACACGTAAACCACATGTTTACAACGGTTTAATCTCACTGTGCCCCCCAATCAACTGGTGTTATAGGGTAGTGGTGTGAAAATTTAAGTAAACAAAGGATTATAGACTGTATCCGTATTAGTACGGGGGGTTGGATGGCTGAATGGTTAGCGTGCGCGCGCTGTATCATAAAGTCTGTCATTGAGTCAACTGGCGTGGTTTCGAATCCCCGGTTGTACGTGACAAGGAGTAGGGTCGCCTGTCCAACCTCGTGGGTTTCCTCCCACTGCTAAAGACCCCTACGCGCAAGCGAATTATTGAAATAAAATTAAAACCATATGTTAGTCCCGAAATGACCTAGTTTGTGTCGAGTGGACGTTAAACCCCATTTCTCTCTCTCTCTCTCTCCTTATTAGTACTGTTCACCTAGATAAAATTTAATTATTTTAATGATTAAAATATATAAGTTATAGTTCACGTGTCATCGGTTAACGAGTATCTTAAATATTATTCACCTACCTTTCATTCAGACAGTACTCATAAATCAATCAAATATATGATTAGAAACTCACTATCATTATATAAGGATAGTTGCCCCCCACCCCCCAATTACATTATATCTTTTAAAACAGCTCAAGTTCGCATACGGTTTATTCCTAATTCTCAAGGAGGTCAAAATTTAGTTAATTTGGGGTATAAGTACAGACTAAAAAATACGAACCCAATAGCACCCATTGGCGATGTTGCAAAACGACTTGTCCCGCAACGATCAACACATCAAATGGTATGGTAAGAAGCTACGGTCAGAACCACAACCATCCATCCGAGGAGAATGCTATTAGAGTACAAGTAAAATGAAGAAGACCGGAACAAGCCACCCAAATATATTTAAATTTATAAACATTGTGTTAAAAGAGCAGACTTTTACTGAAAATACAATAGTTCAATTGGAAAACGATTGCCTCCTAAAAGGCGAATATATATAATAGTGGAAAAATCTATTAATGATCTAAAAATCGAACTGTTAAATGGAGTAAAAAGTGCAATTGAATATACTGACGCCATATCACATTTAGTAGGGTTATGATTTATGTTTGATACATGTATTTGTTGTTACTTTTATCACCATTGTATTCGATAATCCCCTTGCTTGATTAATCCCCCCATGAGAACAATAGCAGGGGGCACAGTGAGATGTCCCCTTTACAACACAGTCGAAAACAAATATTAATAATGAGAATATATGTGATAAGCATTTGGATACTGATTACATTGGTAATGTACTCGATATGGAAGATAATAGCCGTTAAAGTTGTGATGTTCTTGATATGGGGGATAATAGCCGTCAAAGTTATGACGGAAAGGCTGCTCACGAGAATGATTTAGATATTGATAATTTTCTTAATACTGTGGTTAATATGGAGGGTTCTAGCCGTCCCAATTTTGATTTAAAATTTAATATATACTCTGATATAAGTGACAGGACACAGGATCAAAGGCACAAACCAATTCACGAAATTCAAACCCAACTGTCATTATGGTGTAACGGTGATATATTTGAATGTTTTTTTTTATAATCGGATAAAATTTGTGACCTGCATAGGTTCCACAAGCTCAAAACACTTCTTTTTTGTTCAATCCGGTGCCATAATCCAGGAAGTTACGGTCCGATATGCGCCAATATTGCAAGGAATCGAGATCTTTGGGTTATAAATACACATGTTCAGTTTCATCAATTGGGCTAATAATTGTGACCCCTAGTTTGTACAGTCAGTGGCCATAATCCATGAAGTTACGGTCCTATACAAGCCAATATCGAAAGGAACCAAGATGTTTGGGATATACCTATATTTAAAGTTATGACCTGTAGATTGTCCACAAAGAAGGTGTGAAAATGTGGGCGTATAGAAACGTATCATCGATCTAGTGCCAAACGTACTATTAAACGGATAAGTGACATATAACGGACGGATTTAAGTGGAATTCTTTATGTAGACAAACACGTGAAATCAACATTCGGTCATGTGACATTTCGGTAACTATGAGGTTTTAAAGTAATTTCATTTTCTGTAATTTAATTTGTTCAGAGAATAAATTATCCCAAAATACATGTTCATTTTTCAGATACGTGTCCAATATTGGTATTTTCTTAAACAATCGTCAATTATTTATAAAATTGTCCATTATTTATTGAAAAACTGTCCATTATTTATTGAAAATAATGGACAGTTTTATAAATAATAGACGATTGTTTAAGAAAAGCGTACATTCTCCTATATAATGGTTAAAAACATCAAAGGGTGACGTCATATCTATGTTTTAAATGTAAAGGGTAGCTACTTTTTGTACTTCTATTTTTTATATTTGCTCAAGATAAAAAAAACCAAACATTCATGAATATCTAACCATGTATTATATGTCAAGGCCGCCCTAAATCCACTGAACCATGACGATAGGCTTGGTTTTTTGATCATCATAGTATATATATAGAATGTGTCTCGTTTATCCGTAGGGTAAATTGTTTATCACTGAAATAGTGAAATAAAGAGATCGCCTTTAGTGATTATAGAATTAATTAATTATCGAGGAGGCAATGCACAAACGAATACAATTAACTATAAGCAGTTTTAGATGCCAGCATGGTTGAGATTTGTTGGTGAGCGGAATGTTTTTACTCATAGTAAAGTAAGTATTAAATTACCACAAGGGCTGAATGTACCGCTATATGAGTCTATTATTAGTAGAAAGCGGTAAATATTTCGTGTACTAAATGTTATGGAGGTTATAGTAAAAAAAACCTCGCTTGCTATTTATTTCAAGACGGTGGCTCAAAATATAAGCTTATTTTATCCATTTTCCTGGCAAGAGCTATAGTCTCTCCGATGGGACTGAAAACTGATGTCCCGTGTACACATTGGCGTGCACGTTAAAGACCCCTTGGCAGTTGAATTCGATCTAAGAGTAGGTCGGGCAAAATTTCTCTCATAGCACATTGTATATGGCGCTTGCTGGTGTTCATTAGACAAGTCGTGGTAGGACGAAAACACGAATTTATTTATATCTACCAGTTTTGCCTGAATTGTATCCTTAAGTTCGTTTTCCGTAAATTGTTCCGTGCTGATCCATATTTTTTTTCCGAGAGACTGCGGGAATTAGAATATAACTCTGCGTATAAGGATCATGGACTTTATGGAACCCGGGGCATCAAAACCACACTAAGACGGGAATGATAAGTGTCTCCTTGCTGCCATTTTATTCAGTCACGAAGAAGGAATAAATGTCGCCATACAACGAACAGTCGTCAAATATCATCCGATCTGGTTGTATGGATTAGTTGTATCGTGCAAACGCCGCTTTACCTGTGGCGTCTTGTCATAGGGAGATGCTTATTGTAGGCCGGTTGGGGGGGGGGGGGGTATCCAAAATCCACAATGGTGGCTTTTTATAATTAATGAGTATTTTCGGGGAATACTAACCCTAATCCTCTTTAGAGAGGTAAATTCAATCCAAGTTTAGTCTTCTAAAAACGTTAGGGTTAGTATTCCCAAAATACGGTTTCATATTTTGGTCAAGGGTCACGCGAGTTGTAATCGGGGCTTGCCCCTTAACCTTGTACTTTTAAGTCTATATCAGAGTACGTAAACTTCTCATTTAATTTGTTAATAAAATGATATTTAAATTAACAAAATACTTTTTTAGTTAACTTTTTTAGTATTTGAAATGACAAAATGATAGATTATTTAAAATAAAATTGTTTTGTAAAAGTAGAGTTATTGATATGGCAATATTTACCATGCTAGGGCCAGTCTCCTTTCGGTAATTGAACAAAAACTTCTATTACCGTTTAAAATTAATTTCTATATTTCCATATTTGGACGTAGGCGTGTTATGCCGATGTCCGCTCGTAGAGATGTTATGATAATGTTTACACACGACTACACACATCAAACATGTTTTTGAGTATTCGGGAATACGACGGAAGATGTTAGGAGTGGGCGGGAATTTCAGATCAAAAACCCTGTCCTCTCACATTTAAAGTAGCAATATTGCTATTGATTTATAAAAAAACAAGCCCATTTTGTAGTCACAACATACTATGTTACGGTTGTCTACAAACTTATTGAATCTTACAAACCTTCGCATTTCTCAAATACACAATGTTTGAAAACTTAGATACACTATGTAAGATATAGATAAAGAGCTGGTCGTTCTTGCTATAATAGTTCAAAAATAGATAATGCAAAATGAATATATTTAAAATTTCATTCAAATTACTTTATTCTGAGCGAATATATTAGCCTTTGCAGGTTTGACAGATGTGTGCACAGATTGTAACCGCGGTACTGGTTGTTCGAAGCCTAGCCTCGCTTCACCATTTTAAGATTAAATTATTAAAAGGTTGAACCATCGGACCTATCGATGATAAGTTAAGGTCTGGATAAGTTAATTAATGTCTAATTAATAATTTAGATAAAATTTCAGGCTTAAAGAAAGACCTGCAATAGGCAGATTTAGCTCTTGCATAGGCCCTAGTATAGTGTATGTTTAAATTCGCTGCCAATCAAAATAACGTGTAGCATGCCATGTTTTAGTGAGATAAGAAATGGCCATATTTCGAGAATACAAGTATTATATCTGTTAAAGATATCTTCCCACGTACAAACTGGGTGAATTGATGATATATTTGGAATACAAACTTATTCAAACTCATTATCTATCAAAAAATTTGCTTCAAATCCTTCTCAAAACATTGTATTCGCGAGGGAATACCCCTGCTATAAAAAATCTATTAAAAGAAGCCATGTTTGTGTCATGTGACTTGGCTGACACGGTATCTAGCAACGGAGAATTCAATGCACATACAAGACGATTTTGTCTTTAATCGCTGTCCATTTATCATATATAGGCTATCAAAGCCTAAGTAATTACCGGATTATCCACTGCCCACGTCATTTTTCCATAGTTTTTATCTCAGAAACTGTTGTACGTTTAAGCCCACCATCAAGTTTATCAACACTGCCCCAAGCGCTCACTAACGTTGAGAGATCAGACATTCATTGCGTCCAACCTTTGACGTCACTCGATCAGACATCCCTAATCGTCGGGTTTGCTGTTAGGTTAACCCTTAGATTTTTGTCCTGTATCCGCTCCATGGGTGTTTTTCAGGAAATCCGTTATTTTTCTAGTAAGATTGGCTGTTTCTACTTTCCATACATACCAAAATTGCCATACTGGAAAAAAAATACCCGATAAATGCTTCTGTAGGAAAGTATCTTTAAAATATTCAAATGAATATTCATATTCAATAGAAGGCTAGTTGATAACAACGTATTATTGCGACTGACAAACATATACTGTCATTGGGGAGGGGAGGGGGGCGGTTACATCTTAAAGTCTGTCATTGAGTCAACTGGCGTGGTTTCGATTACCCCGTTTTCCTCCCACTGCCAAAGACTCCTACGCGCAAGAACATTATTGAAATAAAATTGAACAATATGTTAGTCCAAAAATGACCTGGATTGTGTCGAGTGAACCCCTCTCTCGCTCTCTCTCTCTCTCTCTCTCTCCCTCTCTCTCTCTCTCGTGTCACTTTAATGTTCTGTCACATGGTGTGAATTTAATTACACTAAATTAATGGATTCCGGTTATCTTTCCTGTATCTCACACTCGTCATGTTATTGTCCTATTTAGATTTTGTGTTGAGATATAGCTGTATGTGCTTTATTTAATCAAGGGGATAATGGATGTTATGCATGTATTGGTTGTATAGCCTTTAATTAGAAAATGAAATGATATGGTGTTTAACATACTACCTGTTCTGCACCGACTAATGAAGGTGGACGTAAACCTACACCATACAGTGTGCAACGACATAAATTACGCGCACGCCAATGTGTACACGATACCTCGGTTTTTCGTCCAACCCGAACGACTAGACGCTGTGCTACACCACTGACAAGGAGAAACCATGCTGGAAATTCTCGAGGAACTTTCGCGGTCTGGTTAGTGAGCCAGGGCCTTACTCACTGATCTACCGCGACTTCTCTTTTGTTAGGGTTATTTAAAGCGATAATAAAATGTATTAAAATAAAGCCTTAAAATAGATGGTATCTATAAACAGTTCTACCTTGTTAAAGAATAATCCTATTAATCCTATAATTCACTATTGCCCGTTGAGAAATTGGCAAAAATATCATTTTCAACTTCAAATTCAAACGTTTGAAGATAGCTATTCCACAGGGGAATAGAAAAACAAGGGAGGTAATTGTGTTATTATTTCCGGGGTGAATGATTTTTAAGTGTGAGAATGATACCTATGATCGTATAATAGTGAGTTGACAACCTATTGAGCAAAAGACAAAGAAATAATTATGTTTTGACTTTCTTAGAAAATATGAAATTCTCGCTTTAAAGTCTCAATACCACTCTTGCTGTAACTGAATAATATGTCCCAATCTTTATTCTGGTCAACAAATTGTACTATTTTAGAATATTTCAATTAATTGATGACACAAATTTCATCTTAACACACCTTATTTAAAAATTTTGAAAAATTCAACATGGTTTGAAACGTCTAACGTAAACCTTTTCAAATGAAACTTCGATTTAAAAATATTTTCGAACCCTCTGGACAAGTAAAATAGGATGTAATGGATAATTTACACAACAGGTAGGACACTTAAACATTTATTTTCTGGAGCTTTCAAGCCAGCAAGAGTTTTATTGTCCCTTTAATAATCACGTGTTTGGTGTGTTATATGCATCGCTTGTAACCTTTCCGAACAGGTCATTTTACACTTTAAACTTACTTTAAAGCTGCTGGTCGTTATTTGACGGATTTTAAATCCTTTACAAATTACAATATTGTGAAAGTTAAATCTCTATGATGAATACCAGTCCAAAATAGTTCAATTCCATTTAGTATTTACAATGATGAATTAAAAATGTGTATTGGGTAAGATATTCTTTAATCCGACTGAATCTAAGACGAGGGATTATCTACCGTTGGTATTTTTTTATTATTATTTGTCCTAATAAAATATTAAACATTAATTAAGTACATTTTAGCGTAGGTTAAGCCACAAAAAATTAGATGTTATCTGAAAAATACAAATGACGCTCAGCAGCTTTAAAGAAAATCTTGAAAACATTGACGGGAAGTTGGTATTTTTAAACGTTTAAACCCCCAAGCCCCCACAATCATTTTGATCGGAAAAAAATCCTTAATTTAATTGAAGAAAGACGTACCAGACTGTAATGCTATTCAGACATATAGATAAGATCTTATGCAAATAAAGTATAAATTTATCAAATTCATACCGGCAGTTTGGATAAGAGGATTTTATCCACGCACGACCAGTTCCTTTGTGTAGAACGATATGAACAAACTACCGTTCGTTTATCTAATATGTGCTTTGCCGGGTGTCAGGTGTGTTTAGTCTTACTAGAACACTCGATACTGTATTTCTCAAGTGAGGAGTTAATGTATGAGTTTTGACACGTGAAATACCTTGTAGGAAGTAGATAGAACGATTCTAAAAACACATGTACGCGTTTTGCCAGTGAAAAAGTCAGTCTAATGCAAATGTAATGGGACCGTTTCCATGTAACCAGCCATAACGCGTACTCTTTTGTTCTTCTTAGTGTTTAATGTCCGCTTCCACCGAAGGTGATATCGCAGACAAGTCCTATTTTTCATTTTTATTATCTTAGCGCACGCTAAACCAGAGGAAACCAGAGTACCCGGAGTAAACCCACGAGGTTGAGAAGGCACATACGCTCACACCGGGGATCGAAACCACAGCCGCATGCCAGAGGTGACCGACCACTAGGCCATCCCAACCCCCCTTATAAAGCATACATGGAAACGGGCTTTATATAGCACTGTTACCACGTTGTTTCCGAACTTATTAAATTAAGATTGAGTTAAGATAACTTCATTGAGATTTATTAGACATAGATAATTTAACACATATTTACAAGAAAGAGAGAGAGACCCGATTTGTTCTAAATCATAGCTCAGTAGCTCACTTTAATTCGATATACAGTTCTACAAAATATATAATAAACAATTATGACACATGACAATTAAAATATAAAAAAATGCTTTTAAGTTGAGATCTAAAACAATAGTTTGTTTGTAAAGTCTGAATTAAATCTGACGTAATATAGCTATTGGTTGGATTAATAAATTTAGACAATAAAGTTCTGTAGCACAAGGGCTGGTTGACATTGGATTAGTAAAGAGTTTTACTCTATATATTTTTATCAGGACAATATGTCACCCAAGCCAATGTCTGATTAATTCAACGCGTATTTAACAGGAGAAATAATTAGGTGAAAAAAACCCCATACATTTAAAATAAACAACATTAATATTGGCAAAAATATTTTTACCACAATTGAAATGGGGTTTAACGTCTTACTGTTCTGCACCGTCTGGATGGGTTAATGAAGCCGGACATTGCCTGACATCGGTGCTATGGTCTAATCTTATTTAATTTCCAGCTGTCTTTTATGTGTTCTTCTTTGATTGGAATTTAGTAATTGAACATATTAACACAAGGTACAATTTTATGGATACACAATCACTGAGTTTAATACTAAGCGACGTTTCGACGAGGATACTCTCGTCTTTATCAAGAAACTACGCTTGGTATTAAACTCAGTAATTGTGTATCCATAAAATTGTACCTTGTGTCTTTTATGTGGTTTACACCGGACCAACTAGACTTTTTCCTTCAACAGACCTTCGGTACTGTGGCGGGGGTTATCCTGGAAAATCTCAATAGAACATCTTTCGGCCAACACCGGTGTTTAGTCTCATCCGAACGACTAGATTGTTTTCCATCCCAGGCTCTCGGTACTGTATAATCATTGACATGCGGCGGGGCTATCCTGGAATATCTCCAGCACCTCTTTCGGCCAACACCGGGATCGAACCCGGGAACTCATTGTTAGTGAGCCAACGCCATACCCACCGTGCTCACGTTATTACAAAAATGCCGTTTAAGGCGTTACATGGTGGCATGGGTTCCCGAATCTATGTGAAAGCTGTTCTCTTACCCAATCGAGTAAACTATGAACATTTTTAAAATATTTTGAAAATATATATTTTAGGATTTGAAGACACCTTTTGTTATGGATGTATAGCTGTTCACATGGGAAATCCAAGCATTTATTGGGAACTTTAACTGTAACCTAGACACCTGAAGATGCCATTTACCAAGATGGCGAGAATAGTTTTAGTGCTACTATTTCTTATGTATACCATTGACGAATGCGCTACTCAGGAGTTTACTAGCCCGGCGTTTACTAGCCCCTTTCAGTCGGTAAGAGGTAAATATCAAGATTTTAACTCAAAAGTGATGGATTTACAAGGTCAATACTGTGGTAGAGTTTGTGATAAGAAATTTCAATTCAGAGAGGGAAATGATAGATGTGCTCCATGTTTCTGTGACGTCGATTGTTATTATTATAATGACTGTTGTCCAGATAAACTGCTCTTTAACAAGAATCTAAGCGACGTAACTCCCAGGAAGCATGGATGTAGAAAAATCGTGTATAGTTCAACCCCAGAGTTTTCAAAAGTCATTGATGATTGTCCTAAATTCTACAGCAACCAGGAAACGACATCAAACTGCTATAATAATGATTCTTTACACTGGAAATATATTAATCCAGTTACAGATCAGAATACGAAACTAACCTACCGAAACAAATATTGCGCCATTTGTAATAATGCCTCAGATACTGTTAGGTGGTTAACGGAAACCAGTTGTCGAGACGACAGTGCCTATGGAAACTTAGTGAATACAGAGGAGATTTACTTTTCTGTTTTAAACAGTAATGTATGTTCACTGTCCTTTAAGTCTAGCACCGCGGGGTTTCCAGAAAAGAGAGCCTGTTCTACCACAACGCCACCAGTTTATACTAAATGTAACGAAACGGGACGATGGATATTCTACGATCAAGACGTGGAAACTGCGTGTCTTTTGTACACTAACGTCGTCATGGGAAAATACGGAAATTTATTCTGTCGACTGTGTAATGAGCGGATTACTTGGCAAAATCTCGAGATGGAGCCCCAAGAGAGGGTCGAATTTGGAAGACTGAGCCTGGCCACGTTGTTGAATCTTGGAGATGAAGGAGACTCAACGAGAACAAGATCAAGATCCTCAGTTCCAGATAAAGAATGTGGTGTGGATGAAGTGATGGATCCCAAATCGGTAAATATATATATACTGACATCATACACGGTCCTGGTCAAACTTTGTTATCAAATCCCTTTTCTCAATACTAACCTTGCATATATATATATAGTAAAAGGTTATAGTTAAAGCTACTCTCAGGTGTTAGATATTAGAAATAAGGTTGTTTTAGGAAAGAAAACTAGGTTTTTGCGAGTACTTTCCGCTTTATTAAGTTTCTTCAGGCAAATTTTACCAATTCCAACAATTGATGTGGAGTAATAAAGTCATGGTTACAACAATGAACTATAATGGATATAATAATATGCACGATATAATTTAAAATTAATTTTTTTAAAACCAAAATTAAGACAACTACAACACCTTGAATTGAGCAATGGTTTGAATTTTTCAATAAAATATAAGTCCCTTGCTTCTAATAGGTCGTTGTTTTTGCTGTTTAATTGATATAACGGAAAGACATTAAAATTGCATTTGCCACAAACATCGAGGTATCGGCTCAGGGGTATCATCCTGTATAGCGGATTAAGAATATGTTGTCGATAGAGGTTCATTCTTAATCTTTGCATATTTATGGTCTTTCCGATATATCTACCCTTACAGACCGGACAAATTATAACATATATAATGTCATCGGATTTAATTTATAAGTCACTGGTTGTTTTACATGAAATGTAAAATTGTCCGTAATATTTATGGATGAACCTTCAATTATGATTGAACACGTTTTACATTTGGATTCATACACTTTTTAACGGTAGGTGTGATTTTAGTTGATTCGAATTTTGATGAGATTAGTAATTTTTTGCGAGTACGTTCTGCTTTATTAAGCTTATTCAGGCAAAGTAAAATTGAAGTATTTGAGGAAAAAAAAATTAATTCAATTTCTGACTAGTACTTTATTGTGTTAAAACGAATCGGCAGGCCATTTTATTGTGTTTCTATGCTATTACAATAGCTGGGACAATGTATAGTCGTTCGGATGGGACGAAAATGAAGTTCCCGTGTACACATTGGCGTGCACGTAAAAGATCTCTTCTCGGTTGGAATTCGATACAAGAGTAAGAAGTAGCGCCGCTTTCCGGGCAAAATTTCCCTCATAGCACACTGTATGGCATATATCCGTCTTCATCAGCCCATTTGGAGCAGGACAGTAGGACGTTAAACCCCATTTCATTTCATTCCTATTGAACAATGGAAGCCTTTTGCGACCATGCTATAATATCGCCTTTGACAATCCTCACGTTCTCACCCCCTCGCTCTCGGAAGCCCAATTCATAGGCATGTTCGCTGACTACCACCAACAGCACAGTATACCCCATATTCCTGAAGCAACGACCGCGAGTTTTACAACATCTAGCCGTTGCTCCAATACTCAACAATTCCCGAACTTTTGCGCTAGTTGTGTTTACACGTGACTAATTAGCATTGTCCAATCAGAGGTCGTGGCACATTACACACTGTAAACAAATATGGCGGCCTCCATAGAAAAAGAAATAGACAAGTTTACAGCCTATGTTGATCAGCCATGATTTCCAGCAACCTTGACATTGGTCGAACCTTGAACTTTGCAACTCGATTGTCACATGTAGACATTTTAGCTAGAAGCGCGAGACTTGATAATCGTAACGATATTTTTAAAGAAGGATTCTGATAGGATCACAAGCTGGGCTTATACCCAATCGAAATTAGTGCTAAAATATGCGGGGTATTACGTGAAGGACTTGATAAGATATACGTAGTTAAGGCGAGATCAAACCTTCTATTGAAGATGAGTATACCCAAAACCACACAAATCACCCAAATCCATAATAATCCAATAATATTCCAACTAAAATCACATTAAAAGCATCACTATAACTATGTCGTTATTTTAACGTTTCTGGTGACAATGTAATTTTTTTTATTAAAACTATAGTTTTTATAGACACAATCTTTTTTTGACCGAGATTATTTAAACTACGGCATAGTTTATAAAGCAGGCTACTTTTATGCTATGTAGTGTATGAGGGAAATTAAAAAATATGTGTTAAGATTCAAAAGATCTTGGATGTGTTTGATTTTGATGCGCATCGGACCTTTCGTTCTGGAGTTATGGCCCTTCCTTTTACGCAAAATGTTATTTTTCAAATGTGGTCTGAAGCATTGTGGTTAATATTCAGCATTCTACGCCCCATTTCCAAACTTTTTGTGAACACGATATAGGCTAGTGTTTTCGATGGATTTGTTTCAAATCCGACGTTAGGCAAAGTGTTATGAAAGGACGCCCAGAAGAGCCCCCCCCCCTCCCGAGTTTTCAGCATAGTTTTGCACGCTTGTGTGTACGATAGAAATCAGATATCATGAAGGCATCATGTATCCTCATCAAATGTGGTCAGCGTTCAAGTTTACCGTTTGGATAATCTACTGTTGAGGCATAGCTATTATGTAGGTGTATTTCCACGTGGCTGCCATTTGTTTAAAGAGAAGGGCATTGCCATTTTCACCCATTCTTATTAGTTTTATGTAGAATCATACAGCATAACTCTAAAATATCATCAAACCGAAAAGATGCACCACACAGACATTGTAAGAAATGTATGGGCAGATATGTCCCAACGTTTGTAAACACTTCATATGGATTATACCCCATTTGACCTGAGTAGTCAGATAGAGTTAATTCAGAGAGAAATAATTTTAAAGAATCCAAACGGTTTACGATGGTTAAAGTGAGGGGGGGGGGAGATGCATTATGTAAGATTTGGATAACTTTGTTCTTTATTTTATTCAACTTTTTAAAACTACTTTATGAATTTTTTATTTTTCATTTTCAGTGCGATTGTCGAGAAAAGATATGTTCTGATGGAGAAGTTCTGGAAAATGGTACATGTCGATCCATATTTCTAAAATCTAATAACATTGGGTATAATATATGTATTCATTTGAAAGGAACTTTTAACATGCGCGGTCAAAATGTTAGTCCGGAAAACATCTTAGTAAAATACAGAAACGAAAATTTTGTGTCTTTTGACTCTGATACAGACACGGTTGTGGATCAAAGTTTCACACCCGTTTTAGTGATTCGCTGCGGAGAGGAGTTGGTGCATATTGAAGCTGATATATACGTGAAATTACTTTTTGAAAGTCCAGTGAACTCCGACGATAAACAAATTGAACTTTTGAAAACTGTTCACAATTTTGGGCCTGAATCATCAACAAATGGATTTAGTATGGAAACCACCCTGGGAAACATTTGTCACAAACCTCAACCTGAAGTTCAAACTTTTCCCGTGAAATCTAATTGTTCTTTAATAAAACCAGTTGTTCTTTTTGAGGCCATACGCATTAGAGATGAAGTCGCAGACATTCTGCCTAGTATCCAATTCCTTCAACTAAATAAACTGATGACGTGTGTCCATGTTTCACTGAATTCAACGGAAGTTGCGCATAACCTCACCGACAACTCTCTGACGTTATTACGTAATAATCTAACATTAACAGAGGGCGAATATAAATCGCGCGATGAACAATTTCTCGTGTGTTTGGATGATTACCTCAACGGCACTTCTGTAGATTATTGTAAACCAATTATTGGTAACCAGACAGCAGCTTGGACGCCATTAGGCATAACTTCCGTCGTATGCACGTGTATTTCGTTGTTGTTCCTCATTATAACTTTCATTTTTTATTGCGTTATTAAAAGCTTACGAAATGTGGTCGGGGTCAATGTAATGGGATTGATAGTGACTCTGATATTTGCTCAGGTCTTCTACGAGTTCGGATTAGAAATGACAGATTACCATAACCTTTGTCAAGCCATGGGCATCCTTATTCACTATTTTTGGTTATCGGCCATATTTTGGATGAATGCTTGCACTTTGGTTTTATTTCTGAAACTATCTTTCCCACTAGAATCTCGCGGTTTTACTACAGGGCAGATATTTAGAAGATCCTGTGTCTATTCAACTCTATCGCCATTAATAATTGTGGGTATTACCCTTGGGATAAACTATGGTATGGATGGTAATTCTGGTTATGGAGGAGCCCATAGTTGTTATATAAGAAGCGTCAATGAAAGACGATTTGCCTTTGCCTTACCACTAGGACTCTTGGTTCTAATCAACATCGTTTTGTTCAGCTACACATTTATTAAAATCAGAGCCACGCAGATGGAATCGGCCATCAACAGAGAAAATAAAATTAATATTGTAGCGTGTTTAAAACTCTCTGTTATTACAGGAGCTTCGTGGATTTTCGCTTTCGTGTATGAAGCAACCGGCGCCATTGTGTTTGCTTATCTTTTCACCATTCTTGTTGGCGCTCTTGGCCTCGTTTTGTTTATCGCTTTCATTGTAAACAAACGAGTTTGCCAGATCTGCGTAGAGAAAGTTCGTGGAAGCGATTACAGTCAATCATCAAGCGCTTCTAAACAGAAGAAATATTTAGTAAAGTCATCCGGTGAAAGTCCACTTCCGAGCCTCTCAAAGGCCAGATCGGTTAGCGACCCAGAAAGTGAGGCCAGTATCAAGACGAGAATGACTAAAGGTGAAACTGAAGAGAACCAATTTTAAGACGTGCACAGACTAAAACTGGGCATCGTTGTCAATCAATGTTCCCGTGATACACTGGAAATATATAGTATATATAGCAACGTCGTGATAGGCTACACTGGAAATATATAGTGTATATAGCAACGTCGTGTCAGATTCTTGGAAACCCAACTTAGAGAACTATATAACGAGGCCATTGTTTTCCCAGACTCTCTGAACAGGTGAACACTCATCAACCTAGATTGTTCAAATATTACAGAATATTGTTAAACTCCTATATAGTATGGAATATTTTTATTAGTGGCATTTATTAATTGAACTGGAATATACAAGACACAATTCCATGGAATACAATTAGCGACGTTTCGACTGTATTTCTCCAGTTTTCATCACTGTAATATAAAAATATTAGGTATCGCTGTCTATTAGTGAAACCCAAATACAGTCGGTGGTCTGGATGGTTATATGAGCTTTATATACACGTGCACCATATTATCAATAGTGGTATTTGATAGAAATCGAGACTACTGACCACGACTATAGACCAAATGAAAATTAATATTTGATTCTTTATGTTTGAGCAGATAGCAGTTTGTTGCCAAACGGTAAATAGAAGAAACGTTACCCGCCTCAACTGAGTGTCTAAATAAGCGGGATGCATATAATATGCACGCGTTGGTGAAATAAACCAATATTATAACCATGTTTTTATTTATTTTTCTTATATGAATCTCATTAAAATGGATAATACGTCGAAATTAAATAGTGCGGCATTGATTTTAGTTAAAAGCTGGCGTTTATGTGGGGAGGGCCAGGCCCCACAAGTGTGAAGAGGCACAAAATGCAATCTTATAATACCCGTAATTAAATAATATACCCCAACTTTTATCAGATTTATATTTCTACTCAAATATAGCTGACAACATTAAAAGACGTTATTTTTTACTTGTTACATCATTTATTCGTTACAATTACTTAATATATTTCATTTAATTGCAATTTACTGAAACTTAGTAAAATAGGCTGAAATTATGACTATTCGTGAGGCGGACACCCATCGTGTCATTGTCCCGGGCGCTGCTAACCCTTGTTACGTTGTTACGCCACTGGAAGAATATTTTGTGTTTTATCTGTTATAAAGACTGCTTATTATTTTATTTCGTATATTTGCCATCCAAATGTACATAATCATAATATATTTAAATATACAGCACCTTTTTTTATTTCTAATTTTTTTAGATATTTTATGAGAGTTCTATTCTACACTGTTTTACACTTTTTATCAATGTTTCTTTATTATGTTTTTTTTTCTTCTTTGTGATTTTTTTTCAAAGAAATAAATTCCTTTACCTATCTTAGATTCTTGTCAATTTACTAAAATAACTGAGAATATTTTGTGATGATTTTCATCCGATAGTTTTGTGAAACGCTGCACAGGACCGGTGCCCCGTTTCTCGAAATCTTTACTAAAGACAAAATCCAAATTTTAGTAGATACTTCACATTTGATTGGCTAAGCACTAAAATTAATCTAATATTATCCAATCAAATTACTAAAATTTGGATTTTATCTTAGTTAAAATTTCGTGAAACAGGCCCCAGATTTGAGATGGATGTCGACGTTCCGGTCGAAAGCGCCAAATTGTCCCCAGATGCTACTTATTAACTTATCTTTTCATTTTTGATAGGTTATCTCCCGGGATAACCCCACCTTTGCCCCCCACCCTTGCCCCTCGCCCTGCCTCAAGGATGATTTTCATCCCATAGTTTTGTGAAACGCTGCTTAGGATCAGATTTGAGATGGATGTCGACGTTCCGGGGGAAAGCGCCAAATTGTCCGCAGATGCTACTTATTAACTTAGCTTTTCCTTTTTGATAGGTTATCTCCTGGGATAATCCCGCCTTTGCCCCCATCCTTGCCCCTCGCCCTGCCTCAAGGAAATTCCGGTGCCCCTGGATCATGGATGATTCAAATTACTTTCTAATCATATCAACGTGACGCTTATTTTACACTCAAAACTATCTTTAAAGCCGCTGATCATCATATTTAATCTTTTTTAGTGGGGTGGGGGTGGAGATTTTTGAGAGATTTGCAAACTAAACTACCATATTGTGAAAGAAAATTGAATTTCTAAACTAAATATTAGTTAAAGATGGTTCAATTCATAATATTATGATGAATTGAAAATGTCGCAACATCGTCTACTGTAAATGTGGAGAAATGTTTTGACGGACCCCTTGTTATAACGATTAAATCCAAGACGGGAGGTTATCTACCATTAAAGATGCTATCTGCTTAAAGTACAGACCTATATTTCGTTTCGATTTTATTATACTTCTGATGACCTCTACTACATGAAGATCTGTACAGTTGTAGTGGGAGGTCGCGTCAGGGGTCATACAAGCAGCTTTTGAACTATGATGTCAGACATTTGATCAACCAATCAACGTCGATGTTTCTAGTAAGATACCCACAGTTCCGTGCATCTCACGCCAAGAACTCGCTGCAACAGACCGTTTCATTGGCTAATCCATAACATCAACCAGAACGCGTGTAGTAAAGACAAGTAAAACGAAATTTTGACCCTTAAAAAACAAAACGAAATAGGATCTGTGTTTTAATCAGATTGGGTGAATTATGAAAGATTTTCTATAGTTGTTCAGAAATAGGTAAAGAAAAATGAATTGAACATTTCAGTCAAATTACTTTATTATGAATGAATTTATGAACGTTTAAAGTTTAGACAAGATGAAGTGTAGATTGTTTTTATTGTAGCAACGGTACTGGACATCAAGACAAATTTTATCGTTAAATTTGTACATATAGCGAGTGTTCTAATCCATTTAAATCACGACCATTCGGTGGTCCTGAGAGTTGATAATAGGCTTGTCATGTTAATAAATGTTTAAATAATTTATATAATATTTGAAGCCTGAATAAAGACCTGCAACAGGAAGATTTAGCTCTTACACAATTCATCTTTAAAATTTTAATTGTATTTTTATACGCCCACATTTTCATGTGGACTTATTATCTATATAAATAAAATCAAAGATGTCTGTGTGTATGTTCGCCCATCACGCTTCGTTGCCGCGATCCACTCCCACATATTTGTTATCAAATTAACCAGCAAGGTCACAGATATTGAGTGCGCGAAGCCGGATATCCGGCTAGTCTTAATTGACTGTTAAATGTGGATTAAGCTATGAAAGATTAGATGTTATCTAGTTAAAACGGAAACAGATAAACCAATGGCGTAGCGGGCGTTTGTGTGGGAGGAGGGACAGGCCCCCATGGGCTTGAAGAGGCACAAACTTCAATTTGGGTTTTCTCATGTAATATCCGTTATTTAATAATTAGCCCCTCTTTATCAGATTTTTATTTGTACTGAGATATAGACCACGACATTAACAACATACGTAATTATTAGTTACAATTACTAAATTGAATGGAAGATCCTGCGTCACGCAACTGTTAGATGTCATATAAGTCTGGACAGAAATTCTCGACACAGGAGGAGGCGTCGACATCAAATACACGGACTCTATGAAAGCATTTGATTCTGTGCCTCACCGACGCCTCCTGACGATGCTTTCAGTGTATGGCACCCAAGGCAAGATTTTCGACTGGATCCAGGCATTCTTGACGAACAGGCAGCAGCGTGTAGTCGTGAATGGAGTAGAATCACAACCAGCACCGGTGACCAGCAGGATTCCAAAGGTACGTGTCGTTGGACCAATGCTATTTGTCATCTACGTCAATGGCCTGCCAAACATTTGCGCCAATGAAGTGAAACTGTTTGCAGATGACACAAAGTTATTAACCCGCAGTAACATCCTAGGAGCCACGACTACCTTGCAAGTTGACCTGATCGACAAGCTCCGGCAGTGGTCGCAGGATTGGTTACTTAAAATCGCTTTCATCCGCATAAGTGCGGCCTCCTGAAACTCGGCAGTAAACGATCAGACTCGGAATACACCATGCATGATGGGACACTGGGCACTATAACGTTGGAGGAACACGAACATGAAAAAGATCTTGGCGTTTTTGTCGACAACAAACTATCTTCCAGATAACATGTAGCAAAAAGTACAGCAAAAGCCAATAGAGTTGTTGGCATCATTCGACGCACCTTTAACTTCCTCAGCAACGACCTCTTTGTACAACTGTACAAGAGCCTCTCTGTGTGGTAGCCGCATCACAAAACCCTTTTGTAGTGAAGTGGAAGACGTATAACGACGAGCAACCAAGCTGTTGGCAACACTAGAGACTGGCGACTCTGAAACTACCCACTCTGGTGCATCGCAGAAACAGAGGCGATATGATCGATCTGTACAAGTATAGGCTATCCATGATGGGATCTACGATTCAGATCGACCAAAGTTCGAGATCATAGTGACCGCATCAAGGGGGAACAGTCTCAGAATCAACAAACATCGCTGTAGGCTAGACGTGCGCAGCGGAACATTCTCTCAGAGAGTGGTCAACATGTGGAATGACCTCCGTGGTGTGAGCGCCATCCATGAACAGCTTCAAAAGCAGATTCGATGCTCACTTGAAAGACCTGGCAACTGTCTACAACCCAACCTGCCAGTCCTAAACTATGTAAATATGTTGTTTTAACTTTTGCCACACGTATCAGTGCCACGCATGCCACAGCAACAGACTGCAAGTTTGGTAATTGGAGTGATGAACAGGCCAGTCAAGGCGTCAAACATCTAATACGTCAAGGTCAAGGTTAATATATATTTTTCATTTTATTGTTTTTATACGCCGACATGAATTATGGCCCCGATTGTACGAGAAATCGTATTTTTAGCTTGTGGGCTGTCTAGAGGTCGCAATTTTTTTTTATCTGATTTGATGAACCAAAACATTGTTGTTCAAAATGAAAATAATCTATGTTCATTCTGTGAGCAAGTACCGGAAACATTTGAACATATGTTTTACTATTGTTCTGTTTCACGAAAACTGTGGACAGAGTTTTAAAAAAAAAAGTGGGTGCAAGTATTGCAAGATAAGGACTACTCTAAAGCTAATGTTTTACTAGGAAATCCTAATGCATCCATTTTATGGAATCATGTTATTTCAATAACAAAATATTATTTATGTAGATGTACTAAAAATTAAGTTCTCTTTATAAATAGCATATTAAAGATGGGTTCCCGCGTACAAACTGGGTGATTTAATGGCATATATGGACCAAAAACATATTCAAACTAATTAATTTGTCATAATTATGCTTCAAATCCTTCTCAAACATTGTAATTGCGAAGGAATGCCCTGCTATTAAAATTCGATCAAACCAGGTCATGTTTACGTCACGTCTTGGAAGTCAGAGGAGAATCCATTGCATACATAAGACAATGTTGTCTTTAATCGCTTACTATTTATTACAAATATAGAATCCTAATTAAATTCTCGGATTATCCACTACCCACGTCTTTTTCCGTCATTTTTATCTCAGAAAGTGTTGTACGTCTAACTCTTCATAAAGTTTATCAACTTGTACAACAAGCGCTCAATGTTCGCTTGTGACCTTTGACATAACGCGTGCAGAAGTTTTTAATCGTCGGGCTGTTGATTAGGGGAACCCTTACGTTTTTGTCCTGTATACGCTCCATGAGTGTTTTTCGGGGAATCCAGTATTTTTCTAGTAAGATTGGATATCTCTACTTTCCATATATACCAAAATTGCCATTGTTTTATTGGAAATTACTTTTCTGGGAACCCATCTTTAAAGTATATTACAAAATTGAAAAGTTTCTGCACCAGATAAATAATAAAATTAAAAAATTCCAACAAAAATGGGGTCCTCTAACTGAAAATATGGACGCCAAGGTGGCTCAGTGAGTAAGTAATACGTTGGCTCGTAAACCTTGATGACCCGTGTTCCTTCCCTGTGTTGGCCGAGAAAGTTCATAGGGATTTCCCGGCGTGGTTCCCCCTCGTCAGTGGTGTAGGACCGAGGGCCTGGCAAGTGACAACGTAGTCGTTCCAATTGGGCGAAAAACCGAGGTCCCGTGTACACATTGGCAGTTGGAATTCGATATAAGAGTAGGTCACAGCGCCTCTGTCCAGGCGCATGCCCGTCTTCATTTGTCTAGTCGGTGCAGAAGAAGGACGTTAAACCCCATTTTATTTCATTTTGTCAAGATGTTTGATCATTCATGGTGTTTCTTGAAATGCTAGTTGGCAAACTCGCTTTGTACTCATACCAGCAGCAACCAAATGGTGAGAAATGTTGTAAATGAGGGTTTATATACATATACTGGGATTACCAGTGACGTAACTGATGCTAAACGGCTCACTTATTATACAGCTACCATGCAAACATATAAGTCGCTAATACAGCTCGTCTACTATGGAAGTATAACGTTGCCAATACTATTTCATTGTTCACGGTGCAAACTGCAAATGTCAGTAGTTAAAAATACGTATTTTAGTTTTACAATTTGCAATTTCCATTGCTCAACAATACCAATGCCACGGTGTTAAAATACAGAATACACTTTTCAATAATACAAAATACAGTAGAATAGTTATTTTGCACATTACACTTCTGCATTCTGCATTTTGCATAATAGACAAATGCATATAGAACCTTGCATTGTAAATATACCTTATATGGGATCTACGACGAACGTCATTTGCATACGGAAATAAGTCCGGACTATGACGGAAATTAATGATTTACGCGATAAAGCCATAAGGTCGCCTGGATACGGAATGAAGTTAACACATATTCCTAGCGCCAATAAAAACCTAGATATAATTATCACGAAGATAATTGTTACCTTTATATTAGAAAACGACATATTAATGCAAAGTATATATGTAATAGACCCCCCGCCCCCCCCACCATGAAAAACCCCCATACTATTACCGTAAACATACTAAAATATCGCACACTAGGCTAACCGAGCACGCAGAAAAGGGGTACGTCCACGCTGCATCAAATAGCACCGAAACCAGCTTTGGTGGCAAAATGTTATTTTGTTTCATGGAATCAAGGGATGAATAAACTACTAGAATACAAATTTTCAGAAGCTTCCTAAGCTGGCTTTTAGAGAAATATCACCGGAAACATACTAAAACCATGAGGGGATCGGGTTAGGGTAGGCTCATCGCGCACGCAATAACTTAGAAAATAGCTTTGGTGGCTCCAAGATCTTTATTTCACCAAAACAACAGATGGATAAGATATGAACAGGCCAATTTTCATTTACTTTCTATTTTGGCGTATCGAGTTATACCACCGCAAAGTTCCCAGCACCTGGATTCGAGACGGGGTTCGCGGGTGCAATAAACAAGGGGTACGTCCACTAAAAAGCACTCCAAACTGGCCTTGGTGGCAAAATGATTGTATTTCACAGAGTCAAGGGATGAATAAACTACTAGAATACAAAAATCCAGAAGCATCCTATGCTGGCTTTTAGAGATATATTACCGTAAACGTACTAAATATGTTTGGGAATCGGGATAGGGTAGGCTCGCTGCGCACACAATAATTTCTAAATTAGCTTTGGTGGCTCCAAGATCTGTATTTCACCAAATCGACAGATGCATAAGGTGTGAACATGCCAAATTTCATTAACCTTCTATGTTGGCGTATCGAGATATACCACCGCAAAGTACCTAGCACCCGGATTCGAGACGGGGTTCGTGGGTTCAATAAATAAGGGGTACGTCCACGCTGCATCAAAAAGCACCCAAACCAGCTTTGGTGGCAAACTGTTTTGTATTTCACAGTCAAGGGATGAATAAACTACTAGAATACAAAAATCCAGAAGCCTCCCATGCTGGCTCTTTGAGATATATTACCGTAAACATACTAAAAATATGGGGGAATCGTGTTAGGGTAGGCTCACTGCGCACATGTACAATAACTTCTAAACTAGCTTTGGTGGCTCCAAGATCTTTATTTCAGCAAATTTCTTTGGGGGGAGGGGGGGGGGTCTATTACATATTATTATATACTTTGCATTAATATGTCTTAAAATGTTATTTTCTAATATAAAGGTAACAATTATTTTCGTGATAATTATATCTAGGTTTTTATTGGCGCTAGGAATATGTGTGCTAACGTCATTTCGAATCCGAGTGCTGGAATACGGGTGAGAGATTCCGCTCGGTTACTATAAGACTCTTTAACCTTACCCCAAAAAAGGGTTTTAGAGACCTGTCAATTAAATAAGATATTCAATTTAATTTTTAACAAGAAATTGATTCACTTGAAATATCTGGGGGGTTTTTACCGATGAGAACAAATAAGAATAGTCTCGAACTGATTACATTATAGAGCCTGGACTAACAAAATCGAGTACTGACGGCTTTATCGCGTAAATCATTAATTTCCGTCATAGTCCGGATTTTTTTCCGTATGCAAATGACGTAAGTCGTACATCTCATATAAGGTATATGTTCTACTATGCAAGGTTCTATTATGCATGTGTATTCTGTATTTCAACACTGTGACATTGGTAGGCCTATTGTTGAGCAATGGAAATTGTAAATTGTAATACTAAAGTACGTATTGTGAACTACTGACTTTTGCAGTTTGCACCGTGAACAATGAAATAATATTGGCAACGTTATCCTTCCATAGTCTACAAGTCTTGCGGTTCATCATAGTAAGTAACGAAATATTACAGCAAACAGATTACCAAGGTTTCAACGAGCAAACGAATGCAATTACATGTACATATAATTATAAACAGTTCTAGATGATGTTTGTTGATGAGCGGAATGTTTTTACTTATATTATAGTTAATAAGTAAGTATTAAACTACATGGGTAATAGCATATGTACCGCTATAAGATAAGATTTTATTGTAGTGGTACTGAAACATTTGTCTATATTATTAATAGAAAGCGGTAAACATCCGGCGTGCTAAATATTGAGTAATGATTTAAATGTAGTCCATGGCGGTGGTTCAACATATAGAAAAGTGAGACAAATATTGTGAAAAGATAGAGGCCATATTCTATGTATTAATTATTTCGTTAACATGCGGTAATTTCGACGAGGTATAAGAAACAAACATAGACTTTTTATATTATAAAGATAACTACAGTACTTATGGGATCTGAAAACCACCCGTTTATATCAATTCTTTAATCTACCATATGAAATCATTTGTTGTTTTGAAATTATAATCCTAAATTATATCAGATGGTCCAGAAAAATGACTACACTGTTTAAAGTAGAATAAAAAAAAAAGTTATTGTACGTACAACATGTATATCGTTTCACGTGTCGTACGAATGGATGTTTGACTATTTCACTTCAAATTGTGGGCCCATCGGTCAAATAGTGATGACATATAGCACGAATTTTGAAAAAAAGGATGTCAAATCATCACACTCACCTCAGTTTACAAATGCAAACAGTTTACTTGGCATCACCTCTGTGAAATAGGTTGAAACAAATGATCAATATCTTCCCCCCGATTTATCCGATTTTGATGAAAGTTGAAATGTATGTTTATAACCCAAAGATCTCGCCAATATCGGACCGTAACTTATGGATTATGACAAAGAATCATGTGTTTAACTTGTGGTTCCTCTAGAGGTCACAGTTTTTATCCGATTTTTTAAAAAAAATCCCCAAAACATCGAATATATCACCGCTACACCATAAGGATTATGGCCCTGATTGTAAAAAAAATCATGTTTTTAGCTTGTGGACCCACTAATATTATCCAATGTTAAAAACTGCTTAAATATATCACTGTTACATCCTTATGATGGTTGATTTCAAGTTCTGTGACAATCGAACCAAATGGGTGCTCCTTGTACGAATAGTTTAAAAGTATGTAATACCAAGTCTAGTGGTCACAATGTGTATCCAATTTTGACGAAGCTTACAACATAATTTATATCCCAAAGATCGCGCTTGTGGGAACGTAACTGGCCCCTGGTTTTTCGAAAAATGGCCTTTTTTAGCTTGTGGAACCTCTATTCGATTTTAAAAACCGTATATATCACCTTATACAACCTATACATGACGATTGGGTTCAAATTTCATGACAATCTGACCGAAACCGTGCCCTACAAAATGTCCACGCATTGTACGCTAATAGTGTAAAAGTATGTAAGATGGTACAATGTTTATCCGATTTTGATGAAACTTGAAATATATGTTTATATCCAAAAGATTTCGGTTCCTTTCTATATTAGCGCATATTGTACGAAAAATCACGACTTTAACTGGTCGACCCTCTAGATGTTACAATTTTTATTCGATTTAAAAATAAACCGTTCAAATATATAACCGTTACACCGGTTGGACTTAATGTCGTAGAAATCAGATTGAAACTGTGGACCATCTAGAGCTCACAATTTTTATCCGATTTTGATGAAAATTAAAATATACGTTTATTCGCAAAGGTCTGGGTTCCTTTCGATACTGGATTATTGCCCCTGATTGTATGTATAAAACTTTTTTTTTAGCTGGTTCTCTATCCATCTCTTGCAAAATGTAGACGTATCTTGCAGGACAACCGCTTGTTAAAACATGAAACTCATATATTATGACATGTCGGTCATAGTATTTTACTCTGCACTAACTGGGTTAATTCAACCCATATTTTACAGGAGAAATAATTAGGTAAAAACATACATTTAAAACACATTAATATTGGCAAAGATATAATTACCAAAATATGAAACTCATTTGACTTATGTCATAGCATTTTAATTGAAATGGGGTTTAACGTCTTACTGTTCTGCACCATCTGGGTTCATGAAGACGGGCATGGCCTGATATCTACGCTATGGTCTAATCCTAATCTTATTTAATTTCCAGCTGTATTTTACGTACTGCCAATGGCAACACGGTATCTTGGTGTTTAGTCCCATCCGAGCGACTAGATTGTTTTTCATCCCAGACTGTCGGTACTGTATCATTGATGTGGGGCGGGGGCTATCCTGGAAAATCTCTAACTCTTTCGGCCAACACCGGGATAGAACCCGGGACCTCATTGTTAGTGAGCCAACGCCGTACTCACCGTGCTCACGTTATTACAAATATACTGTGGCGTTACATGGCATGGGTTCCCGAATCTCCATGAAAGCAGTTACTTAATCGAGTAATTTATGTATGTTTTTTTTAGGATTTGAAGACACCCTTTGTTGTGGATGTATAGTCATTCCATTTTATACACAACGGAAATCCAAGCATTCAATGAGAACTTTAACTATAACCGGCGCTACCAAAGACACCGGAAGATGCCATTTACCAAGATGGCGAGAATAGTTTTAGTGCTACTATTTCTTATGTATACCATTGACGAATGCGCTACCCAGGAGTTTCCTAGACCGACGTTTCCTAGCCCCTTTCAGTCGGTAAGAGGTAAATATCAAGATTTTAACTCAAAAGTGATGGATTTACAAGGTCAGTACTGTGGTAGAGTTTGTGATAGGACATTTCAATTCAGAAAGGGAAATGATAGATGTGCTCCATGTTTCTGTGACGTCGATTGTTATTTTTATAATGACTGTTGTCCGGATAAACTTCTCTTTCACAAGAATCTAAGCGACGTAATTCCCAGGAAGCACGGATGTAGGCAAATCGTGTATAGTTCAACCCCACAGTTTTCAAAGGTCATTGATGATTGTCCTAAATTCTACAGCAACCAGGAAACGATATCAAACTGCTATAATAATGATTCTTTACACTGGAAATATATTAATCCAGTTACAGATCAGAATACGAAACTAACCTACCGAAACAAATATTGCGCCATTTGTAATTATGCTTCAGACACGGTTAGGTGGTTAACGGAAACCAGTTGTCGAGACGACAATGCCTATGGAAACTCAATGAATCAAGAAGAGATTTACTTTTCTATTTTAAACAGCAATAAATGTACACTATCATTTAAGTCTGGCACCGCGGGGTTTCCAGAAAAGAGAGTTTGTTTTGCCACAAGGCCACCAGTTTATACCAAATGTAACGAAACGGGACGATGGGAATTCTACGATCAAGACGTGGAAACTGCGTGTCTTTTGTACACTAACGTCGTCTTGGGAAAATACGGAAATTTATTCTGCCGACTTTGTAATGAGCGGATTACTTGGCAAGATCTCCAGGAGGAACCTCCTATAGTTAGGGTCGACGTTGGAAGACTGAGTTTAGTCACATTGTTGAATCTTAGAGATGAAGGAAACCCAAGATCAAGATCTTCAGTTCCAGATACAAAATGTGGTGTGGATGAAGTGATGGATCCCAAATCGGTAAATATATATATACTGACATCATACACGGTCCTGGTCAAACTTTGTTATCAAATCCCTTTTCTCAATATTAGCCTAGAACCATTGTATTACTCTTTTAACCCTTAAAATCTCTGTGTCATTTGACTGAGGAATCCATTGCAAAGTGCCAACTGTAATCTTCGATTTCTTTTATTGGACCTCTTTTAATCCAGTTAAATCCCATCTGGGAGATTATCTACCACTGATATTTTGATTTTGTTTTCTTAATTCTTCAATACGGAGGTCACAATGCTATGGAATGCAATTATCGTTTATTACTGAAAGGCGTTTGGACTAGGTTCCTGTAATCGTTACCAAGCCTAATCCAAACGTCGTTCAGTAATACGCAGTAATTGTATTCCATTGAACTGTGACCTCAGTACTTCCAGTTCAATTACTATGCCAAATTATCAATTTGGATACATGTTAGCGGCAATGATGCTAAAATTCCGAAAATACAAATGTAACATAGAGACTTTAACATTCTGTTCTTGTGTATTAATTGATGCATGACGACACAGAAGCTTGTGAATCGAGGGCAAAGCAGCAAAGTTATCTCTGCAAGCCAGACTTATTTATCGTTCAGTCTTTCATCTGTATGTGTGTGACACTAAGGGGGCACATGTGACAGGATTCTGGCCGCAGCCTTCAAAAACCGGACTGTGATACTGCCGTGTGTCACTGTATCTAATCTATATATACATGAACTATATCCACGGCTATGACATTTACAAAAATTTTTTATGTCCCCTTAGCACCTAGCGTGCGTCCCGTGGCGAGCCTTACGCTCTTCCTTCTAAGGCTACACGATGATCTTCGTCGGCGTCTTAGCCGAGGCGGCTGTGGGCATGCCTTCTACGAACATGGTGTCTCTATCCCGGCCTCGGGCCAACCGCTTTGAGTACATCTTTCTACAAACCCTGCATGATTTCCTTTCCCGGTCTTGAATGATGTCTGAAGCAAAATTATTCATAAAATTATATAAAACGTTTAGATATTAGTCAGCTGTTAGGGCGGATCATTACCATATTTGGGTAAGTGTTTCATTTGGGCACCCTTTTACGTCAACTTTATTTTATGTAATTCGACTAATCTGTGCACCAGATGACTGGAAAACAGTAACCCACTTCCAGAAATGGATGGTGGCAGAACTGTCAGTGAGTCAGCTTAAGACAATTGTAGAATAATGCAAGGTACCTAATATGCATAAACCTGTTGGTAATGAATTCAATACATTAAACAGAGCACCATTAAGAGCACTTAATTAACCTCTATAGTATAGTATTACACTTGTATGTGGTTTTGTTGTCAGTTAATTTTTATTACATTAATTTTGTATTTTCCATATTGCTTAATGTAGTCTATGATTTGCGCATCGGACCTTTCTTCATCTTTGTTCTTCATCTTATTTAACTTTTTAAAACTACTTTATGATTTTGTATTTTTAATTTTCAGTGCGATTGCCGAGAAAAGATATGTTCTAATGGAGAAATTCTGGAAAATGGTACATGTCAATCAATCTTTCTAAAATCTAATAACATTGGGTATAATATATGTATTCATGTGAAAGGAACTTTTAACATGCGCGATCAAAATGTTAGTCCGGAAAACATCTTAGTAAAATACAGAAACGAAAATTTTGTGTCCTTTAACTCTGATACAGACACGGTTGTGGATCAAAGTTTCACACCCGTTTTAGTGAGTCTCTGCGGAGAGGAGTTCGTGCATATTGAAGCTGATATATACGTGAAATTACTTTTTGAAAGTCCAGTGAATCCCGACGATAAACAAATTGAACTGTTGAAAATTGTTCAAAATTTGGGTCCTGAATCGTCAACAAATGGATTTAGTATGGAAACCACCCTGGGAAACATTTGTCATAGATTCCAACCTCAAGTTCAAACTTTTCCCGTGAAATCGAACTGTTCTTTAATAAAACCAGTTGTTCTTTTAGATGAAGTATATATTAGAGATGAAGTCGCTAAGATTCTTCCTAGTATCCAATTCCTTCAACTAAATAAACTAATGACGTGTGCCCATGTTTCACTGAATTCAACGGAAGTTGCGCATAACCTCACCGACAACTCTCTGACCTTATTACGTAATAATCTAACATTAACAGAGGGCGAATATAAATCACGCGATGAACAATTTGTCGTGTGTTTGGATGATTACCTCAACGGCACTTCTGTAGATTATTGTAAACCAGTTATTGGTAACCAGACAGCAGCTTGGACGCCATTAGGCATAACTTCCGTCGTATGCACGTGTATTTCGTTGTTGTTCCTCATTATAACTTTCATTTTTTATTGCGTTATTAAAAGCTTGCGAAATGTGGTCGGGGTCAATGTAATGGGATTGATAGTAACTCTGATATTTACTCAGGTCTTCTACGAGTTCGGATTAGAAATGACGGATTACCATAACCTTTGTCAAGCCATGGGCATCCTTATTCACTATTTTTGGTTGTCGGCCATATTTTGGATGAATGCTTGCACTTTGGTTTTATTTCTGAAACTGTCTTTCCCACTAAAATCTCGCTGTTTCACTACAGGGCAGATATTTAGAAGATCCTGTGTCTATTCAACTCTATCGCCATTAATAATTGTGGGTATTACTCTTGGGATAAACTATGGTATGGATGGTTATTCTGGTTATGGAGGCGCTCATAGTTGTTATATAAGAAGCGTCAATGAAAGAGGATTTGCCTTTGCCTTACCACTAGGACTCTTGGTTCTAATCAACATCGTTTTGTTCAGCTACACATTTATTAAAATCAGAGCCACACAGATGGAATCGGCCATCAACAGAGAAAATAAAATTAATATTTTAGCGTGTTTAAAACTCTCTGTTATTACTGGAGCTTCGTGGATTTTTGCTTTCGTGTATGAAGCAACTGGCGCCATTGTGTTTGCTTATCTTTTCACCATTCTTGTTGGTGCTCTTGGCCTTGTTTTGTTTATCGCTTTCATTGTAAACAAGCGAGTTTGTCAGATCTGCGTAGAGAAAGTTCGTGGAAGCGAACACATTCAGCCATCAAGCGCTTCTAAACAGAAGTATGTAGTAAAGTCAACCGGTGAAAGTCCACTTCCGAGCCTTTCAAAGGCCAGATCGGTTAGCGACCCAGAAAGTGAGGCCAGTATCAAGACGAGAATGACTAAACGTGGAACTGAAGAGTACCAAATTTAAGACGTGCACATACTGAAACTGGGCATCGTTTATAATCAATGTTCCCGTTATGCACTGGAAATGATGTGCGTACTAACGTCATGTTATATTCTTGGAAACCAAACGTAGACAAAATATAGTAAGACGCCATTGGTTTTCGAGACGTTCTGAACTAGTGAACACTCATCGGATTCTCTAGATCAACCTAGATTGTTCAAATATTAAAGAATATTGTCAAACTCCTATATAGTATGGAATATTTTTTTCAGTGGCATTTAGTAATTGAACTGGAATATACAAGACACAATTCTATGGAATATAATTACTGCTTATTACTAAGCGACATTTCGACTAGGATTCTCCAGTCTTCATCAATGGAATATAAAAGAAATCTATTACCATAAATAGGTATCGCTGTCTAATATTAAAACACAAATACAGTCAGTGGTCTGGATGGTTACATTAACGTTATACTTCATACTAATGTGATAGAGTAAATTATAACTCTATTACTATTACACTAATTATACCATAATTATCAATAATGGTATTTGGCAGAAATCGAGACTAATATAGACCAGATAGAAATTAATATTTTAGTCATGTTGTTTGGCTACATTATAGCAGTTTGTTGCCCCACGATAGCTATAACAAGGGTTGTTTCCTGGAATAGTTGTCTCAAATCAAATGAACATCAATATATAATATGATCTCAATATATATGATCTCAATAAAATGGTTGAGATGTCGAAATTAAATTTACGCAATGAAACAGATGAATCCTTTCCCTTAGCAGGTGTTAAGAGGCGCAAACTTCAATCTGGGATTTACCCCCGCCGCCGCCCCCCCCCCCCCACACACACCCACAGACACACATTTTTATCAGATTTATAATTCTACCCACATATAGACAACATAAAAACCTGGTACATCATTTATTCGCTACAATTATTAAATATATTTCGTTTTATTTGTTTTTTTTTTTTTTTCTTCTTTTATTATTCCATTTACTGAAAATAGGTTGAAATCCTGACTATTCGTGTGGCGGACACCCTTGTTACGCCACTGGAAGAATGTTTTGTGCGGCATACTATTTTATCTGTTATAAAGACTGTTAATTATTTTATTTCGTATATTTGCCATCCAAATGTACATAATCATAATATATATAAATATACAACACCTTTTTATATGCCCACATGGAAATGTGGTCGTATATTGCCGTCGCCCCCGTTCGTCCGTCCGTCCGTCCATCCATCGTCCACAATTTCTTGTGAACACTCTACAGACTACATTTATCATCTGATTGTTTTGAAAATTGATATATGTTGTTTGCATTATTGAGATGAAGAAGCCTATTTAATTTCAATAACTTCCGTTAATTTCCTCTGGAGTCATGGCCCTTGTTTCACTTTGTTGCACCTTGTGAACGCTCTATCGACAAAAGTTATCAACCGATCTGTATGAAATTTATATGCATCATTTAAATTAGTAAAACAAAGAAGCCTATTGAATTTCAGCATTTTCCGTTAATTACATCTAGAGTTATGGCCCTTGTTTCACTTTGTTGAATCTTGTGAACGCTCTAATGACAAAAGTTATCAACCGGTCTGTATGAAATTGATATGCATCATTTAGATTAGTGAAATTATTGAATTTCAGCAATTTCCGTTAATTTCTTCTGGAGTCATGGTCCTTGTTTCACTTTGTTGTACATTGTAAATGCTCTAACGACAAAAGTTATTATCCGATCTGTATGAAATTTATATGTATCATTTAAATTAATAAAACGAACAAGCCTATTGAGTTTCAACAAATTTCCGTTAATTACATCTAGAGTTATGGCCCTTGTTTAACTTTGTTGAATCTTGTGAACGCTTGAACGACAAAAGTTATCTGTATGAAATTCATATGCATCATTTAAATTAGTGAAATTAGCAATTTCCGTCAATTACGTCTAGAGTTATGGCCCTTGATTTACTTTGTTGAACTTTGTGAACGTTCGAACGACAAAAGTTATCATCCGATCTGTATGAAATTTATATGCATTATTTGAATTAGTACAACGAAAAAACCTGTCGAATTTCAACAATTTCTGTTGATTACGTCCATAGTTACGACCCTTGTTTTAGTTTTTAGAACCTTGTGAACCCTCAAACGACGAAAATTATAATGTCATCTGTATGGAATTGTTTATTAAATTCCCCTAATTACCTACAATAGAATAAATATGTGACAACCCTTGTCGACTGCACGGGCGATTTAGATGCTGTGGGCGTATGTTTTGTTGCCTGGCAACCTATCTTTTTATTTCTAATTTATTTAGATATTTTGTGAGAGCTTTATTCTACACTCTTTTTATCAATATTTGTTACGTTTTCTCATTATTTTTTCTCTGTAATTATTTGTTTAAAGAAATAAACCCTTTTGCCCAACTTGGATTCTTGTCAAATTTCTGATATATTATATTAAATAACTGAGAATATTTTTTGATGTTTTGCATTGTCAGACTGCTTAGGACCAGATTTGAAATGTATGTGGTCGTTTCGGACAAAAGCGCCAAATTTCTCCCAGATGCTTTTTATTCATCGAGAGACCCTGGTTTATTGAGCCTCTGTCATTTCTATATTCCGTACAAACCCCCTGCATTCTCGTGCAAATATTATTCATAGCACTAGTTCCATAAACTAATTAAATACTGTTAGTCTAAAGGGGACTGTTATTGTTTAGAAATTTCTTGTCATTTGTCATTCAGATAATATAAATGCGATGTTTATCTAAATGTGATGTTTATCTAAATGTGCTAGTATCCATCGCTCAAATAATACTATAATTAGCTCGTTAGGAGCCCATCGTTATTGCTATAATAGCTCAAAATAGTCAACGAAACGTCTAGATTATCCAATTTAAAGTTAAATTATAAAATGGCACCGTTTCTCTAATCCAATTAATATCTTGACCATCCTATGATCTAGGGCTGTCATGTAAATAAATATCTAAATAATGATAACAAGACCTGCATGCATCCTTAATCTTAATGTTATATTCGCATTTTCGGCGCCAGAGGAATGCCCCACCAGACCCATCAAACGGACTTGCATTCAAAGTTAGATTTATCTTTTCCGGTCAATTATTTCTATTGAGTGTGTTCCTGATTGGGGATATTTCGCTGGGAATATTTGAAAATCTAAAGGGTGAGCCAGCATTACAAACACGTTGTCCGTTAACCCCAGTATTTTCACATCATGCAAGTGTACATAATGGGGAAAACGTGAAGAAACAACATTACATTGAATTTCCGGAACGAGATAAGGTTTTTAGTCAGTGTTGGATTTAGATGAAGAGAAGCCTTAGTCTATTACACTTATGAATTGGGCAAAACCAAATGAGTGTAAGAAAGGCTTATGACTGTTAAATACCTATATCGTGAAGTCCTAGGCTTCAGTCTAGAAAGCCTATAGCTAAACCCGGCACTGTTTTGGTAACAAATAAATTTTATCCCGTTGATTGGATATGTTTCCCAATCCATGAATTTGGAATTGCAGCTTGAGGAATTATATCTTACAGTACCATATACAATGTCTGTTTAATTAAAGGTTAGCTATTTTATTCTACCCTATAATGCCGGGGTGGTTGTCTTTGGACCTCCATCCACTATGGAGAATCTTCTTCATGGACGCCACAACGTCCGTCTTATCGTGATGGTAAGCCAAATTCACATTTTCTTGGGAATCCTTAGCATGATCATACAACTCGACTCCAACAAGGGGCCGTGAATAGTTTGGTTTATAAAGTGGCGCGCCGTTAAATCTAGTCCATTCTGTATAACGATATTGGTCTGTTCTTACGGTGTATCCCATTATAGTATTACCTCGCTTGTTTTGAGAAAATGCTGCCATCTTCCATGGACCGTTTGGAGATGTCATCAGTGGTAGCATGCTCTTGCCTTCTGTGCAAACATTGACATGGGTTGACTCTTCTGGACACATATTGAGTTTTGGTAGTCTGGCGGCATCTACCAAAGTTGGGAAAAGATCTACGAACTCAACTAGTTGATTAGTGACTACACCATTGTCCGTTAAGCCAGGAACCCTTAGCATCATTGGGGCATGAACAGAATCTTCAAAGGTAGTATGCTTTGTCCACAGTCCATGCTCTCCTAGTGAATATCCATGGTCACCCACAAACGAAATTATGGTGTCGTTCATCAGGTTGAGATTTTTGAGTTCAGATAAAACTTCGCCAACTAAAGAATCCATATAGGAAACGGCACTGAAGTAGGCCCTTCTTAGATTCTTTACGACACTGTCAGGTAAAGTTGTGTTTGGGTTGCCTGTGGCATTTAAAACTGCGATATCATTAAAAGCTCTAAGTTCTGCATAATTATTCCAGGCTTTATCTGGCATATCAATGGGAGCATAGGCGTTGGTTGGCAAATCTACCATACTGACAGGTATGTCAGACAGAAATTTCTGTGGAAATAAGAATGGTAGATGAGGTTTGTGAAAACCAACTGCCAAGAAGAAAGGTTGGCCAGCTGTTGCCATCTCATTCAATGACTTCTTTGCCTGTGCCGATATCATCTCGTCAACCAATGGAAACTGTTGACGTTCTGTGTCAGGCACCGCCCTCCAGCTATGGCTGTGTCCGTAATGATGTGCTTGCGATACGTGATAATTTTTACTCCACGATATAGGATCGTCATTGTTAGATGAAGGGCCAGGGTGAAATATCTTACCAATTCCGACACTAGTGTAACCATGATTTTTGAAATACTGAGGAATGGTTGTGAAGTTTCCACCAACATTACGGAAATATGTCTTCAGATCGTAAACATGGGTTGTATCTGGCCGTCGTCCGGTTAGAAAGGACGATCGACTTGGTCCACAAACAGCATACTGAACATACGCTCGCTTCATCACCATACTCTGCGATGCTAAAGTATCAAGGTTTGGTGTGTGGTTTGGCCCAAGATGGAGTCCTTGATAAACGCCAATGTTTGGTCTAAAATCATCAGCTACTAAAAATAATACATTTTTCTTCGCACCGTGCACGTATAGTGCTATACTTAACAAAATATAAAAGCCGACAATACCATTCCCGTCCATTATGAAATTTTTATTTTCGACTTTTAAAAAATCGGCAGCTGTAGATTTTATATCTTATCTGTTGTGTACATTTAACATAGATTAGAGTTTTAGATAACGATATCGGTGGTTCAGTGAGTAACCAGGAGCTCCCGTTTGCATGCCGGTGCTGGTAGAGAAAGTTCCCTGGAGTTTCAACCTCGATTTTCCCTTGTCAGTGGTGCAAGACGGGGAACTTATGGTGGCGTCTAGTCGTTCGTGTGCATGTTGTTGCTGTACATGTAAAAGCCCTCCTCCAGATCTATATTTCGTTTCGTTTTTTTACACTACATGAAGATCTGATCGGTTTTACTGGAAAGTCGCGTCGGGGTCGTACGAGAGGCTTTTGACCCTATGACGTCAGACATTGATTAATCAATCAGCGTTGATATTTCTAGTGGTTGATCCGTGCATCGTACGCCAAGAACTCGCTGTAACAGACCGTTTCATTGGCTAACCCCTCACTTCAACCAGAACGCCGGTAATATAACAACTCTTCCAGATCCTAGTGTTGTAAAGACAAGTAAAACGAAATTAAGAACGATAAAAAAAACGAAACAAATTAGGATCTGTGTTTTAATCAGATTGCGTAAAGGTATGCTTATCAACAATAATCCGGTTGGAGCAGAAAAGTGGGACGTCAATCATTTCATTTAAAATTTAAAACTAAACTAAAAAGAAAAGATCAACTATTGCTTAGTCATTTTCGCACTTAATCTGTTTATTAAAAAAATATACATATTATAGTTTAAAACAAATGCGGTTAGTCATGCGACCATTACACCCACTAGGAAACAAGTCGTCCATGTGTGCAACATCTCATCCATAAAAAAGACAAAAAAATTATTCTGCTATCTATCACATAACATCCCCAGTTAATTGTTGGACCAGGAAAGCACTACTCATATTCTTATTGCTCTTTGAAAAAGGCCCAAGGTTCCGTCAATTTATATACCATCGACGTGAAACTTGACATGCTCGTTCCTTGGACAATTGCGCATCAATCGACGGACTTCGAATTTTGATTTGAATTTTGATATTCCAAGATTGCTGCGATGACGGCACACTCGGTTCCCGGTCCATAGAACACCCATGCCTGTTTTGTCAAAATATATTATACATCAATTCTTTTAACATACATTTTATATGTGCCTTTGGGGATGTTTATAGAAACGCCTAATTCATCAAAAACAAATAAAATATTCAACTATATAGGGACATTATTTAAAATAATTATAAGGCAGTACTTTGTCTAAATATCATATTGTTATTGGACACTAATTTTTGACTTTGTTGACGTGTGTCTGACTATGATAGCCTACTCATACCAAAATAATGTTATGGTATATCAAGACGGTTTGAGCTGCATTGAGGACGGATGTGCACATGACGACAGTATAGGCCTACATGTCTACATTAAAAACAATCTGATTAAAACACAGATCCTATTTCGTTCGTTTTTTATAGTTCAAAATTTCATTTTTCTTTTCTTTACTACACTAGAGGCAATCGAAAGTATAAAAAAAAAAGAAACGAAATATAGATCTGTATTTTAATCAGATTGCATTAAAACCGAGAGTGTATTAAAAATAAAATACTAAATAAAAATCATGCATAGTATATAAAATAAACCCAGGATTATCAATAACTAGGAATTGCAATAGACTTATATACATTATATTACCATCTTCAACATAACAAGAAACAAAGACAGTTTGCCAGGCAACAAAACATACGTCCAGTGCAGCTAGGTCGTCTAGAGGTCCATAAAGGTTGGAGTTGTGTTATTCTTTACGAGAATAAAGATAGGCTGCCAGGCAACGAAACATACGCCCACAGCAGCTAAATCGTCCGGGCAGTTAACAAGAGTTGTCGCATATTTTTACCTTTTTCGGTAATGAAACATTTATAATACACTAAAATCTGATTAAGAGCAACAACTGAGAAAACCATTAGAATTTGTTTGGTTTTTATAAACTTCTACCCCATGCTAACGTTTTGTGTACAAAACTTTTAATATCATGGATTTAGCTGTTCCAAGTCATAAAAATTCATTGAAAATCAATATACTTGTTCCTCTCAAGATCTTAAACTCTGTGTATCAATCCGAAGTCAATCGGATGATAACTTTAGCCTTTAGAGCGTCACAAGATTTTGCAAAGTGATCAAGGGCCATAACTTTGGCAGTAATTATCGGAAATCGTTGAAAATCAATAGGATTCTTCGTCTCATGATCCTAAACACTGTGTATAAATTTAAGGTCAATCGGATATTAACTTTGGCCTCTAGAGCGTCCACAAGATTTTTCAAAGTGATCAAGGGCCATAACTCTGGCAGTAATTATCGGAAATTGCTAAAAGTCACCAGGCTTCTTCGTTTCATGACCTTAAACACTGTGTATGAATTTAAAGTCAATCGGATATTAACTTTGGCCTCTAGAGTGTCTACAAGATTTTTTGAAGTGATCATGGGCCATAACTCTGGTAGTAATTATCGGAAATCGCTGAAAATCAATAGGCTTTTTCGTCTCATGACCTTAAACACTGTGTATAAATTTAAGATCAATCGGATATTAACTTTGGCCTCTAGAGCGTCCACAAGATTTTTTGAAGTGATCAAGGGCCATAACTCTGGCAGTAATTATCGGAAATCGCTGAAAATCAATAGGCTTCTTCGTCTCATGATCTTAAACACTGTGTATAAATTTAAAGTCAATCGGATATTAACTTTAGCCTCTAGAGCGTCCACAAGCAATTGTGGACGCCGGACCAACGGCCGACGGACGGGGGCGACGACAATATATGACCACATTTAAATGTATAAAAAGGAAAAATCTTTATACCCAATATAAATCACTTTGTTTAGAACTCTGATAGGATCCTACAAAGTAGCTAATTGATGAATGAAAAGTAAAAACTTTATACCAAATATCACTGACAGGATTCTACAAAATAGTCCAGAATTAATTATCAGAAATTGCTTGAACTTGATAAGCTTATTTGTTGCATAAACTGAAACAAAGAGCATAAATTTCAAGTAGAAACAATGATAATGCATTCTGAGAATCCTTAAACATACATTATGCAAGAGCTAAGTCTGCCTATTGCAGGTATTTCTTTAGGCCTGAAATGTTATCTAAATTATTAATTAGACATTAATTAACTTATCCAGACCATAATCAACTCTAGATGGACTCGCTAGTCTGCGATCTTAAGTGGATTGTGAACCGATTTACTGCATAACTTTCCTTCTCGATTAAACGATTAAATAGATAATCGAGACTATGCTGTTTATCGTACTGACTTTAGTAATGTTGACCGAGGCTAGGCAGAAATTTCCTTCGCTTAGTTTTCGGTTCATAGTGGACCAATTTGAATGAAATTTTCAGCAAATTGCCTTTACGTTATCTAGTTTTTAACTATTATAGTGAGAACTGCCAACTCGTTATCGAATCTCCCATAATATATCTTTAATATGAACAATGCATATAAATTTCAAACAGAGTGAATGATAACCTGATTAGAGAAGCAATTATTGGAAATTGCTGACATTCATCAATGTGAAAAAAGCAAGGACAATGACTTTGGAAGTTAGCAGAAATTGCTGAAATGTGTCACTAATGTAAACAGTGTATTACTATTGTCACTAGAGTGTTTGTCAGGGACAGGCCTGGCCTGGTGACTAAAATGGGCCCCCAAACAGCCTACCACACTCACAGGTTCCTCCTCAGTCCACCCCTGAGGACGACAGACGGATGAACAGGGTCAAACGTAATAATTGCCTATTTAACGGCAGAGAATTAAAAACAACAACGTAACAAAATTTACCAATCAATTTGGATCAATACTTAACGATGAATAACATGCATTCAGCCATATCCCTGTTTAGCATATACAATAACAAGTCATTCAATATGGTCACTCAACAGGAATTAAACATGACATGCAGCATATATATATAACATGCCAACAGGTGTATATGAAACACCCCCCCCCCCTTTTAAAACATATTGGTAATGCCATTAATAATTAATAACAGGCAAGAAAGCCCAAGTAATCATAACAATATCTATATACATATTTACACAAAGTGATAGTTTGGGTTATATAATGTCAATGTTGACAAATTAGTGATGAGTCAACTTTATCTTGAACTTTAAAGGAGCTAAAGCTCTAAACTCATTTTCTGAAAGAAAATTAATTTGCTAGTGGTCATTGGGGGAATTTAATATTCCATGGCCCCCAAAACCATCTGAATTACAAACAATTAATACACTGATATATCAAAAACAGTGGTGTGCAGATATCCATTTTAAAGAGTAAAATTACATGATGTTTTTTTTTAAAATTTGAAATTATTGTTGTTAACTGTGTTGTACGAGCCATCCTATTTAATTTATTTATTTCATCTGTTCTGAAACATTTAAGATGTCTTCCTTTCTCAGATTTCTCATGCCACTGATCAAATTTTAATTTGTTGTGAAAGATTTATCATTCATTAAAGGTGTCTTCTCATCTACAGATGACTGGAAGTTCTGAAATAAACAATAACATTACTAAAATACAAATCCATCCAACACTTAAAGATATAATCCCACCAAATTATTCATAGGGTAGTTACTTCCAATAAAAGTATGTCATATCTGGTATACAAATGCAAAGTAGAGACACTCAATATTACTAGAACAATACTGTATTCCCTGAAAAGCACCCATGGGGTCACCCACAGGACAAACGTGTAAGGGTGTCACTAACTATGTCTTAATCTATTGGCTAACAGGTGTTAGAATATTGACAGACTTCAACGTTCAGTCAACTTTGTAATTAAACTGCAGAAAAAAAGTTGACAGAGGATAATCCAAGAAGTTGTGTCCGCTTCAATATTTATGGTAAATGGATAGCGACTAACAACAAATACAAGCTGTAATGGAGTCTCCCTCAATCAAGTCACATGACAAACAATGCAGCTGAAAACAGATTCTTGAGGCATGGGGTTGTTTAAAAATTTGACGATAAAATAAAAAATCAAGACTTAGTCTCGATTAGTACAATTGCTATGATAATAAACATCTTCAAACAGTCATAAATTTTCCCATAATAAAGTAATTTGAATGAAATTTTCGATATATTCATTTTTCATTATCTTCTTTTGAAATATCATAGAGGAAACTGTCAGCTCTTTATCTAAATCTTACATGAAATAAATTGTAATCTCTAAATGTATATGAAAAAAAAAACAAAAACAATTTAAAGATAGAAGATCTGACCTAAAGCAATTTGAAGATCAAAGATCATTTCCTAAATGAATGGATTTAAAAACTTATGATCTATTCAATCTATCAATTAGTGTGAAAGTTTTAGTTATTCACAGCTCTACATAACAAGCAAACTCGGGATTCTAAACAATTTACAGAGTTACCTCCATTAACCGGGGTGAAATATTTAAGTGCAATAATTAAAGAGACTGTTTTTATTTATTTTTAAAAATAAAAACTGCTTATGATTATCAGAGAACCAGAAAATTTTGACAGGTCTTCTGGTATTAAAGAGTACACTATGTTGAGAATAATTAATTGTAAAGAGTGAGAGAAGGAAGACAAAAGCACTAATAGCAATTAGAATTATTTCAATAGTATGAGCCACCATTATTGGTAAATAAAAACAGTATGTGGAGAATAATTCATTGTATACTAACTCACCTTAGTATGTTGTAATTTACATCCGAGAAAGAGTGAGAGAAGGAAGACAAAAGCTCCAATAGCAATCAGAACTATTTCAATAGTATGAGCCACCATCATTGGGGTAAATAACATAGTATTTAGTTTATCAGCATTACTATCATCTACTATAGTTCTCTAAAATACAATAAGACAAAGTTCAAGTACATTCTGTTAGCTTGCTAAATCCTTTAATTGGTCAATTTCAATCAATACTGATGTTGTTATCTTGTAGTGAAAATATAGGAAAGGAACCCAGATCTTTGGGAAATAAACCTATATTTCAACCTATGGACGTCTTGACGGACAGGGGTGATGACAATATACGTCCACATAAAAATGTTGGAATATAAAAACAGGTGTAAAATTACAATAGAAAATACAATATTGTTTTTACAACTTGCAGTGGCTAGGTGGTTAAGACGCTGGCTCGCTAGCCTGGAGGTCAGGTGTCGATCCCTGCATTGGTCGAGAAAGTTCATGCAGATTTTTCGGTGTGGTTCCCCCTTGTCAGTGATGCAGAACGGAGGGCCTGACAAGGACAGCTGTCTAGTCTTTCGGATGAGACGAAAAACCGAGGTCCTGATTAAACATTTGAATGCACGTAAAAGACTATCGCAGTTGGAATTCGATATAAAAGTAGGCGATAAAGCCGCTGCCCGGGCAAAATTTCACTCATGGCACACTGTATGGCGTATGCACGTCTTCATTAGCCCAGTATAGGAGCAGAACAGTAGGACATTAAACCCCATTTCATTTCATTTTTACAAATTGAATATAAATAAGTTCACATACATTCATATTACATTAATATGTGCTTTTAGAATCATTTTCGTTTATTTCCAGGTTCCCAAAGATAGGTTGCCAGGCAACGAAACATACGCCCACAGCAGCTAAATCGTCCGGGCAGTCAACAAGAGTTGTCGCATATTTTTACTTTTTTCGGTAATGAAACATTTATAATACACTAAAATCTAATACAGAAAACCATAAGAATTTGTTTGGTTTTTATAAAGTTCTGCCCCATGCTAACGTTTTGTATACAAAACTTATAATACTGTATCATGGATTTAGCTGTTCCAAGTCATAAAAATTCATTGAAAATCAATATACTTGTTCGTCTCAAGGTCTTAAACACTGTGTATAAATTTAAAGTCAATCGGATATTAATTTTCTCCTCTAGAGCATCCACAAGATTTTTTGAAGTGATCAAGGGCCATAATTCTGGCAGTAATTATCGGAAATCGCTGAAAATCAATAGGCTTCTTTGTCTCATGACCTTAAACACTGTGTATAAATTTAAAGTCAATCGGATATTAACTTTGGCCTCTAGAGCGTCCACAAGATTTTTTGAAGTGATCAAGGGCCATTACTCTGGCAGTAATTATCGGAAATCGCTGAAAATCAGTAGGCTTCTTTGTCTCATGACCTTAAACACTGTGTATAAATTTAAAGTCAATCGGATATTAACTTTGGCCTCTAGAGCATCCACAAGATTTTTTGAAGTGATCAAGGGCCATAATTCTGGCAGTAATTATCGGAAATCGCTGAAAATCAATAGGCTTCTTTGTCTCGTGACCTTAAACACTGTGTATAAATTTAAAGTCAATCGGATATTAACTTTGGCCTCTAGAGTGTCCACAAAATTTTTTGAAGTGATCAAGGGCCATTACTCTGGCAGTATTTATCGGAAATCGCTGAAAATCAGTAGGCTTCTTTGTCTCATGACCTTAAACACTGTGTATAAATTTAAAGTCAATCGGATATTAACTTTGGCCTCTAGAGCGTCCACAAGATTTTTTGAAGTGATCAAGGGCCATAACTCTGGCAGTAATTATCGGAAATCGTTGAAAATCAATAGGCTTCTTCGTCTCATGACTTTAAACACTGTGTATAAATTTAATGTCAATCGGATATTAACTTTGGCCTCCAGAGCGTCCGCAAGATTTTTTGAAGTGATCAAGGACCATAACTCTGGCAGTAATTATCGGAAATCGCTGAAAATCAATAGGCTTCTTCGTCTCATGGCCTTAAACACTATATATAAATTTAAAGTCAATCAGATATTAACTTTGGCCCCTAGAGCGTCCACAAGCAATTGTGGACGCCGGACCGACGGACGGACGGGGGCGACGACAATATACGACCACATTTCAATGTGGGCGTATAAAAATAGAGCGATATGCCTTTAAAAGATATCTTCCTCTGATTTGATTGTGCTATGAGGGAAATTTTGCACTACAACCTACTCTTAATTCAAAATTCAGCTGCCAAAGGTTCTTTTACATGCACGTCAATGTGTAGGCTACAGAGTCCTTAGTTTTTCGAACCATCCAAATGACTAGTCACTGTCCATGTCATGTTCGCCATTTTGCACCAGTGACAAGGAGAAACTGTGCCGGAAAATCATAAGGAACTTTTTCAGACAACACCAGGAGCGAATCTAAGACCACTATGGTTGTATATTTACCTCATTAATCCAGAATACAGGTAAAAATGTTGGCTTTATTCCATGTGTCATCCTGAAATGCCAAATATACAAATATAATATTTCTCTGTTTACACCATCCTTGGTATCCCAAGTGATATCGTTCCATTCTACTCCACTATACCCTAAGTTCATTCAGGGGTTTTCACGTGAATGTATGTTGATTCTACCAATCAAAAACAGTTTACATACCATGCGAGTTTCTTCCCCATGAATGAACTCGGAGAATAATGGAGTAGAATGGAATGATATCACTGGGATATCGGGGATGCATTTCCACAAGATATAAAAATATAAAATTTGTTTGTTTACATCAGATATACAAATACATTATACAACATTTCTCTGTTAATACCAGATATAAATACAGTAGTTTTAATGAAGTTTGTTTTATTTTTTTCTGCCAACTGGGTTTATGAAGACCTGGCATATGTCATATAAGAGGAATTGTGCCCAGACAGTGGTATTTCTGCCTATTTTTCCTTCAAGATTTTAACTGTCAATGTTTTTTTTTTTTTTGCATGGGTTGACCTCAGTGGTTTGTTCCATCTGATAATCTAGATACTTTTCCTTGCCATGCCTTCTGTCCTCCATCACTAACAAGATCTAGAGGAAACTAGACTGGAACAAGATTCCGAGGAACTCTCTTTAATCCAGGACCTCCTTACTGCCATACTCACTGAGCTACGACCATAGCTTCCTGTCAACTTACTTGACATCCGGTACAGTTGTTATGTGCATGTTAATCTGTAATCTTTTAGCTGCTTGTAAAACTAATCCTGTTATCTGTAAAAAAAAATGGGGTTTATCATCCCACTTTTCTGCAACAACTGGGCTAATGAAACAATGGGTGTATGTCACCTATATAGTGTGTTATGAGAGCATAATTTCGAATTCAAACTGTCAAGGGTTCTTTTACATGCAAGCCAACGGTGTACATGGGACATTTTTTCATCCCATTCGAATGACTAGACATTGTTCCTTGCCAGGCTCTCCATCCTAATTCTTAAAACTCATCTATTTGAAAAAGATTATCGTTAATGGTCTGCAATCTGCATCATTGTATTGTATCCTATTTTTATAACAACCTTTGTCAGTGTCAATTTATATTTTACTTTTACTTTGTCCGTGTCTATTTATATTTTACTTTTACTTTGTCCGTGTCTATTTATATTTTACTTTTACTTTGTCCGTGTCTATTTATATTTTACTTTTACTTTGTCCGTGTCTATTTATATTTTACTTTTACTTTGTCCGTGTCTATTTATATTTTACGTTTACGTGAACAATTGTCATCTTTTTACTTCATGCATTCATGTTTTTACCATTTGTTTATTGTATAGCACTTTTGAGCATGTTTTGTGGAAATAGCGCTATATAAAAATTCTTAATATTAATAATATGAAGATATATAAAGATATAATATACTCAGCCAAATTAAAAACTTGAACACTGATGAATTTCAACAATTTTTTTTTTCTGGTAAGTCAATTAAATTTTAAAGTGTTTCTAACGATAGTAAGTAGTAAGAAGCCTTTAATTTCATAAAATTGTAAAGTCACGTGGATCACGTGACTTTTTGAGCATATACATGTAAAGATGAAAAACCTGAAAAACACGTGCAAACACAAACTCGTGAGGTCAATCGATGCAAGTTTGCTTAAACTGAACACGCACACGTAACTTGAACTGGAAAAACAAATTTAAATTGTTATTTTCATCTTTGTTAGAAAATGCTGCGCCTTTCAAATGTAGAACGTCTACTTGCTATAGGTAGGCTCTATGCTGGTCAGTCTGTGGTCACTGTTGCAAGAGCCTTTAATTGTTCACGCCAGACAACAATTAATCTTAGAATGAGAGTGCTTCAAACTGGAACTATTGCCGACCGCCCAAGGGCGGGAGCGCCACGTGTGACGTCACTCCAGGAAGTTCAAGCAATACGATTACGTCATCTAAGAAACAGATTTGTCACTGAAACCTCCACAAGTAGAGAGATGTTTGGTGGAAGGGTAACTGCACAAACTGTTCGAAATCGCTTGCAGGCTGCTGGTCTTCGAGCTCGGAGGCCCTATAATGGACCAATATTGACACGATCTTCATTGGCGTAACCGACTTGTGTGGGCCACAAGACACATAAGATTTACTCAAAGACAGTGGAATTCGGTTGTCTTTAGTGACGAATTTCGATTCACTTTGAGATTTGCCGATGGCAGGGTCCGAGTGTACCACAGACGAGGTAAACATTACGCTCAAGTATACGTCAGGGAAGTTGACCGATTTGGTGGCGGCAGCGTCATGGTTTGGGGTTCTTTTTGTGCACATGGACGTTCTCTTCTTGTTGTTGTCCAAGGGAACTTAAATGCTGTCCAGTACAGGGATCAGATTTTGCAACCTGTTCTTCTTCCGTTTATGCAGAGACATGGGCCTGGACTAACGTTTCAACAAGACAATGCTCAACCCCATTCAGCAATTGCTACCCAGAATTTTTTAAGAAATGCCGATGTCCAAGTCCTGGATTGGCCGTCACTTAGCCCCAACCTTAATCCTATTGAACACATCTGGGACGAACTGGGTCGACGTGTTCGTCAGCAAGTGAATCCACCACTGACGTTGCAGGACCTTCAAAATGCTCTTGCTGAGCAGTGGCGACGTCTTCCTCGGGTAGTGTTTACTAATGTTCTGATATCCATGATAAGATGTTGTGTGGCAGTACGAGACGCTAGAGGAGGCCACAACCGTTACTAAACACTTTATTCCGATTGTTCTCCAAGTCTGTGAATTTCATTTTGGGGGGTACTGTGACATCACGAACGTTATCAATGTCAAGGACTTTCGGCGAGACGTATTCTTGCTTTCTGTGGATGTCAAGGTCGTCTGTGCACAACATAACACTAAAATAGTTGCCTTAAACCAAATATTAAAAATCTAGTCCCAAAAATCCTGAGTGTCAAGTTTTTAATTTGGCTGAGTATATTTACTGGTTCTATGTCAATAGCGCTATATAAAAATTCTTAATAATTATAATATAGTATATAGAGATATAATATTTAAGGTTCTATGTCAATAGCGCAGCGCTATATAAAAATTCTTAATAATTATAATATAGTATATAGAGATATAATATTTACTGGTTCTACGTCAAAAGCGCTATATAAAAATTCTTAATAATTATAATATAGTATATAGAGATATAATATTTACTAATTCTACGTCAAAAGCGCTATATTAAAATTCTTAATAATTATAATATAGTATATAGAGATATAATATTTACTGGTTCTATGTCAAAAGCGCTATATAAAAATTCTTAATAATTATAATATAGTATATAGAGATATAATATTTACTGGTTCTACGTCAAAAGCGCTATATAAAAATTCTTAATAATTATAATATAGTATATAGAGATATAATATTTACTGGTTCTACGTCAAAAGCGCTATATAAAAATTCTTAATAATCATAATATAGTATATAGAGATATAATATTTACTGGTTCGACGTCAAAAGCGATATATGAAAATTCTTAATAATTATAATATAGTATATAAAGATATGGTACTTACTGGTTCTACGTCAATAGCTGTTTCATGTTTTAAAGGAATTGGTTCAACACCATTAACACCATCAATAAATTTTTGATCTGCCAGGTAAAAATGAGGGAAAGAAATAACTGATGGTACTGGAAAACCGTCCACTGAAAATAAATAAGAGATATATTAGGTAACTTGATGTGTTTTTTGGGTTTTTTTTTTAAGGCTTTCAGCGACATTTGAGTGCTATAGCTATAGAAATCCCTTGCAAACTACAGTTTTGTTGAAGTTTAATCTCAAAAAGATCTATTCAGTATTTACAAAGTTCTGATAACTTGAAATTTAATTGATTCTATGCTGCTCGTATGTAACAAGACACGGCCATCTTTTATCGGTATCAGAGAAACCTGATGGGCCTAGTTTAAGATTGAATACAAGACAGCTAGCGTTGGTATTTTGATTTTGTTTTCTTAATTAAATGTTATGTTCTTAAAATAATCAGAGTTCAAATTTTGCATGGATTAAGCCATGAGAAATTTGATATGAAGATAGGACAATGCATAGAGAAAGAAAACAGTCTGATTATTTTGTGGGTTGATATTCTAGGAGCTTCATGGTAAAAAAAATAATGAGATTATTTTTCTGTAATAAAAAGTTGTTCTTAATAATAATAATAATAATAATAATATCTTTATTTAAGAAGGGTAAAGCAAAAGGCATAAAAATATGGAACAAGGAAAATACATTATTTTATATATGGGCATGCATGTAGAGGGTACCAGTATTATTCTTTGACAGTAAAATATTTAAAAAGTTGTTTCTTGAAAGAATTTAGGTTAGTGGTCAGTTTTAAGTATGAAGGTAATGAATTCCATAGGTTTGAACCTTTAAAACGGATGCTGTTTTTTACAATATTAAGCTTTGGCTCAGGTAACCTAATGGTACATAATTGCTTTCAATGTCGTGGGTTATGATATTTATATATGAGAAAGTAATCATAATGATCACATTTAAAAAGTAAATATGGTAATGTAATTAATTACATTTGTAATATAATGGTACCAGGTCTGTTATCTTCAATGATAGGGCTTTTGAAAATGAATTGAAATAATAATAATAATAATAATATAGTTCACAACATTTTGATTTCTGAATTGATCAATAAAAACCCCATACTGAGCTGAGCTATTTCTGCATGGGATTTGACTTAAATCCGCTTTTACCTATGAAAACTTAGCGAAATCTTATACTACTTTTTCACAATAAATGTCTTACTAACTATAACCTAAGAAAATAGAAATTATGTATCCAATCCATATTTAACGATATAGAACATCTAAGGCATATACGAAATGAAATGGGGATTAAAGTTCTACTGTTCCGCTCCAACTGGGCATAAGCCATGCAGTGTGCTATAAGAGAGAGAGAGAGAGAGAGAGAGAGAGAGAGATCCCAATGACACAAACTAGTTCCTTTTAGGACTAACATATGGTGCAATTTCATTGCCATGATTTGGCAATCTTTAGCAGTAGTTTAAAATTGAACGACCCAGAAAAAAAGCGAGGTTGGGCAGGTGAATCTACTCCTTGTTATGTACAAGTTGGGGAATCTAAAGCACACAACTTGACTCAATGACAGACCTTATGATCTAAAGCACACACATTAGACTATTCAGCCACCCAAACCCCCAACTAAACTATGATTATTACACAAAAATATTACAATATGTGATTTCAACACTTACCATGTGTACAGACACTGACATCCAGTAATCCTGATCCTAGACATCCAGACCTTTTTGTACAGAAACCAGCATTATCTGGATTGAGTGTTTTATTAGCTAATTCTTGTGCTGTAGCTGTATAACGATGAAGATGTAGCTGACGTTTTATTTCTACATCTGATGTATATTTACCAAACCCTGATCTGTTGTATAATACAAGAATTGTATATTCTGATTCACAATGAAAACATACATTATCCACAGGGGCGGATCATTCAGGATTTTCAGAAAGGGTGGGGGCATGCTGCATCCACTTGGGAGTGTGAAGCCCGCCCTCAGTGGGCGGACTGAAGGGCAATCAACCAGGTCACCAATTGGCTCGTTTCGGAGTAAATTACGACGGGGATCACTACCATTTTTAAGTATTTTTGTTCTCCTTTCCTGCAAATTTTTTGCCACCGCAAAAAATAGGTGTGCGCCCCTCCTTGGATCCGCGCCTGATGCAAGAGCTAAATCTGCCTATTGAAGATCTTTCTTTAGGCCTGAAACATTTAAACTATTAATTAGAGATTTATAAACATGAAAAGACCATATTAACTCTCGATGCCATATTATGTGTCCGAATTTCATTGGATTTGAATCTGATCTGTTGTTCAACACCCATTGAAGATTAACTGCAAAAATGAATAATCGAGAATTTGTTAATCATCGTGACAGCGGTAACAATGACAATCAAGGCTACAGTGATTTTCTGGGCTTATAGTGAAACAGAGTGAGAGGGAGAGAAATGGGGTTTAACGTCCACTCAACACAAACTAGGTCATTTCTGGGACTAACATGATTCAATTTTATTTCAATAATTCGCTTGCGTATAGGGGTCTTTAGCATTGTGAGGAAACCGGAGTACTTTGAGAAAACCGACGAGGTTGGGCAGGCGACCCTACTCATTGTCACATACAACTGGGGAATCAAAACCACGACAGCTGACTCAATGACCTTATGATACAGCGCGCACATGCTAGCCGTTCGGCCATTCAACCCCAATCTGATTAAAACACAGATCCTATATCCAGTAATATCATCTGCAGTGGAAACCAGGCGATAAAAAATGTTCAATTCATCATATCTTGTAAAGACTAAATGGTACTGAGCTATATAAACCTTGTTCAGCTGTATTTTTTAGCGATGCTACAATAATAAACGAAGTCTTGATATTCCATTTTAATGTTTAAAGTAGCCAAGTCTTTAACTCAATATCATCGAAAACCTTCGACAATGAAAACACTAATTATTTGTCAATTTTAATCAACATTGGTGTTGTGATCTTACCGGAAAAAGATGGGCTTCTGATATCCAATATTTAAGACAAAATAAACATTTTACGATTGGTACACGAATCGTGTACCATGATGCGTTTCAGTGCAATTTGTAACAAGCGACTCGAAGAACGAGGTTAGACATATTCCACAAGTCATGTCAAAGGTCTGGAGAACATGTGCAAAAAATACTATCGGTGTAGACTGGAATAACCAGACGCTAGAGATTGCCATTGGATTGAGACTTCTAGGGTATTTCGCCGAACATAACTGCATTGAATTTAGAGTAAAAACGGAAATGACTGAATGTAAATCAGTTTATTTACATTCATATTACATACGTTGCGACCCATTTGTGTCAATTCGTAGGTCCCAAATATTAGCGATTTAGCTCCTTTAACTTTGATATGGCTGACATTGTCTACTCCCCAAAATATCTAAGTGATCTGATGTTCTAGAGAATCGATTATGGGTTTGTCATGTGAATAAATGTCTAAATAATAATTTATAGAACATTTCAAATCTGCAGTAGACAGATTTAGCTTTTCAATAATACATTTAATTATTTTCAGAACATACTTACCTACAAATATCCATTGAAAAAAATCTCAGTATTTCTGTATCTTCTAAAAATGGAGGATTAATTGTACCATCTGTTAAAAATCAGAAGAAATAAATGATGTAAAATATAGTCAAATCAATTCTTGGTCGTCAAATATAAGCTACTTCTATTAAATCTAGAAACCTTTGGAATACACTTAGAGCAATCTATCTCCCTCTTGTTTTTCTTGTTCTTCAGACAATGCTCCTTTTCAATTTTTTGAATAAAATACGGTTTTAAAAACAATTGTGTACAGTTGAAATGAAATGTGGCATGCTTGTTCTTTTGACAACTGTGCATCAATTGATGGATTGCGATTTTTGATATGACATTGCAATTTCAATATGGATGCGATGATGTAATGCTCAGTTAGTAGGTCATATTGCATGTTCGTACTAAGTTCACTTAACTTGCACAATATTAACACTACAGAATTGCTGCCAAGTAGACAGGCATCACTGTTTACCAGAACTCTGAAAGGACTTAGATGGCTGAATGGTTAGCACGTGCGCGCTGCGCTGTATCATACGGTCTGTCATTGCGTCAAATGGTGGGGTTTTGATTCCCCGGTTGTACGTGACAAGGAGTAGGGTTGCCTGTCAAACCTCGTGGGTTTTCTCCAGTCCTCTGGTTTCCTCCCACTGCTTAAGACCCCTACGCGCAAGCGAATTATTAAAATAAAATTGAACCATGTGTTAGTCCCAAAATGACCTAGTTTGTGTCGAGTGGACCTTAAACCCCATTTCTCTCTCTCTCTCTGAATGGACTTTGTTGCAAATGTTCACCCCCAGCCCCCAAAAGACTAAGGAAAATCTAACTTACCTGACCCATTGATTTGATTGGCCCAGGGTGATGTCCAATAGTTTAAACTTCTGGAAGCAAAAATTATTATCTTACACTTAAAGCTGATAAATCAAAGAAAAGCCAAAATAAGTTTTAATTAATTCACAATACAAGAATAAAACTCAAAATAAGTTGTAACAAACATAAAGAAACAAAACAAAAAGTAGGGTTTATTATCCCAGTTCAATACACCAACTGGGCTATTGAAGATGGGCATACACCATGCATTGTGCTATGAGAGAAATGTAGCTGACATAAAAAGATATCTAACCTTGTACCATTATATTTATCTATCTCTCCCAGTTTATTTATATCATTTTTACCAGAATGTATTGTATACACTCCATCATCTGTATTATTCTTCTGTAAAATAAAATAAAATAAAATAAAATAAAATAAAATAAAATAAAATAAAATAAAATAAATAAAATAAAAATAAAATAAAATAAAATAAATTAAAATAAATTAAAAATAAATTAAATTAAATTAAATTAATAAATAAATAATTATGCAAATCAGTCTGATATTGATAGATGAGTAAATTACTACCACGATTTAATTCTCGCACATAAATTAATAACTGATTTAAATAAATCAAAATCTGTAATGAATAAACCTTTAATGTAATATAAATAGCATTTTAAGTTAGCCGCTTGAAAAAATAAGCTAATTAAGTAACTTACATTCATAAAATATCCTATAAAATCTGTATAAAACCATTTTGGAAATATTTCATGAGCTAAATGTAATGTTGGGTCTACATAACCCCAGACAATATCTTTCAGACTTCTGGTTATAAATACACCTTCCATCAAACCAATTATATCAGTTAAAATTTTCCGAAATTCAGCACTTTCATTGCTTAATCCTTCAATTAAAGTCTGAAAGTAGAGTGGCAGAAATAATTCTATTAATTGCAGTGTTCCACAGAACAGTTAAACAGAATAGAAAGGAATTCACATAGATTAAGAACATCAACTAGGGCAGATTATTTACATGACAAGCCCATTCTTTTCAAAACTTCAAACATTCATAACTTCAATCAGAATAAAATAATTTAACTCAATTTTCAATATATTTATTTTGAATTATCTATTTTTAAATGTTGATCTCTTTATCTATATCTAACATAATGCATCTTTAACTGATACCTACCAGTAATGGTGGATTAACAGTTGTAAACATATCCAGCTCATCTCCTACAGACCTATTTCGTTGGAATGTAAAAATACGTTTTTGGCGATATGATATTGTACCATTGTCATTGAAGGTAATATTAAATTTTATTCTTCTTTCCCTGAAAAATTCAAATGGTGTAATTAAGAGAAAGAGAGAGAGCGAGAGAGAGAGAGAGAGAGAGAGAGAGAGAGAGTCTAATGTCCACACAACACAAATTAGGTTATCACTAGGCCAACACCTGGATGGAACCCGGAACATCCAGGTTATTGAGTCAGCACTATACTCACTGCGCCACCTCTATAAATTAGAAAAGTCTGAGTAAGGAGATAATAAAAATAAGTGTACACTGAAATATAATGTAAAAGATCTTTTAGCACTTGGAATATAATGAAGGGATAGCAAAAAATATTGCTCTTTCCAATCTATAGAAATCTCATTATATCATATTAATTTGATCCATTTTTGTGGGGTTTTTCATGGACTGGATCCAGAGAACAGATGTCAATCGAAGTCAACTTTTGACGTCTCCTGTCAATTAAAGCCAGTCAAACGACTGGCAATAACAATGATATCTCACCTTCTGTCAGTTACGCAAAATCAACTAAAAGAATGATTTTGACCAAATCTCACCATTACGCAAAATGTATAGTCCTTACTATGGTACAATAAAGGACAACTTAAAAAATCTGGGCTAATGAAAATGGGGATACCTAAACACCTGGACAGCAGCATCATGGCCTACTCTTATTTTGAATTGCAACTGTCAAGGGTTTTTTTTTACGTCCATGCTAACATGCATTCGGGGATCTCGGTTTTTCCGTACCATCCAAATGACTAGTCGATGTTCCTTGCCAGTCCCCCCCCTTCCATCCTGCACTACTGACCAGGGAAACCATGCTAGCAAATCCCAAGGAACTTATATATTGAGACAGCCAGATTGGCAAACCAACACTTTACTCACTGAGCCCATGCAGCTCCCTTAATAAAGGAACAAAAATAAAATGTAACAAAATATTAATAAAATAGGTAAGGACTGCATACAGCTCTGTCACTAGCATATATATAATTCTGTTAACAAACAGTTTTTTTATGATATTTATTTCTACCTGTAAGTATAAGGTCCGACTTCAATTACAGCAGGTTTGGCTCCATTTTTAACTTCTAATGGATTGGATAAGTTAAACATATAAATATCTAAATAAATTGGCATTGGTGGATCTTTCCATATACCGTATAAATAACCATCTTCTTCTAAAGTTACTTCCTATCATAAATAAAGAATGTCATAAAAGCATGAAAATACACCCACACAACAGCAATGTCTGTATACTAATTAAATTGGGTTTAACTTTTTACTTTATGAACCAATGGGCTAATAAAGGCTGTCATACGCCATACAGTGTGGTTAGAGCAAAAATTTGACCAGACAGTGGCGTTTCCTGGTACACCCTACTCTTAGTCGGGTTCCAACTGACTCCAATGTGTACCACAGGACCCAAGTTTTGTGTCCAATCCTTATCACTAGAGGTTGTTGCTTGCCAAACTCAATGGAATTGCACCAGGGGAACTACCCTGGAAAAGTCTGAGGAACTTCTCAGCCATGACCCAGATTGAACCAGGGACCTCCTATTATAGTTAGTCAGCAACCTCACAAACTGGGCCACTGTGGCAAAAATGGTACGTCCCACAATATCTAACTGTAAACTGTGTCAAGTCACTATGAGTGATCTACCATAAGAATTAAGAAGAGCAACCAAGTACTTTTTCCCTGAAGAGATAGAATCAAAACTTTTAATATTAATCTCGAAGAACAAAAAATAAACACACCTCTGTAACTTTAGATTTAACAATTGAGTCAACTACTGGAATAAGTACAACTCCTAAAATTATCAACAACAGTCCTATACATGCTCCAACTATAATCTTTTTTCTTGTCTGCATAATTGACATCTACACATGCAACTTTCTGGGGTTTTTTGGTAGTTCTTATACTAGTGGACTTTATTTTTACATCTTTCAAATAATTTCTGTAACAAAAAATTAAAACCAGCGGCTGCCAGGCAGGATACGCCCACATTTTCGAGAGATGGATAGAGAACAAGCTAACAAGAAAGTGATTTTTCCTACAATCAAGGGCCATAATTCAGGAAATTACAATTCGATATGCGCATATATCGAAAGGAACTGAGATCTTTGTGTTATAAACTTACATTTCAAGTTTCAAGAAAATCGGATAAAAATTGTGACCTCTATAGGATCCACAACCTTGATATACCATTTTCTTACGCTATTTGAGAACGAACGGCGGCCATTTTGTCTGTCAATTTTGGGCTGATTTTCACGAAATTTGAATTCAGTCGTCCCTAGGGTGTAACGGTGATATAATAATATACGTTTTTTTAAATCGGATAAAAATTATGACCTCTAATGGGTCCACAAGCTAAAAACATGATTTTTCGTACAATCAGGGGCCATAATTCAGGAAGTTACAGTCCGATATGGGCAAATATAGAAAGGAACCGAGATCTTTGGGTTATAAACTTATATTTCAAGTTTCAACAAAATCGGATAAAAATTGTGACCTCTATAGGGTCCTCAACCTTGATATACCATATTTTTACGCTATTTGAGAAATAACGGCGGCCATTTTGTCTGTCAATTTTGGGCCGATTTTCATGAAATTCAAACTCAGTCGTCCTTAGGGTGTAACGGTGATATAATAATACGTTTTTTTAAATCGGATAAAAATTATGACCTCTATAGGGTCCACAAGCTAAAAACGTGATTTTTCGTACAATCAGGGGTCATAATTCATGAAGTTACAGTCCGATATGCACGAATATCGAAAGGAAGCGAGATCTTTGGGTTATAAACTTACATTTCAAGTTTCAACAAAATCGGATAAAAATTGTGACCCTTATAGGGTCCACAACCTTGATATACCATATTCTTACGCTATTTGGGAACGAACGGCGGCCATTTTGTCTGTCAATTTTGAGCCGATTTACAAGAAATTCGAACTCAGTCATCCTTAGGGTGTAACGGTGATATAATAGAACGTTTTTTTAAATCGGATAAAAATTATGACTTCTATAGGGTCCACAAGCTAAAAACGTGATTTTTCGTACAATCAGGGGCCATAATTCAGGAAGTTACTGTCCGATATGCGCAAATATCGAAAGGAACTGAGATCTTTGGGTTATAAACTTACATTTCAAGTTTCAACAAAATCGGATAAAAATTGTGACCTCTATAGGGTCCACAAGCTAAAAACGTGATTTTTCGTACAAACAGGGGCCATAATCCATGAAGTTTCGATCCGATACATGCCAATATCGAAAGAAGCCGAGATCTTTTGGGGATAAACCTATATTTCAAGTTTCGTCGAAATCGGATAAGAATTGTGACCTGTAGAGAGTCCACAAACAATTGTGGACGGACGGACGGACAGGGGCGACGGCATAATACGTCCACATGAAAATGTGGGCGTATTAAAATATTTGTATGGTAATTATCAAAAATTGCAGTTCATATTTTGTAATACAAGGCAAGGAAAACCACAAAGATAACTTTTCTACACAAATCAGGCTAATGAAGGTGGGCATATGTCATGAATTTTGTCTACAGCATCATTTTAGCCAAGTCAAAGGTTCTTTGGTGTGCGAGCCAACAAGTACATGAGTAGATCTGATAAGGGCGAGAGAGAGAAGGAGATATGGGGTTATACATCCACTCGACACAAACTAGGTCATTTCGGGACTAACACATGGTTCAATTCTATTTCAATAATTCGCCAAACTGGTTAAAACGCAGATCCTATTTCGTTTCGTTTTTATAGTTCAAAATTTCGTTTTACTTGTCTTTACTACACTTGGATCTGGAAGAGTTGTTATTTAACTCGTATTCTGAATGGTGTCAGGGATAAGCCAATGAAACGGTCTGTTACGGCGAGCTTTAGGCGTGTTTTGCACGGAACTGTGGGTAATCCACTAGTAACATCAATGCTGATTGGTTAATCAAATGTCTGACGTCATAGGGTCATAAGTCAGTTTTTTGACCCCTGACTTGACCTATCGCTATAACTTGTCAGATCTTCATGTAGTGTAGGTCATCGGAAGTGTAAAAAACAAAACGAAATATAGATCTGTATTTTAATCAGATTAAATAATTCGCTTGTGCGTAGGGGTCTTTAGCAGTGGGAGGAAACACTCCGAATAAACCTGGTTCCTTGTGGATAGTGAGCCAGCACCATACTCATTAGATTCTGTGGGTCGGGGAAAAACTGGAAACTGAGAAAAAGACATCCAAGGTTGCGCGTAGGGGTCTTTAGCAGTGGGAGGAAACTGGAGTGCCTGGAGAAAACCCACGAGGTTGGGCAGGCAACCCTACTCCTTGTCACGTACAACCAGGGAATCGAAACCACGCCAGTTGACTCTGCCCATGGGGGTCGGGGCATGCCCCAAAATCAATATTTGGTGACCCTAGGCTATAAGGATTACATATGCCAAGTTCCAAGCTGATCTGTTCAGAATTGCAGTCTGTATACAATAAACACAAAAATTGGGCGTGGCTCTGCTCCTGGCGGGTCAGGACATGCGCCAAAATCAATAGTTGCCGTACATAGGCTATAAGGAATACATATATGCCAAGTACCAAAATGATCCATTAAGAATCGTGGCCTGTAGGCAGTACACAGACACACAAAGAAAAAATGGGTGTGGCTCTGCACCTGGGGATCAGGCAATCACCAAAAAAACAATAGGAATCATCCTTAGGGTATAAGGAATAGGTATGCAACTTTTCCAGACGATCGATTAAGAATGGCGACCTGTAGGCGAAACACTAGACACACACAACAATTGGGCGTGGCTCTGTCCCAGGGGGTCGGGCATCCACCAAAAATTATTTGAGGTCATCCTTTGAGTATAAGGAATAAGTATGAAAATTTTTTAAGACGATCGATTAAGAATTGCAGCCTGTAGGCGACCCACAAAAAAAAATAGGTGTGGCTCTGCTCCTGCGGGGTGGGCATGAACCAAAAACAAAAGTGATGATCCTTAGGGTATAAGGAATAAGTATGCAAAGTTTGAAGTGGATCCGTTACGAAATGCAGCCTGTAGATGACAAACAAATACAAAAAATGGGCGTGGCTCTACAAATGGGGTTCAGGCATGCACCAAAAAATAATAGAGGTCATCCTTAGGGTATAAGGAATAAGTAAGAAAAGTTTTCAAGATGATCCATTTAGAATTGCGACCTGTAGGCGACACACATACACACATAGAAAATAACAAGGAGAAATCACGCCGCAAAATCTTGATGGACTTTCTCGGCCAACACCGGAAGCAAATTAGCGACCTCCAGGCTAGCGAGCCAGAGTCTTTCTCACTTAGCCACTGTGGCTCTCGGAGCAGAACAGTTGTATGTTAAACCCCATTTCATTTCATTTCATTTCCCTACTTTTCTGCACCAATCGGACATGCAAAGTGATATGACGGAAATTTTCAAGGGACCATGGCATCGTTTCATCAAATTTCAACTGTGATGGATTCTTTTAGTGTATGCCAATTTCTACACAGTAGCTTGTTTTATTGTTCCATCTACAATACTAGAGACACTTTTCATCCTGGTGTTGGTCAAGAAAGTTCCCCAGGGTTTTGCAGCATAGTTTCTCTATGTAGGTAGTGCATGACAAAAACTATGCAGAGTGATTAGATCATTAGATGCAAATTTTCAATGAATCGTGGCAATTCTTCATTGAATTTTAACTGAGAATGATACTTTTATGTACACGCCAATGTGTAAAAATGAAATGAAATGGGGTTTAAAGTCCTGTACTGTTCTGTTCCTATACTGGGCTAATGAAGACGGGCATACGCCAAACAGTGTGCTATGAGGGAAATTTTGCCCGGGCAGCGACTCTATCGCCTACTCTTATATCAAATTCCAACTGCCAAGGGATCTTTTACGTGCATTCCAATGTATACACGGGATCTCGGTTTTTCGTTTCATCCAAAGGACTAGACAGCTGTCCTTGTCAGGCCCTCCGTCCTGCTTCACTGACAAGGGTGCCACGCTGGAAAATCAGGATGAACTTTCTCGGCCAATGCAGGGATCGAACACCCGACTAGCGTCTTACCCACTTAGCCACGTGATCCTCACACGCCAATGTGTATACAGTAGCTTGTTTTTTTTTTTTGTCCCATCTTCAATACTAAACACTGTTCTTTGCCAGGCCCTTGGTTCTGCACTACCGACATGGAAAAACCGTGCTGCAAAATCCCAGGGAACTTTTATGACCAACACCAGGATCAAGGTACATAATCATTTGAGAGGAAAGTGGCCGATAACCCGACATAATGACATCACAACAACTCGACATCATGACAACTCGACATTTTAACCCGACAATACCACATTTTTACGCAGCATTTTTAATGTTGTGGTGTCGGGTGAAAATGCTGTATTGTCGGGTTAAAATGTTGTGATATCGGGCTGTTTTGGTGTCGGGATAAAATGTAGTGATGCCGATCGGGTTGTCGCCTTATGAAGGGCGACACCGCATCATGACATGATACCAATCAGCCACCATACAGACATTATGAATGTGGACGTATAAAAAAAATATTACTCTTACGTTTAATCACTGTCTGCTGTAAACAAGACATGTAGGCTACTAATTGAGAATAAACTATTATTATAAAGTGTTCAGTCAACTTACAATTTTTTATGCTTTCCACTCTATGAACACACCGTTGTGGGCTACTTGCCTACGCATTATTTTTGGAATATTTTAACTTTGGACTCTAGCTTGGAATGTTGAGTAAATTGTCATAATATTATGACTCGTTGACTTTATCTGATCAATCTAATTGTATTTTTAACGTCTGGATATACCTGAACAAAATATAGAGTTGTCTCCCTTATGTTACTTGACAGATCTATTTACCAAGGCCAATTGCAGATTTCCTTTAGGTCACGAGATGTTAAACAGGGCTAGCGTTAAACTAAACACAAAACCAAGCCCTCACCTACACACTAACCCACAATCCTCGGCAACAATCACGCGTCCTAACCCTGTTCACATTTCGTGACCTTGATGAAATCTACAGGTGGCCTTGGTAAATAGGCCAAACTTATTTATTATTTCTGTGATTAAATCAGTTGAGACAATTCATTTTAAACATTATCGGCAATATCGGGAATTAGGTGTATGCGGTTTCAATTAACAGTGTCTTCGCCTTGTGTCGCTAGGTCTATTTCCGAAGAAATTATTCATTTGTTAGCTTTCGGTGGAGAAAAATTTACAATCGTGTACTGGGTAATCAAGTCTGAACCAATCAAATTAGAACTAGAAGCAATGGTGAAATTTATCCCTCACACCCGAAGGATTTCGGCATCCAATTCTTAAACTACCAAATATAATAACTTTCTAATTAGTAAAGCGAACAGAGCTTGTGCCCTTCACAGATTTGAACCAGGTAACCACGAATCAATGGGGTTATTGTGTCCTGCGTGATGAAATGTTTGTATCTAGGGCAATATGGCGTCGAGATTAGTATTCTCGCTTTATAGCGTGGTCAAACTAAAGGAAAGTAGACAAAATGTGCAGAGAATTTGACTTCGTGGGTTCCACGAATTTTACGAAAGGTGGTTATTATAATTTGCAAATCGTACACATTCTGAAGATATATAAACAACAACGATTTAGCTTACGGCTTAACCACTTGGCTTCACGTGACTTTCCCTTCTTTAAAGTTCTTTAGAAATAAAATTAAATAATCCTACCCTTGAAAGTTGAATGGCTTGAAGTTGAATCGTAGTCGTACTCGTAGCTGTACATTACAGTATTATTTAATTAGTTCCGATAGAAACTGCTTCTGACCGGACCTTGTACTTACAAGTTACGTGCAGTAACCTAGCGCACTTCTAATTAATTTAAATGGGGCATTTCTTCATTTAAAAATGCTGCCAAACTACACAACATGTTTTGATACCTGTACTGCCACTTCAGTTCTTGCTGCCTAAATTTAAATTTCCACTGGATAATATAGGCCTACTTTTTTTTATTTGAAGGAATTATATTTAATCATATGATTGAATATAATTACAACAAATAAAAAATCCTCCCCTATCTTAACCTTGGATCTCCATGTAAATATGGTTGGGATTATAATTATTAGGCTATCACTATGGAAACTGGTATTCTGTAGTGTGGGGGTGGGGGGCAGATTTAACAGGGTTTGGATCATCTGGATCAACCTGATACAACTCCCACAAATTAAAATCATACCCTATGGAATGCCGGATCATTTGATTGTCTAATACTAGTAGTAACACATATTTTGGACTTAATGTCAACAATTCGTTAACGATACATTGTGTAAGATTTAGATAAAGAGCTGACCATTCTTGCTATAGCTCAAAAATAGATGATGTAAAATGAAAATATTGAAAAATTTCATTCAGCATTCTTGCTGTAATATAATAGCTTAAAAATAGAGATGATGTAAAATGAAAATATTGAAAATTTCATTTAGATTACTTCATTCTGAGCAAAGTTATCACTGTTTGTAGTTTTAACAAAATGAATGCATAGTTGTAATCAGGGCACTGGTATTCGAGACAGCCTCGCTTTCCCATTTTTATATGCCAACAATTTTATACAAGTCACAATTTTTATCTGATTTTGACGAAACTTGAAATATAGGTCTATCTCCCAATGATCTCGGTTCCTTTTGATATTGGCATGTATTGGATCATTACTTCATGGATTATGGCTTGTGGACACTCTAGAGGTCACAATTTTGATCTGATTTTGATGAAACTTGGAATACATGTTTATAACCCAAATATCTTGTTTCCTTTCGATATTTGCGCATATCGGATCGTAACTTCTTAAATTATGGTCCCTGATTGTACAAAAAATTGCGTTTTTAGCTTGTGGTCCCTCTAGAGGTCACAATTTTTATCCGATATAAAATTAGTATATCACCGTTACACCCTAATGATAGTTGAGTTCGAATTTCGTGAAAATCAGACCAAAACTGCCCGACAAAATGGCCGCCCATTGTACGCAAATAGTGTAAAATATGGTATCAAGGTTGTGGACCCACTAGATGTCACAATTTTCATCTGATTTTGATGAAACTTGTAATGCATGTTTATAACCCAATAAAGATCTTGGTTCCTGTCGATATTTGCACATATCGGATCGTAACTTCTTGAATTATGACCCTTAATGTTACGAAAAATCGCTTTTTGTTTCTCTATCCATCTCTTGAAAAATGTGGGCGTATCCTGTCAGTCAGCCGCTGGTTAAATTAAATTTTTAAATGGTGAACCGTTCTAATCTAGTTAAAGTATCTGATGCCATCGAAAGTTGATTATGGTCTTGTTTTGTTAATAAATTCCTAATTAATAATTTAGATAACATTTCAGGCCTAAAGAAAGACCTGCAATAGGCAGACTTAGCTCTTGCATAATGTATGTTTAACAAGCATGATTATTGTGCGGTTCTGTCAAAAGTTCGAGTTATGAATAACCCCATGGAGAATTAATTGGCAAAATATTTTGGGAGTTGAATGAAAATGCAATAGAGAAATTGTAATTGAGATCTATGACCCAGTTCAATCTTTTTAAATTAAATGCTGGATACACACTACTTGCTGGTTAAAAAATGTAATGTGCACTGCAAGTCGACTGGTGACTACCTACATATGCATAAGAAACAATAACCTACAATCATTAATCACTGAGCGACCAAATATATCTACATGGATTAGTATTGAGAGAGAGAGTTTGTCTTATTTTTTTTTGCACCAACTGGGTTTATGAGAAAGTTAGAGAGAAATGGGGTTTAACGTTCACTCGACACAGACTAGGTCATATAGGGACTAACATGATGTTTTTTTCTCAATAATTCGCTTGCACGTAGGGGTCTTTAACAGTGGAAGGAAACTGGAGGACCCGGAGAAAACCCACGAGGTTGGACAGGCAACCCCACTCCTTGTCACGTACAACCGTGGATTCGAAACCTCACCAGTTGTCTCAATGACAGGCCTTATGAATGATTAAAGCAAAAACCTCCCTCCCGCATCAGGTTTTTTTTTTAGGATTTAGGATTGTCTGAGAACCAGAATACTTATTTTATATGGCCTTATTGATGATAAGATGTTCTTTTGTTTGTACTTTTTCAGAGCTGCATTTGAAAATATGGAGGAAGGCGAGGAAACGGAAGATGTTAATTTGGAAGATTTTATGGATGTTATTACTGCGTACAAATGCAAATTCTGCAGTGTTACTTGCTCCAGCGCCCAACAGATGACCTTACATATTAAAAGTGACCACATGTTTCCAAAAGATGGAGTTATACAGTCGAAAAACAAGAAAGATGACATGGGAATGGTTGATTGTAGCAATATTACTACAGGACCTGAAGAACAGCTGACTATTATTACTGATGATGGTAATAGTCTATTGGCTGTGGCTACCAATGCAACGCAGACGACAGCAGAGCCGCAGAATCCAGGTCAAGTTCACACGATTAATTTGAATGCCACTGACACCATGACCACAGGTGCCAATTCGTCATCAGTGATGTGCATTGATGGGGGCGAACAATACACACTGACAACCGATTCTTTAATGGACAATACACAACTCAACACAAAGTTACTATATGTATGTGGTCAATGCAGTGTTGGCTTCAACAGTATCGAAGATTGTAAAGAGCATATGTTACAAAGTCATAGTCTCACAGAAAATACATTTAGACCAGAAGTTGAGTCTTCAGCAACCGAGAACACCCCGTCTAATAATCAAATTAGTGTTGGAACTCAAATGGAACCAAAGAAAAAACCAGGACGTAAAAAGAAAACAGAAGTCAAACAAGAAGTTTTGAGTTCAGAAGAATCGGAACTGGAAGACAAAGATTGGGTTCCCTCAGAGAGACCTGGACGTTCACGTAGAAAAATACGAACACCAAAAGCCTTGAGAGAAGATTATTTCATTGGAAAGAAGAAGAAAAATAACAAGCAGAAACGAATCACTAATAAAGACTATGCACATAAATGTCATTTATTTGGCTGTATGGCAAGATTCAAACAAAAAGCTAATCTCGACATTCATGTGTCTTGCCACAACACGGACAATGAAGCATTCACATGCCCTCAGTGCAAAAATGGCTTTGGGGCGTGGAAAAATCTCCGCTTTCATTTACATCGACAACACGATGTTGACTTAGATCTGTTTGAATGCGAGGTGTGTGGGTTTAAAACAGATACCATGAACAAATTACGTGTCCATAAAGAAATACATAGTGACTCTCGTCCTTACACTTGTGATATTTGTGGGAAGGGCTTCCGTCAATACAGTCAGATGAAAAATCACCAAATGATTCACGCAGAACATCAGAAGAAAACAGTCCAAGTCACAGTGGTGTGTAAAATATGTGAAAGAACTTTCGCCAATAAAAAATGTCTATTAAAACATGAGCAGACTGTCCACTGTGATGAAAAACCATTTAAGTGTACAGTATGTAGTTATGCGACCACTAGAAAAGCCATGCTTACACTTCACATGAGGATGCACACGGGAGACAAACCATTTAAGTAAGTAAATGATTGCTTTAACTTACTGATGGGAGGTGTGGACTTACCTAATTTATCCAGACTTTTCACTAAAACTTAAAATTTCGGATAAGGTGCAGTCGTTGTTTGAATTTTAGAGGAGAGGCGAAAAAAGCTCCCCTTAATGAACAGGGGATCACGTGGCTAAGTGGGTAAGACGCTAGCTAGCTAGCCTGGAGGTCGGGTGTTCGATCCCTGCATTGGCCGAGAAAGTTCATCCCTTGTCAGTGATGCAGGACGGAGGGGCTGACAAGGAAAGCAGTCTAGTCGTTCGGATCGGACAAAAAACCGAGGTCCCGTGTACACATTGGCGTGCACGTAAAAGATCCCTTGACAGTTGGAATTCGATATAAGATTAGGCCGTAGTGCCGCTGTCCGGGCAAAATTTCCCTCATAGCACACTGTATGGCGTATGCCCGTCTTCATTAGCCCAGGTTAGGAGCAGAACAGTACGTAGGACGTTAAACTCCATTTCATTTCATTTCCTTAATGAACAAATTGGAAAAATTGCTACCTCAATCCAATTTCAAATCAAATAAAATGTTGTTTATAAAAGAAAAGTCATTTAAGTTTGCGAATATTTGGTTTTGATTTTTTAGATAAACTGTTGATTGTTAAAAACAAAATCATGTCACAATATTGGTTGAATCTGTGGGCCTAAATTTTAGATTGAGACAGAATTTTACCCCAATCAAAGAAGTCTTCTCCCAGTTATTTTATGCTTTGAATTTGATCCTGAAAACTTGTCTCCATTTAATTGTTAGTATAAAAAAATTTGTAATCTATCAGAAATACATAAGTTGGTGGAGGTGGTAATATGAATTTGATAGTCAAGAATGTGAAACAGAAAGTGGACCATGACCTTAAAATGTCAGTGTGATCTGTTCTGACTGAATTCAACAGTCACAAACATGTGAAAATATGTTGGAAGGTCATCATCTGGGTCAAATCACTAAGGACTTTGGTTATTAACAGGAAGGAGGTTCTTCTTACACAACATTCTTTAATGCAAGATTATTAATGTCTCTGTGTATCAAAAAATATCAATTTTTTACAATTTTTAATTCTTTGCAGGGTTTTGATAAATAAATCGTCTCAATGACTGCTTTTGAGAAGACCAATCAAGTATTTTTTTTCCCTCGCGAAATAGGATTAAGAAATTTAGGTGATATTCCTGAAGAAATCGGTGTGCTCTAAAAGAATAATTTCTTTTGCCGTTTCGACATTGATTATATTCCCACATGGAAATCTGATTGTATATTGTTGTTGGCCCTCTCCAACAATCAGTCTGTCGTCCGCAATTTCTTGTGGCCACTCTACAGACTACAAATGTCCAATCTTTTCAAAATTTATATATGTTGTTAACGTTACCAGTAGTGAGACTATGAATCCTATTGAATTTCAACAATTTTCGTTGATTACATCTAGAGTTATGGCACTTGTTTCATTTTGTGGAACCATGTGATGACAAAAGTTATCATCTGATCTGTATTAAATTTATGTAAATGAATTAAATTGGTAAAACGAAGAAGCCTATTGAATTTAAGAAACTTCTGTTAAATTACTCTGTAGAACTTTATGACAAAGGTTATCATCCGATCTGGACAAAATTTAGATGCATTATTTAAATTAGAAACAAAAAGCCGATTGGATTTCAGCAATGATATTACACTGTCTAAAGATTTTGCCTTGTGGAGTGTGGACTGCTCAGGTGACTTTTATCAGTAGTGGGCATGTGTTGCATAGGCTGGCAACATATCTTTGTTTTTATAATGCTGTCATCTGATGATTATGAAATTTATTTGCATTATTCAAATTACCCAAACAGGAAGCCTAATGAAGTTCATCAATTTGAATGCATTACTTCTAGAGTTATAGGGGGGTTGGATGGCTGAATGGTTAGCGTGCGCGGGCTGTATCATAAAGTCTGTCATTGAGTCGACTGGCGTGGTTTCGAATCCCCGGTTGTACGTGGCAAGGAGTAGGGTCGCCTGTCCAACCTCGTGGGTTTTCTCCGGTTTCCTCCCACTGCTAAAGACCCCTACGCGCAAGCGAATTATGTAAATAAAATTAAACCACATGTTAGTCCCGAAATGACCTAGTTTGTGTCGAGTGGACGTTAAACCCCATTTCTCTCTCTCTTTCTAGAGTTATTGTCCTTGTTGACCTAAAGATTGACAATGTGACACCTTTTTTATACTGCTTGGATGACTTATCTGCTGTAGGTGTATGTTTCGTTGCCTAACACCAGTGTGTATTATTAAGATAAAAATATATTCCTATTTTTCAGGGACCACGGTGGCTAGGTGGGTAAGACGCTGGCTCGCTAGCCTGGAAGTCGGGTGTTCGATCCCTGCATTGGCAGAGAAAGTTCATCCAGATTTTTCGGCGTGGTTCCCCCTTATCAGTGATGCAGGACGGAGAGCCTGACAAGGACAGCTGTCTAGTTGTTCGGATGGGATGGAAAACCGAGGTCCCGTGTACACATTGGCGTGGAAGTAAAGGGTCCCTTGGCAGTTTGAATTCGATATAAGAGTAGGCCGTAGCACCACTGCCCGGGTAAAATTTCCCTCATAGCACACTGTATGGTGTATGCCCGTCTTTGTTAGCAGAACAGTAGGATGTTAAACCCCATTTCATTTCATTTCATTCTATTTTTCAGGTGTGATCTATGTAATTATGCTACTGGTGATCATAATTCACTAAGGCGACACAAGATGCGACATACTGGCCAGAAACAGTACAAATGTGGGTACTGTCCTTATTCCTGTATACAAGCCATATCACTCAAATGTCATCTAAAGACTAAGCACCCGGGCTGTGAGGGTAATTATGTTTGTGAACAGTGTACCTTCCGAACTCTCAATAAATCTGCATATGAAAACCACATGCAGGATCATAAAAATGGCCTAATAACTGAAAAACCTAGAGCAAAAGTTAAAACTTCCATTGTTACTCAGTCTTCTTTACAAATTGCTGACACAGAAATGATGAACCTGGCAGATAGTCAAGAACCTATGCAGGTCCGAATGCAGGTTCAAACGATGAAAACAGGTGAAGCTCAGGTCAGTGCTGAAGATTTGGCTAAATTGACTTGCTATGAGGGCCTCATGACAGGTGAAGTCTCGGCTGCTCAGTTAATTTATTCTGCGTTAAATGCCATTTCTCAAAGTGAAAAAACAGGTGTCCCTCAGACGGCTGAATTACTTGGTGGTGTGCAGTGTACCACACAGTCCGCAAATTGCGAAGAAGGAGTAACTTCACATACCATTACCTTCCATCTTCCAGCTAATTTTCAAACTCAGAATATTGGGCATGGAGAAGCTGTCTTGTTTGGCCAGCCTGTAGAAATAGTCGAAGCTGTCGACCAAAATACAGTGCAATTCATCAACGAAGCCACAGGAGAGGCCTTGGATCCAGAGAATGTTGTAACCATGGGGATTGTGGTCAATGATGAAAATGCCGGAGTCGAAGATGAATTTAGCACGAATGAATGTATACAGATAGATCCGAGTCAAGTGTCATTCATTGTTAACAGTGACGAAAATAAAACTATTGAAGAGGGGGAAACATTGAACGAAACTTCTACCAACCCACTTAGTACAATAGATCTACAGCAAATAGCACAGGTACAGGAATAAACCAAGGTAAAAAAAATACCGGGGAATATACGATTCTTTCAATCCCCAAAATAGTGACAAATTAATGTGTGAGACGACTGCATCAGAAAATATCTCAACCAACTATGACAGCTGAAATATTCTGTTTAATTACGTCACAATTCTACACAAACCTCCTCAGTTGTCGGGACTGTGACAGGACTGAATTCCATGTCACGAGATTGCAATTCTGTCAATTCATAGTGTTTCGGACGGAAAATCGAGCATGCGCTAGGGGTAACTAGGAGTGCATTCTCAGAAATCGATCATCATAAAACTGTTGCTTTACTGTGTTTATGACGTAATTGTGTTAAATAATGAATATTTCTTTTGACTTATTCAATATTCAAATGTGGGAATGGCAGAACTAGGGCTACAATATATTAAATTATGTAAGATTTACATAAAGAGCTGTCTGTTATTGTTATTATTTTCTAGAACAAAATCATTGTACAATAAACTAAAAAGTCTGTGGAAGATAGCAGATATTTTGTTGAGGAATAATATAAGTGTTTGAAGTTTTGACAAAAAAAGGGTAAATAACCTTGTTTGTCAAGTACCAGTATTTGTTGTTACTTGCTGTTCATTTACAATAAATATTGAAGCCTAAGTAAATTCTTTATTTATCCTCTGTCAATTTCTTTTTCCCCTGTTTAATTGCAGAGTCTGCAGTAAATTGAAGTCTCAGAATGTTCTCACAACTGCTAGCCATTTGATTAAAATGAACTGCTCCTTATGTGACCAAAGCAAACATCAAGTGGGCAGACTGTCAGTCAGTGATGAAGTTACATTTTTGTCCTGCCGATGCCCCATGGGTGTTTTTCAAAGAATCCTATATTTTTCTAGTGAGATTGTGTGTCTTCTTTCCATATATACCAAATATGCCATACTTTAGTCGGATATAAATGCCCTATGAATACTTTCCAGGGAATGCATCTTTAAGTATACTGAATTAAATCTAAATCTAATTATGGACTCAAGAATAATAATTTATAAATAAATATGAATTGATTTGTGTGTGGTGTTAAATATTTTGTAAGGATGGTCAACTTGTTATTTTTATATATTTGTTTGTTAAGTTATACCACATATGAAATGTTTGATAGATGAATAATAAATTATTCTCATATAAATTTTGCTGTTGTGACTTTGCATTTTCTATATAATATGGCTGATCCTATGAAAATGCTCTATATATAAAGAAAGAGTCAAGTGGGTCTGACTGATGTAATGTAAGGCCATATAAAATAAATATTCTGTTTCTCAGATAACCCCCTCACTTAAAAAGGGCAGACTGACCAGTTCTTATTTGAACAAAAAAATAAGAACAGTCTGGTGGAAAGCAGAAGTGTGCCATGGGCTCTATTATCAACTAGCAGTGTTATTGACAATCATAAATGATACTGGATAATCATACATATTTCTATAAACAGATAAATATAGTGTTTGAAATGTTATGTTTATGAGAAGTCATTTAGACAAGTGGTGATCCTGACAAAATAAATTCTTCTGTCCTGCATTGTTTTTTGTTTTTTAGGATTGTCTGAGAACCAGATTATTTTTTTAAGACTTAAATGACTATACAGAGTGTGTAAGAAAGGTTTCTGACAGTGTGACCCAAAATATTATATACCTTGGCCGGATGACCTCTACACCTTGAGGCCCCAACAAGATCTCCTGACCCGGCTGATTAATTATACTAAATGATAAGGCAAGTTCAATTTTTCGTCATAGGTCACCAGGTATAAACAGCTAGGGCTAAGGCTAATCCTAACCCCGGACCTTGTCCCAATGGTTACCCTAACCCTAACCAACAATCACGTGCCCAAACCTTATTTACATCTCAACAACCTTGGCAAAATTGAGCTGGCCTTAACAAATAAATTTTGCCGACACGCTGCCATTAATTTTTTATGGTGGGTTTTCCACAGTCTATATATAGCATCCAAAGCAGTTGTCATCGATCGATCGACGGAGACCCCAGAAATTTCTACAGTTACGTCTGATTCATCCAGCAATAGCGGACTGAATGGTAAGCATAATATTTTTGTCATGCATATTTGTGTGAATTATGATTTTACTATTAGTGAAAGGGGCTTATATACGCATACCCCAGCACTAGCTAACCTAGCTCACACTCTGTTTTCAGCGGCGAACTGTGGCCCTTAATTGACCCCATCGCGTTGAGATATACATAACATGATGCGAAAACGAAACTATATATATATGGCTTGATCCACCTTTCCCCGTGCCTGCATTCCACAAATAGATAATTTGCTCCATGGATTTAGGTCATTATAATTTGATTATTTTAATAGGTCTACTGTCAAATGTATGGTTAGTTACGCACTTGTATTTTCTAAATTTCCACAAAGAAGGCCGACATGTGGGGCATGATTTTTTAATATATACGACGGCCCTGTGTTGACCGCGAAAATTGCTCGGGATTTTCCGGCCTTTATTCTTTTTGTCAATTGTGCAGGACAAAGGGTTTGGTAAATCTATAATTAGAGGGAAAATCAAAGTCTACCCGTGTTGACGCCACAGCCAGGGTTAAATTCCATCAGAATGCACTGCTTGGCATATTCCGCTCATTTTCATTAGAACGGCTGGTGCAGAAAAGTAGGACGTTGAATTGTGTTTCATTATGTTACACAATTTAATGACAATTAGGCTTATAAGAAGTAATAACCGGAATTTCAGTAGAAAACTGATGTAAATAAAAGTCTGACTTACATCATCCTTTGTCTTCTATTTTCGAGGCGAAACATGTTGCAGTTTCCTTGGGAATTCCTATTTCTCTGAATTATTCATGATGTAGGCCACGATGCTATTACGCATCACATAAGTCTCCAAAAATAGAATTTACTGTATTATCGATTTCTCATCACCTAACGACGGGATTCATTATTTTACATGTTATCTATGACTAGATGTGAGGAACGGTAGGTATACAGTAAAGTGGCTATATAAGACTGTGTAGCCTACAGCTGTGTGTATAAGGTGGTTGGGGGAGGTGGGTTAACGTGTGCGGTTTAGATCATAAGGTTTGGCATTGAGAGATATGGTCGTCTGTCAAGTCTGGTAGTTTTTCTACGGTTTCCTCGCACTGCTAAAGGGAAGCCGCGGTGACTATGTGAGTAGGACGTTGACTCGCTAACCTGGAGACCCCGTGTGGGTCAGTGGCGGAGGACGGAGGTCTGGCACGAGACAGCGTATATAGTCGCTCGGATGGGACTGAAAAACGAGGTCTCGTGTACACATTGGCGGACACGTAAAAGAAACCTTGACAGTTTGAATTCGAAATAAGAGTAGGCCGTATGCCCGGCTTCATTTAGCAAAATGTCCTACAGAATACCAGTGTAGAATTCTATAGAAAATCTATAGAGTTTTTTGGGGGCGTGTCCCATTTTCTATAGGATAAAATTCTATAGTATTCTACAGAATTTTGTGGGGCCTGTAGGAAATAACGGCCCCAAATATTCTACAGTTTCTGTAGCGCACATCCTATAGTTTTTCTTACAGATTTATGGCAAAATACTATAGTATTCTATAGGTTTTTTATTACACTTTCTGTAGGAAATTCTATAGTTATGTATAGGAATGAATACTGTAGTATTCTGTAGTTTGGAAATTGGACCACTATAGTTTTCTGTAGGAATGGGTACTATAGAATTCTTTAGACTTTTTTTTATTAAATCATATTTTGGGAATAAATATAGTTGACCCATGATTTCTTCTAAATTGATAAGCTTATTTTTCTCTCATGGATTCTTCTAAATTGATAAGCTTATTTTTTCTCTCATGGATTAATCTGAATTCTGTTGATGATTCACCAGCCGGAACCATGAAAAGTTATTTTCTTGGTAAAACTGAAATATATAGGGAAAAGAATAAGTAATAAAGTTAAATAAATAACAAAATCACATAAATCTTATCTAATTAAAGTAAATAAATATTATTGTTAAGAAAGTAATAAAGTATACTTATCTTTGTATCTTTAATCGAATCTGTGAAAAAAAACCACCACCATTCTCTCCAGCTTCTTTTTAATACTAACATATTAAGTTGTTATACACTGAATTTTTGAATTTTAAATTCAGCCAATGGCCAAACAGATTTCAAGAGAGTACATTGGCTGTTAATTATAGTTTGTCGACAGGTATGCACGGTTGACCTAGTGGCTTTAACAAATTATATAATTTGAATACAGAATCTGCTATAGTCATTAAAATCCAACTAGCAGGATCACCTAACAGTCAGACTGTGTTCAAATAAACTTTGTCTTTATTTCATTGACTTATCTGAAGAATAATTTATTATCTGATATTTTTGTTGTGAACATCTACATTTACTAGCATTTTTTGGAGAGTGGGGTGGGGAATTCCTTTGAGTGTCAAAATGTATCACTATTTCATTCATATTATATACACCATTTTATACTTTATATTTTATTTTTCGTGGTAAGCTTATTTTAGTTTGTCATTTGGTATCACAATAAATTAAGGAAAACTGCATCCAGGAAAATTATGTTGGAAAAGTTTACATAATTCACACAAGTGCATCACTAAATTCTATTGTAAACTATAGTATGAATAAAAGACATCGCCAATTTATGAAATCTGTAGTATAGAACATTGTTTCTACAATATTAAGTAGGAAACTATAGTAGGCCATTTGTTAAAATACAGTATACATATAAATTCTTAGTTTTCAACAGAACTATAGGAATATACTACTGACTTGAGACAATAAGTTAGTTCTATAGAAAACTATACTTTTTACCACCAAATCTATAGGAATCACAGCTGATATGAGAATACAAGTTAGTTCTATAGCAAACTATAGTTTTTAGCACAAAGGCTATAGAAAACTGAAGGATTACTCAACTGACTCGAGGATACAAGTTAGTTCTATAGAAAACTATAGCAGCACCAATGAATCTGTAGGTTTATTTTTTTTCCAATAGTTTCTTACAGTATTCTATAGAATTCTATAGGAAATTACACTTGGAAAATATTCATCTACCAATCCCACACAAAACTATAGTACATGTTTTTGAATCTATAGTCATGTAAAAAAACCCAGAATGAATTCGTTTTCCTGCAGCATTCTATAGCATTCTATAGAATCCCACAAACTTCTATAGAAACCTGTACTTTTTCTATAGGACTTTTTCATAAGGGCGAAATACGTTAAGTTCATTTCAATTCAATTAACTACTGAAGATCGACTACGCGCGATCGAAGTATTGAAATGAAATTGATCCACGTGTTAGTCCCCAAATGACCTAGTTTGTGTCGAGTTCCTTTGGTCAACGGAACAGTTGTTTTCTTGAGAAATGACTGCATACGATTGGAGTATCCAACTCAAGAACCGTAGGGCCTACTGTCGAACGTCACAAATTATTGTAGTTTATGTCATATCTTACCATCTAACAGGGCAAACAATGTTGACTCAACATACTCAGTGGGAGGAGAAATGAAATAGCTCACAGTTATTGTGTTGAGTCGTTAAGCCCAATTCCATTCTTTCCGATATGCTACTCTGTATATACAGTATACATAGCTTCATTTGGACTCTCAACAGAGTTGAACAGACCTTAAACATACACTATGCAAGAGCTAAATCTGCCTTTAGGCCTGAAATGTACAAGACCATAATTGACTCTCGATGGCATCGGGTACTCGAGATTTTAACTAGATTAAAACGGTTCGCCATTTAAAAATGTAATTTAAAAATGGGAAAGCGAGGCTAACCCCCGATTATACCAGTGCCCTGGTTACCACTGTGCACACATCTTGTCAAAACTATAAACAATGATAACTTGGCTGAGAATGAAGTAATTTGAATGAAATTTTCAACTTTTTCTTTTTTTTATCATCTATTTTTAAGTTATTATAGCAAGAATATCAACTCTTTATTAAACTCTTAACTAATGTACACACATTCATTTCAAAAGGTTATGCAATCCCCCACCACTACCACCACAAAAAAATGATAATATTAATATTCATCCGGATATTGAAATGATAAGAACATTGATTTCTGGAAGCTTATCTTTATATTTTAAGACGTCACTTAGTGATAAGTAGCCGCTCACCACTCACTAGTCAGTAAACACGGATATATACCCAATAATATTTATCATCGTATAAAACGTTCAGTGTCATACGTATCTTGATTATCAAGTACGTGTGTTTAGTTTACAATAGGTATGGTAGGACAATCACGACTATCGATATGTGGGTTTGGCGAATTACAACTGAGTTTATAAATAACACTAGACCCATTTTGAGATGCATATATATATATATATATATATATATATATATATATATATATATATACATGTGTGTGTAGATTAAGTTATTACGTATTAACGGAATTGATGTACATGTAATAGATTGAAACGATGTGTATGTGGAAGTAGCATTTGTGGATATATTTTGCGACCTAGTCAGGTATGTCGTTATAATATAAGTTTATATAAGTTATAGGCTATCATCCGTTGTCGAGGATTGTGAATGTCAACGACCTCACTATAGTCACTATAATTTGAAGTTGCGAGGTATTCTAGTAGGTTCTCGTTATTAAATAACGAATGGACAGAGACGAGAACTGTGAGTATGTAGGCTCGGTGGGGCCTAAAAAGAGTTCTCACGTTGTTTTGGGACCCTTTCACTCATAATATACTCAAGAATGCACTATTTAAAGTCCGTTTTTCAAAAACTTATTTCATCCCTGGTGAGAGACTACCAGATTCCTCTTAGAGGAAACCCCCCGTAGAAACAGACCCAGATGCCTTTAGGAGTGACTCGGGAGTTATATCCTCTGTCCCTGTGTGTTAAATTGTATCGATGACAGTTTAGTTAAGTAACAACCCCACTAAAGAAAATAGCAGTTTCTGCCAGGCCCCTGCCGTTTCTGGTTGCGAATTGTCCATTTACCTGCACCAGCTTCAGAACCAGATCTAATCTCGACACAGCGTAGATTTAGTTTTTGAATGGTATCCATGGCTTAATTACACACCAAAAATAATTCTTATTCTCATGCACATTGTACCGAAAACCAATCTGGAGGTCGAAGGTAATTCCCCTCAATAATATTACACGGTTGGATTCAATATTGGGTAAATTTACTTCGGGGGTGGGGGGGGACGGGGGGAGAGTTTCAACAAACCAATGAGCGAAGTTACTAGTCTGGATTTGTACATAATTTGTTATAATTGGTGAATTGAAATGAAATAAGTGGAATAACATTGCAATGTGCTATTTTGGTTTTCATTTGTGTTGAAAATAATAATGTTAAATACAATATTATAAATATTCCCTCTGTATCGATTTGCCAATTGTGGCCAAAACAGGGCCGGGGTAAACTTTCGAAGAGATTGCCAGGGGTAAACCGGGAAAAAATGTTGGGAGCCCCTGTTATGGATCAAGTACATGTAACCACAAACAAAACATCCAGACAATTTATTCATCATTTTAAAATATTCATACTTAGGCTACTCGTATTATATACATGTACTCGAGGGCGCTTTATCATGTATATACGCATTTGACATACTGTTTTAATGTATTTGTCATTTACATATTTATACGTAGGCTACAAGTATTATGAACTTGGGGACTCTTTATCATGTATGTAAGCATTTGACCATAAATGGTTACAGATATGAAGACATGCTTAGTAAATGAAATGGGGTTTAACGTCCTGTTTCTGCAACATTAGGCTAATGAAGACGTGTATAGGCCTATGCCACGTGGTGTGCTATGGGGTGATAGAGTCCCGGTAACAGCGACATGGCCTACTCTACTGTCCGGGCATATTTAACATACGGCCGATGGCATACACGAGACCCCCGTCTTTTGGTCCCATCCGAAAAACTAGACTATTTGCTTCCCAGTCCCTCGTTCTACATCACTTACAAGGCTTGAAAGTCCAGAACAGCTTTCTCGACCAACACTGCTACCGAATCCCGCTATCGTGACTCCGACAAACACATGCAAACAAAAATGAATGGCCTTAAATATATATATTTTTCTGAGCCTTGCTGTTTAATATTTTGATCAATTTTCGTTACTCTTAGTTAAGAACGCATTTATTCCCTATATTTCAGATCTTTAAAGAACCATAAGACAAAATCATTAGATAATTTGATTTGACCATGGCAAGTAGTGACCACGATGCCAAAGGTGCCTGCAATGATAGTAAGTAAAACTAAGTGTATTTTCAATCTAAAATAATTTTGAAGAAAATGAGAATAAAATAAAATTCTCTTTTCCGTCACTTGACATACATCACATCTTTGTTGTTCTTTTTGCACTTCAAGTGTTTTGAAGATACATGTAACTGTGGGTTTTTACTATTTCAGATATTTTTAATGCTGATACAAAGGACGATGATGACATTTTCAGATCAGCCACTGTTGCAACTCCCCATAAAATCCAGTTGAGCTATCCACTAGATCTGCCCGCAAGTCTGGTTGACAAATTTCCCGGGTCAGTAACGAAAAGCGTCCATGCATGGTTTACAATCGAAAGAAAAGAAGATGCCGATGTTGTGCTAACTGACACATCTTATCCCCGACAATTTATTCATTTGAGATGTGGGTCTTATAAGGGTGTGGAATGTTTGGTGACAATAAAAAATCTGAGTTCCAAAAAAACGATTGAGCTGAAACCACCAGGTGCGGGAAAGATAACGCTTGGACATAACGAAGAAGCCAGCGTCAAATCAAATACGAAAATAACAGCGCTAAATTTAATTTGGATGATTACAACAACAATTGGAGACATGGATGCTACAGCATATGAGGTATCAATGGTGGGCTATGGTTCTGAACAGTTTAATCGCGCTGTAGAGGACCCGTCTTCTGCTCGAGTACACAGGGAAGCAGGCGTACCAACGCCTAATCCACAAAATGGTTTCTCGGACTTAGCCAATCAAACAGTTCCCAAAAGTATAATATCTTCGCAAGCGATACCATACACTAATTATTATGGCCCCAATCAAAATAACCTGAACCAGGTTAACACGTATAGACCACAACCAGAACAATATGCCCAAAATATAAGGGACGATCTGCCTGGACAACCTATGAGTAGCATGTCAAATGGTCCAATGGCTAATGTGAGACTACAGTCTTTCACTGGAAACCAGTGGCAATCTTGTAGACATTGTGCACCATTAAGCTCTGATTATAACGCAAGTGCCCAACACAACGCACCGTCTCCATTTGTGGGCGTACCAGCAGAGGTCTGTCCCCAGTGTTCACATAATCCACCATATCCTGAAAGATCTTCAAATATTAGATTTTGTGATAGTCAACCACATACCGGCCCACATTATGGTGGAATACCATATTATGGGCAACTGTATTATGCACCATATTCCAGTAGTCAGCCACATGCATGTTCACCTAATAATGTAATTCCCCATGGACAATATCGTCCTGCTGGTCAAGTAGGTTACAATGGTTTGCAAAATTATCAAACTGATACTCATGGGATGCACCACCAACAGGCCACAGTCAACTGGCATACAGTCAAACCCTCTGGTATCGATGAAGCTTCCAATTTGTCGCCAGATCATATCCGACAACATAGTGTGAATACACATCCGATATCGGAAATTTCTCCAGGCGATTTTAATCCTTATTTAATGGGTGAATATATGCAGAAACCAGAGAAGTGAGATTGCTTTCTTTATTAATGTCAATATCGATTCGTTCGTGAACATAGGTCTGGTCCAATTGTTTGCACCTCTTGGGGTGATAGGGCAGAATGTTGCAAGTGAGAATGACTCCAATTATTACGGTTATATCTTCCAATATGAGATGCCATCACTACGTTCTGCTATGTGTTCAGAAAAAAAATTGGTGACCTGTTTATTAGGATTCCTTTTTTAAAAAATGTTATTGTTTTTTTTTAATTGAATTGCATTATATATTACATGTATTTATAAAGAGTATAAAAAGGCTCACAAGATGTATACCGTTACTTGATGTCATCATGGCTCACGTGAAGAACATTTAGAAAATAGTAAATGCAGTTTAATTCTGCATAATCCACTGTGGCCTCATTATGTATGATTTATTTATCTCACCTTGTGATGTTTTAATGGCATTTTTATGAAATGTATTTATTTACTGATGTTAATGAAAATTAAGGTGACTCTGTCTATAATTCTTCTTCACAATCTACTGTGGTTTCATTAAATAATTATTTCGTCTTAAACTGGCATGATTACTATCATTTATTTTATTTTACAATAATTTACTGTTTGGTATTTTATAAAATGGTATTTATGAAATTATGTTTTATGAAATGGTATTTTATAAAACGGTATTTATGAAATAGTGTTTTATAAAAATGGTGTTTTATAAAATGGTATTTATGAAATAGCGTTTTATAAAAAATGGTATTTAATCAAATGGTGTTTTATAAAACACCATTTCATAAATACCATTTTTTATAAAACGCTATTATTTATTTTTGCGCAGTTTTAACATAATCTCAATAACAAAAACACTTGAGCGGTACACGTGACTTATCATTAACTGCAATAATGTTAGATGCATTAAGTATGATTTAAATAAAGAGCTGGCCATAATAGTTCAAAAATAGATAATGAAAAATGAATATATTGAAAATTTAAGTCATATTTCTTTATTCTGAGCGAAGTTATGTATGTTTGAAGTTTTGACAAGATAGTCTCGATTGCCAAATATCATTACTACGATATAAACAAGGTCATTTTTATCATTAAGCTAATAAATGACGCGAATTTTTTATTCAATCCATGAAATATCACGACCATCCGATAGTCTAGAGAGTTGATTATGGGCTCGGCATTATATACATGCCAAATAAATAATCTGTATAACATATAAAGCCAAAGAAAAGAGACCTGCGATGGGCAGATATAGCTGTTACAAAATGCATTTTATACATAGATTATGGATAATGTGAATGGTATGCATCTTGAAGTGACCATACCGTATTGATGTTTCGTTATATATGCAATATATACCCTCTCGTGTTCAGTATTTATTATTTATTATATTATGTATGGTAATACTATACTCATATGCTTACTGTTCAGTATTTGCTTGCCGTATTAAAGGTATTTTATACCTAAAACGTTTTAAGTCTTAATCAAAGACCCTGTTATATTTTTGTGTCTTTAAAAATTAGTTTACGGTAATACTTCAAGCAACATAAGTGCATATCATGCAGTTATCCAACTGAGTTTTTACAAAATGTGATCACCCCAATTATTTCCACTGTGTATCCTTTAATTTAACAGACTATTTTCTATTCAAAAATGGAGTAAGTTCATCGTGATTTTCCGAGGTCCCCACGCCCCCCCCCCCCTTGTCAATGTCAGTGGCATAGGCCGGCTGCGTGGCAATGCATAACGTATAGTCGTTCGGATGTGACGAAAAATCGAGGTGTACACATTTGCATGAACGTAAAAGAACCTTTGACAGTTAACAGTTTGCCGTACCGCCCAATGAAAGATCTTATGATCTAAAACACACACATGAGACTATTCAGTCACCCAAACCCCCAACTAACTAAACTATGATTTCAACATTTACCATGTGTACAGACAGGGACATCCAGCATTCCTGATCATAGACACCGAGATCTTCATGTAGAGGAAACGAGAGGACACGGAGAAAACACGGTTGGGCAGGCGATCCTACTTCATGTCACGTACAAGCGAAGAGTCGAAACCACGCCCCCCCCCCTCCACAACAAGGTTGTCACGCATACGCTTCGGGTGGAACCCACACCACTTAAATCAACAACAGAACTTATGCTCTAAAGTGCACGCATTAGATAAATAAACTTATAGGCCTGCAGCCAAAATGTCTAGCGTGAAGTTCTGCTACATGGTCCTACCAAACAAACAAACTATACACTTTTGGAAAGCTTTTAACACCAGGAACACAAATCCAGAGAGTTCCAAGCAAAAAGTCTGCACTAACTCGATTGAGGGCCAGATGAAAATTGTGATAATTGTCAAGTAAATGCTATATTTATACTACTAATTGTGAAGTTGACATAAAATGAAATATTTGTAAAAACACCTGATGCCTTCATCCTCTGCAAAGAATATGCTGTTGGTTAAATTTTGATTTAATGGACAAGGAAACATACAGAATTTCGGAAATCAATATATGGTAAAAGGAGTTATCTCCCTTTATGGAAAATATCAATAATTATTGATAACAGTAAAAGGATTTAGCTACAAACAAGGGCCTATATAAGTTCAACCATTTTTTCAGATATTTAACCTGAAACATAGCATCTACAGATATTTAGTTTTCTCACTAAAATAGATATGGCCAAAACTAAATAGTACTGTAAAGGGAGTGACAATATTGTAATGAAGAGAAAAAATATAAAATGGAGATTAATGTCTTACTGTTCTGTACCAACCCGTATCATGAAAATGGGCGTACGTCATACATTATTGTTTGAGTGGGAAGGGGGGGGGCATTGTACGTGTACAACACTAGTATGCTTCTCCTTGTCCGTGGCTCACTAATCAGGAGGTCTGGGGTTTGATCCCTGTGTTGACCTAGACAGTTCCCCAAACTTTCCAGCGTTGTTTCCACTTGTCAGTGGTGCAGGAAGCGCGGGGCTGTGATGGGCAGCGTCCAGTTATTTGGATGGAATATAAAACTGAGGTTGACGTGCACGTAAAAGAACTTTAAATTCGAAATAAAGAGTAGACCGTAATGTATGGCGGGCGTATGTACATCTTCATTATGACGGTTGGTTTGTTTTCTCTTCATTACAATTGGCACTCACTTACAGTAGTATTTAGGTTTTGACATATATTTATATTTTAGTGAGAAAATTACATATAGATGCTTTGTTTCAATTCAAATATTTGTTAGAAATTTAGCCCCAAATCTAATCTGAACTAAAAGTTTACAGTAGAAATACTGTTTTAGGAGAGCTTATATGCCCGCCCGCCCTCTAAGATTCGTTGAACCGTCCATTTTTTTCGGGCAATGTATTTCAGTTTTTCGGGCACAAGCTTCAGAGAATGGGGAATGCGACCATATCACATGGAAATATAATTGTATATCTGTGTAATTAATTTAAAATAAACAACCATCACAGCTTTGTGGAAAATTCATCTTAGTTAATGATTGATTCATTCAGAAAATTTGGGTGACAAATTTTTCAGGCAAATAGACTCAGCCCCCAACCCACCCCCAACTGAGATTAGCCCCCTACACCCATGTAGCCCCTTACCTGTTGTTCAATCCGATTCAGTTTTTTTAATCAAATATTGTTTAAACTATTGTTTTACCTCCCATCCGAACGACTGGGCATTGTCCTTCCAGCCCACTCCCATCCCGTACCACTGACAGGGGGATACCGCACCGAGGTTGTCTTGTACATGTACATAATTATCTAATCTGTGTAAGTGTAGTAAATGTGAAAATGAAACAAAAAGACTGCTAAGGAAATTGAACTTGATGTTTATACATGTAGTGACAGTGATGATGATAACGACCAACTTTGATGACATTTAAAGTGCAGGGTAATTGCGTAATTTTGATTTTCAATAATTGATTTACTCTTTTGTCTTAAATCTATATTTATAAGCAAATTACACAATTATAAATACGGTTTTAGTTTAAATGTTTTTAATTCGGCCTTAAATATCTGAACTAGAGGTTTACAGCTACCTGTAGTAAAATTATTGTAGGGTCTAATTGAAAGGGTATGTTGGTGTGGGTTTATGTTTTAGTGGAAAAAATCATGTGGTTTCAATGCGATTTACAAAACTACGGACATAGTCTGGTATCCATTACTTCATAGACATATAGCTCATCCAATGTCAAACATATCTCCTTGCTCATCAGACTAGGTGCTCCGCCCATAATTTCTGGGTAAACACCCGTTCACCAACCCTTGCAGTCCCGTCCCCTGTGACCCCATTAACTATATAAATATTGGGCTTGTGTGCACACATGTGTGCGTCATACAGCATCAGCAGTCAACACGCACCTGAAATACTGTTACCAATTGCAAACATTTGACAGAAAGGGAGATAACTCTATATTACCGTTAATGGATTTCCAAAATTCTGTATGTTCCCTTGTCCATTATGTTTTCTGCATTTTGGTTTAAATCAAAATATAACCAATAGCGTGTTCTTTGTCTAGGATGAAGGCATCGGAGGTTTTCACCAACATTTAATTTTATGTCAACTTCACAATTATTAGTATAAATTTGCATTTACTTGACAATTATCACAATTTCCATCTGGCTCTAAATAGAGTTAGTTCAGACTTTTTGCTTGGAACTCTCTGGATTTGTGTTCCTGGTGTTAAAAGCTTTCCAAAAATGTATAGTTTGTTTATTTGGGAGGACCATGTAGCGGAAATGTGTTTCTAAGCAAGCTAGAAATTTTGGCTGCAGGCCTATTATATACCACAAAGTATTTTTTCAGCAAAATGTGTATTTTTATATCATAGAATTAAACAATTCAGTTTACCGTATATTAAAAGGGATTCAAACTTAAATACATTGTACATTAACACATATTCCAAGAGGCAAGGTGGTTTACCTTTATTATTTCCATTGGTCACATTATTATTTTTCTGTTTATGCCACACACACTGACCTAGAAAAAAAACCATCAAAATTTTATAAAAAAAAAAAAAAAATTCAAGCCCTCACAGGAGTCGCAGTGGGTGACACAATGGAACCGGGTTCTATCCCGTGGTTTCGGCTGCCATCTGTAATCAACAAAGAAAAACATAATACTATCCTATAAGACAATGTGGAAATAGACATAGAAGAAGGTAACAAAACAGGAGTGATGGGTTCAAAGTTTACCCATTATGACGTCACAATTAAAACTACGGGATAGTGAAACTGATGACGTTATTTCTATCGTTCTATTACTTTACAAGTTTTAGAATTAGTACTACGTCTTTTTGCTATTTCTGTGATAAAACAGTTATTATTCAAGGATTTTTACATCTTTGCTACAACTATGGATTCAAGGTAAGTGAATACACTTTTTCTTCTGTAAAATTTATATTCAATTATTTATCGCTTCCAACATCTGTAATAAACAGAACAAAGGTATTCTACCATTGTAAGAATGTTTAGCTCTCTAAAATATTTCTATGTACATAGATAGAACTCAATGACCATCATGAATACCGCTCGAGTTATTTAATGGTTCAAGAGAGTGTATCCCTGCGCAAGTATTCCACGTCCTTCTGGACAAATGTAGTACGCGTACAAGCCATTGAATACAACCATAGGATAGGTTATTCAATGGCTGTATTCAATGATATTTGCTTGTATTTGCATGTAGTTATAGAATGAAAAAATAGAAATAATAGGACTAGTCCCACCTCTTATTATAATGAGTTTTAAAAAATGTTTTCAATAGTATTAAATTAAAAATGATAAAAAAAAAAAAAAAATTACCCGTCAAATCGTGAAGTGGGAATAAAGAAGAGCTTTATGAAGAATTGTATATTGAATTTTTGTTATATTACAAAATGGATTGGTTCCATGGTTTTAAGAAGAAAGTATTAGAAGGACATCGAGCTATGGTATCTCTGGGAGAAGAGGATGAAGATGCTCCATATCCATCTCCTAGGCCAATCACATATGTTACTAGAGTATTGGGAGGCTCATGTGGTTTAGTTAGCTACAATATTGCGCTAGGGATCTCCATGCTGTCAACATCTACAATTATGCAAGGAATAGGTCTGTCTTCCTTACCGCATTGTCAACCCCCTTTCGTAAAAGCTCTTGTTGATAGATGTATTGAACCAATCACACGATCCAGTCAAGATGGAGATAAAAGTTAGAATCTTGGACAAGGATGGAATATGCAAAACTGGAGACACGGAAAAAAGATACACAGCAATTGGCAAGGCGGGGGGGGGGGGGGTACGAGCGATAAGAAATGCGAACAAGGATTAATGGATAATAGTAATGAAAATGTTGGAGTGCCTAAAATCATGGACACGTCAGGACAAAATAGCACCATAGCTGAAAGGTACATCACCAACACGAGCAGTTTTATTGACACGCATGCAACATTTAGTATCTATAACTAGGGGTGTCACAATAAG